GTAAAAAGAGGCATCACTCTAAAATAATAAAATAATTATTTCATACTCCTGCAAGCTGACTGTACATCAGACTTGCAAAAATAGAGAATGGATTGGTTGTAATTTATCATTATATAAAATTATTAATTCTTATGAGTTGATTCCTGTAAGTTATATATGACTGATAGTACTATGATCACTTGTTATTTCCACCTTACAATATCAATGTCTTTCCAGGATTTCCATTTTCAGATTCCAAAATCTCATATTTTGTTAATTAAGAAATACCTAACAATTCTTACAAAATCAATATTTCAGCCTACATGTAGTATGTAATTGATTATTGATAATTAATAGAAATGATGAATTTAATTCAAAGAGAAAACAACAATATGACAGACAAGAGGCGATTGATTCCACTTGGCATTTGCTACAGCCATTTGGTGAATAACCACTTGCCTTAATATTTGATGATTAAATCAAGGGGCCCTATGACTATGACGCACTGCTTATAACCTCCAAGAGGTGTAATTGACAGCTCAAAGATGTCAATATACTATTGCCCTTTCCGCTTAATGATTCAATTAATTGAGCACAAACAATTTAACACAGACACCTGTGACAGCTACACATGTGTAAATGAGGAGAAACATCTTCTTTCATGATCGTACCTGTATGTACAGTATAGAGATTGATGGATTTAGATGGTCACTTTAAAATTCACTTCTTTATTGTGTTGAGCTTTCTTTATATTTTCAGAGAGAAGAGAAAAATGCTTTTAATTGGCAATTGATGCAAGTCATTATATTTTTTCCATTAGTCAATTTGGTCCAGAACTTAGATTTAATTATTTCCAGAACTGAATGCATTTAGCTCTCAAATCTAGTTACTCAACTCATATAGGGGATCTTTGTTTCTGTAATTGATCATTTCAAGAGTTCTTGCATATTGACTTTCTCTTCTTTATATTTTCAATATCTGCAAAATATCTACATGCTTTTATATGCAGACCAAGTACATGTATCTATCCATCAGACAACAAATATGAGAATGTAAGAAAACATGATTTAGTTAGAAATTGGCTATAAAAATTAAGTGAAGTCTAGAGCACAATCAAATGGATAGAGAGTGAATGGTGAGGGGCACATGATAACAAAACATCGTCTCTTTTAAAATCAAACCATGAAACAAGACGTGAATTTCACTTGGTGTAAAAGACATGTCTCTAAATACTTAATACTTAATGCCTGTCCAGATCAAATTTGAGAAGAAAAAAATCAACCTGAGGATAGATTAAATACATATGTAGACATCAAAGATTCCATTTACAAAAAACCTTAAATTTCTCTTGAGTCTTCAAGGAACATTATTTTCATTCTTTTTACTGCTTTGCCAAATTGCAAATTTGTCCAGGTTTTGTTGAAACACATCACAATTGGTGCCTCCCCCCCCCCCTTTTTTTTCCTCTCTCTCTCTCTCTCTCTCTCTCTCTCTCTCTCTCTCTCTCTCTCTATCTATCTCTCCCTCTCTCTTTCTCTCTCTCTCCACCATCTCCTTTCACTCTGCACGTTTTCCCTTTTAAAAAAATGTTATTTTTCAATACTGTCTTTACATGATGTACATATTGTGTATTCATGTGTATAACAGTGTATGGTTCTCACATTATTGCACGTCAAAACTAGTTTCACTTTCTCTTAATTACGTGTCCATTTGCACGTACATCGTACATTTCAGATTTTGATCCTCTTCAAAACTCCTTCAGATATAGCATAAAGGTAATTTTAGAGAACATGCATGTACCTTGCAATCGAAATGGGTAGTTTTACTGATATGAATCAAAGTTTTATTAATATCATTATAAGCATTTGGGCAGCCAATTAACACTCTTATGCTCTATGGTCTAGTTAAAGTAATGGAATCGTGTTAATTATCACATACACTAAATTTAAAGATCTTACACAATATTATCGGAAAATCATGTGTGTATTGAAACCACTTTAGCCAAATGTAAATAAACATAAGAGCATCCAAGCACTTGGTTTGTCAAGTACAATGGGTTTACTTCCATGATAACTTTCACAATAACTTTCACAATAACTTTCACAAAATAAGGTTAGTGGTACAGTTCATCAATTCAATAAAAAGGACGGACATGTCCTTATGCTGACATTACAAAGAGTTTTTTTTCACAGGCTTTTAAAAAAAAATAAGATTGATAGCATTACGATATTTAAAGCACCATGTGATGAATACTGGCTTTACTTTCTATTTCAATACATGAACTTATTTAACTATCATGTACATGTACAGTGTTTCAATTTAACAACTCACTATAAACTTTCTTTCCTTCATAAAACTAAAAGAGGTTTACTTATCAAAGTAAACTTTCAATTCTTACCTCCATGGTTCACTACATCTCTTACTCCCCCCCCCCCCCTCCCCCCCCCCCCCCATTCTCTCTCTATCTCTGTTTCTCTTTTTCTTTCTCTCTCTCTCTCTCTCTCTCTCTCTCTCTCTCTCTCTCTCTCTAAATCAACATTAATTTGAACAATTAAACATTCAAAAAGCATAAATTGCAGAAATGAATTTTGTGTCTTTTGTTGTAGTAAATTTACCCAGCAGAACATATGATAATCACATTAAGTAGATGTACTTAAAGGAAATAATATGCTATAAGCAAAGGAACATGTACATTATGTATGGCACATTCAAAGAAACGATTACGGTACTCTGAATGAATGAACGCCCACACATGTTTTCAACCTGCAAGAAGTAAATGCAAACCAGGTTACACAAATACACTACATAACCTTGTACAATACAGGAAGTTTTTACTTAATAATGACCGTGTAGCTGTAAATCATTATCAGCCATGACAGGTAACACAACACAAGTGACCTCATAGACTTTTAACCTATAATTTTACTCCTGGAAATAGATAACTATCTTGTCCTATCCAAGGCCAAGTCATCATTCTAAAAAAAAAAATCTGCCTGACATCATACAGATATTGTAACATTTAAACTTACACCTAATCAAGAAAAGTTGGTAATTCTCGCTATCGCCAATACGCGCAAAAAAGAGCGGAAGAGACTGCATTTGAAATGGGACCTGAACGAAACATGCAGTATTTTTAATACATTGCCAAAAGCAAGAATTCTAAAGAGGGCACTATCTAAAGAAATAAATATTGTCCTTTGTGAATTTAAATTCATATTAAAAGCTGGACATACCGGTATGTACTGCATGCAAAAGTTGTAGCCCTGTTGTTGAGTTTCATAGTATTACTTCAAACTGTTGAAGTACATGAAAGAGCTTCTCACTGAGAATAAAAATGATATATTGCACATAAGCATCAGAACAATACAGATCGCTTTAACTTATCTGTCAATATTTCCTGTGGAATTAGTAGGGATTATATCAGATATTTTACTATGCATATTTTTTTCTTCAAATGCAAGTATCCCGGTATACAACAGAGGTGTTTTTTTGTATCACTCACTAATATCAAGAATTATATACCTATATGAAACTGAGCTTAAAGTGTACAGGAGATAATAAATATCCAAAGATGTAGATAAACTGAATACTGTAGTATATTTCATAAAGTAATGGATGATGTTGTTCATAGTCATGGATCAGTTTAAATGTGTTTTCTTGGTGCATCTCCTTGGCCTTTGACTGAGTATAACCAACTTGATACTTGCTTCTTTTTTGTTTTATTTGTTGTTGTTTTAGGTTTTTTTTTCTTTCTTCTTTTCTTTCTTTCTTATTTAAGTAATTCAAAAATGGATAACAGGATCCTCTGTCTCGCCTGAAAAACTTTCCCTTATAAGATTAAACACTTCTCCCTCGCGCACTTCTTTGTTATTTTAGTTATTTAGGCTCGGCTGCATACCGGTAGCCTTTTTAGTTAAAGATTACAAGTAGAAAACAAAGACAAAAAACAGAAAGCGAGAGTGAGAGCACAAAAATCACAACTGAACAAATAATAATTTTGATAGCCTTCAGTTCAAGGCCTTCAAGCCTTCAGTAATAGAAGCAGAGTCCAGAGTCAGTCATACATGTACATGTACTGTAAGTAAGTTGTGATCACTAAAGTATAGGAATTTCAAATTGGCTGAATCTGTAATGCCACGTAGTGCCGGACAACTTTCTTATTTGTTCCAATACACATAATTGCTAAAAATGTCTTTTTCTTCAAAATGTATGACTCGGGAGGGTCTTTCCTTTATAGAGGTCAAATAATAATAAAGTCTACTATTTTCTATCCATAATAATATATTTGAGCAGTGCCCCTACGACCCTATGGAGAAGTCACGTTGTGGGTCTTGGCCTTGGGAGAAAATCAGAAATGAATGTCCACGTCCATGACAAAAACAAAGTCACAAACAGGAGAGTTGTCCGTCACTAGATCTATGTCACAATTCACTGACAAAATTGTTGAATTGAATTTTGCATAAAGGTCTAGAGTCTAGAGTCTAGGCCCTAGCTATGAATTTGTAGATAGTAATCTCATAATCATGTAGCTTCATTCAATGGTCCAATTTATTTCAAACCTTCGACATTCACTGATTTTTCTGCTTTCAAGTTTCATTTAAATGAAGGAGGTCCGACAGGTTTAGTTTACAACTTGGGTTGGATTGCCCTTTAAACTCAAGACTCAAGTCAAACTTCACACGCTAATCATGCTAATCAAGGTCTGCGAAACCAACCTCACTCTTAAGTCCTTTAAACTAGTGCTAAGGAATCTTGAAAAGCATTTTAACACCCATTCAAAATACATTTCGGTTCAATGTCATATCTCACACGCACACAATACAGATCGGTAGCCTGGCAGGTTTTATTATCGATTTGTCTTTTCGACGAAAACGGGTGCATTTGTCACGGCGAACAACATCATCAAACACACAAAAAGCGTAAACAATCTACTTCTTGCATTCATGAGTTTAACCAATAACATTATGATCATTGCTTCACAATATATATAAACAATCAGAAATCCATTAATAATCACAAACCTGAAAATTGGTATCTTTGAGTCACGAACGGCCGACGTCTTCGAGCAGACGGTGGGGTTCCAGCACATACAAAACACAACTGTCCCGTATTATGGGTGCATTGTACTTTCTGCACTTTCGCCGTATTGCAAATTTGAAGACAGCGCACTAGTTGTAATCAAGAGTCGGGGATATGGTATCTTTCAAAAGCTGAAACGAAATAAGCGAAATCATTATCACATTCTTATTTTGGTTTCAAGACAAAATATTATGCATTAGTAAGCTTTCATAGACATCGTTTATATGATTAATTTTAGTTTAATTTGCTATGTTCTGATATTAAAATACTCTAAAATATTGGTCAGTAAGAAATGATAAACATGACCCTACTTGTTGATAATGGAACTGCCATTATAATTATTCTTCAAACTTGTCAGAGCCCCCTCTTCACGTATAGGCCATACAAGATTGTTTGGATGCAGATTTGAAAATATGTTTTGTAGGATTTTTATCCTACTGAGTTATGTTATTTTATATATTTAGATGTTATCAATTTGCACATTTTTGTTGGAATTATCCGTCCGTCCGTCTCTCTCTCTCTCTCTCTCTCTCTCTCTCTCGTATTAATGTGCGATGAACTTTATGATGCGGACACTGGTGAAAGGTCAGACATATCAACATAGGATAGTCATAGACAATATAAGGGAAAATAATATTAGCATTTTCTTCATTTTTTCTTCTTCTAATCAATGAAATATTAACATCGCCCAAACAAGAAACGATGAGAGAGAAATGAAAAGGCACTACGCTAGCATGACCCCTCGCTCAATCCGCTAAATACCATTTTTGTATAGTAATTAATATCATGATACATTATACAAGTAGAAAGGTTTACAAGCAACACTATCAAAACTATTTTACGAAAAAATCAACTCGAAGGCGAATTCAATACCTTTGGCATGGAAATCACGTTTGGATTACTCGATAGGTTTTTTTAACGTTCGCACATTTCAAAAGGTCACGTAAAAGGCCATTTAAATGAGGTTGATTTTTTTTTTCTCGAAAATAGTTGCGATTATGACTGTTATGCGTAAAATTGGCACTAATATTTCAATATATAGCTAACGGCAAATTTTCATAATGAATGCGAGTGCGATGATTGTTCTTATGTTTTAAAAAATCTTGAGCCTTATTGATTTTCAGATATATTCACCTCCTCTAAAAGTTCTCACAGGAAGTGTTCACTGTAATCGACTACTTTTTTAAAATAAAATTTGCCCTCACCAATTTTGCCCTATTATTATTTCGTTTATACCATGCTTACGAAGCATGCACAATAGGAAATTGACCCAGGAGGAAGTATTTGACGGAGGGAGGGGGTGGAAACAATTAGGACGAATGCTCCAAAGTTTAGAATGATATTACCTGAATAATATTGAGGCGTTACGATTATGGTAATTGATGACTAAACCTGAACCTCAACTATTAAACCCTAATGGTGGAAGTTTGTGGTTACGAAATTTATCTTAATATTCAAGTCTTTTCCGGTGCATTATGCTTCATTATTAATACAGTCAGCATCACCATGATCACACAGCCAATATAAGGGTTTTAATTTCGCTTTGATAATTTTCTAAGCATAACAAATACATCAACCCATAGTCCCATAAAGACTTTCAAAATCTACTGAAGGGCAATTTGAATATCATTTTGTATTACCTTTTTGGCTTTAGAAATCAAGATTGGATTACGTAATGTTCGCACATTTCAAAAACTGATGAAAAGGCAATTGAAATTTTCATTTTCACCATCATTTATTATCATCAACATCATCACCATCATCAACATCTTCACCATCATCAACATCTTCACCATCATCAGTTTTTGCTCTACTTCATCACCCCCACCCGCACCAATTATTATTGGTATTGTGTTATCAGTCAAATTTGGTTTTAATGCCATCATTTTATTATAGGTTTTTCACGCTCAATTTCATCAGAGTTGCATTGGAATTCTTTAATCGGCGTTCAAGTTAGGCTCTCACGGCTCTCATGGTTCATGTTCATTCTTTGAGCATTCAATTTCGCCTTAAATCATTCTTTTTTCATTCTATATCATTCAATTTAGAGAGAAATCCATTCAATTTAATGACCCAAGGTTGTCATTCAATTTCGTGACAGCTGGATAGACGTTCAATTTTGTCCTTATATATCAATTTCAACGGTTTATGTTATAGGCACACACCTTCGCACTTTGAATGTTCTAATTGAATTAACATAAACAAGTTCTGTAGTTCAATATAATTCTCACCGCAATTTTTTCACGTCTTTTTTGTTTATTCACTGTTCTTTATTATATAATTTCATTTTCATTTTTAAAGTTTTATATTGTGTATTTTAATCATATTTTATATATTTCTTTTCTTCGAGCCCGCGCCGCCATAGTCATGTATTAATGAATGTGTGCGTATGAAAGTGGAGTTATACGAATTCTTGCTTCAATGACAGTTCGTCAGAGGAAGGAGATATTTCAATATAAGGCAAAGGTCCCATTTCAAGGTAAAAGTAAATAATTGTTACAATAAAGAATTGAATATATATGCTAATGCATAATTATGCATGTCTTGACAGCTTTAAATCTTGTAAAATGGGTACTGGTACTAAACTGAACCGCCGTCATATTATCAGGCCACGTTTATGTCACGACATTGTGTATCTTACTTATAGTATCATGCATACAAATTTTACATGATATCTCCCTTGAGAGTTAGGCCACAAATTTCGCTTTTCTTTATATTATTCAAGTCGGTGAATAATTTTGTAGACCCTACACCTTCTTTATACAAAGTGAATATCCGAGAGAAAGAGAGAGAGAGAGAGAGAGAGAGAGAGAGAGAGATAAACACAAAAAAGATAAGGAAAAAAGGGGCCGGGGAGTTAAATTTTAGGGGGGAAACTAAATTGCACCACTAAACCGATCTTAACTTCACGGTTAGATTATAAGTGTTTACGGTATTTGTTGGCAATAGACTATTTTCGTAACTACCAAATGTTATACTTTGTGAAGTGCCGGCAATTAATACACATTATTTCATTCACCTGCAAACTGCATATATTAAGTGTTGCTAGGTAGGCCAAGCCTATAATTTTTGTCCAACCTGGCAACAACTAATGCAGTTCGGATTCTGTCTATTGAAATACTATTATTCTTATTAGGTGAATGAAATAATTTGTATTGAGGCACTTTACAAAGACTTATGCATTAAATTTGATTCCATTACGAAAATGGCCTATTAAATGAATGTTCCTCCTTGCAAGTGCATTTTTCGATACACATGGAAACGTGTTGATTATCCTATTACAGTTCACAGTGATCTTGTGTGCTTCGATCACATAATTTTCAATTCTGTGGCTACTATATGTTAGTAGTATATAGCTCTATGATGCAAATCAAGAAAAAAAAATCGAAACTAGGACCCGTTAAGGCCACCGTATCTGTTTTTTTTTATGGCTGCTAATTTCTTGAAAAAATAACTATATTGGAAATTACTCATACAATTTTATTATGTAAATAATTTTGATAGTATATTTTACTTACAAAAATAATTATTTATAAGTTTAAGAATAATGTACTGTTTTATATTATAAAATTATGAAATCAACTAATTTTTAAAACGTATTTTTCTTGACTCCATTAAATTGGCAAATCAATATGTCAGCCCCCATGTAGATGTGAATGAAGTAACTAAACGGTGACTTTTCACAGTGGAACATGATGAATGAAGTAATGCAGGGTGACACTTTTCGTTGCATAGAATGTGGATTTTCTGCAAGAGAGCTTTACCATGATTACGGCAATGGAATAATTAAAATATCTCACTGTGTAAGTTAATGTTCACCAAATTACAAATCAGATTCAAGCCAACGGCCAACCTACCTGGCTGAGCTGCGTACGCATTCCGAGGAGCTCTTGCCGCCGGACGGCCTGGCGCGCTGTGCCAAGGCCTAGGCCTGTCTGCTGCGATCTTCTCCTGCGCCTCCGCCTCCCTTCTCAATTACAAATATTTTTCAACATGCAATTGCATCATTTTTAATTATAAATGGTAGATCTAGGCCTACTGATTCAATAAATAGAAGTGCCGGTATACAGATAGACCAGTCTATGTAGACTCTATAATCATCTAGGCGGTAGACAAAGGTGTAGCATAGAAATATACATTTTGATAAAATAGTGAAATTTGGGCTAGATCCATCTAATATTACTTAGTTTACTTTAATACACGATGTTATAGGTCTAAGCCTGTTCATCGATCCAGGATTCTTCCATGGTACATGTAACTGCGATTTGTGGATTTAATAGTTTAGGAATGAATATAGTCTAGATCTAGTCTAACTTTGTTAAAATATTATTATTAAGTTAGATCTTTTATAGTTTAGAGGAAAGGGGAAATCATCTTGAGCTCTTATTACTTCATTGTTCTCATTTAAGTTGTATGTATTTCAATTTCAATCAAGGGGAATTCTCATGATTAATGCTTTGTTATATGTGGCTAAGTAAAACCATTAAATACTTGTTTTTGTATGTTTTTCATATCTTTTTTTTCTTGACAGGAAAAGTGTAAACAAGTGGTGGATAAGTATGTGGAGTTCGATCCTGTCATTGTTCTGTTAGATGCTTTACTCTTCAAACCTCAGGCATATCGTCATGTACTATTCAACAAAGTCATTACAGTGAGTCATTTTGTTTGCATTCTGTGTACAACTATTTCTGTGGAGTATATATTCATAATTTATGCATACAAATGATGGGAATGGTTAGTTTGATGGCAAGATTATGGTATTTTGTCTTGTATATTACCAAATGTACAGGACCAAAATACATCTACCTTGGTGAAAAATCCTGATGATACAGCAAAAGTAAATATTGATGTTGAAATGTTGAATTTTTTTTTGCACTGATGAAATGTTATATCTAGGGGGTTACAACTAATACAAGTAACGGTAACCTTATCTTTCATAATTTTAAGTGAAGTAGGAAGCTTATTTGTGAATTTTCCATTCCAGTCGATCCCTGTAATGTTAATCATGATACTTAATGCTGATAATTTCATAAGCATAGGATAATTTATCTTAAAAAAAGACAAAATTTCTTAATTTTTTATCAGTTTTATATTAATGTAACTTAATGATAGTTATGGTGCCATTATATGCAGATTTTAATTACATGTATATAAAAAATTATCAAATATCATTGAAATTCATCATGTTGTGTGACTCTTTTTACCTCTTAATCTGTTTTCAGTTTCACTGGCGTGTGTGCATAGTGTGCCTTCTCTGTGATGCCTATATGAAATGGGCACACAAGTCTGCTGCCCCCACTGAGGGAGAGAGTAAGCCATTCCTAACCTACGCCCTCCAGTGGGACTTTTATGCCATGTTTATGATCGCAGGATTGGGTAAGTTGACCTTTGAACTTTGCAGCCTGAATCTAGGAGGTAACTACCGTATGTATAGTACATGAAGCGAGGGAGAGAAAGAGAGGGTCGGACACTACTGAGAATGTCAAAAGATATAATGTAGACATACACTGTAGAGACTTCAACTTAATGAGTATAAACATGGAAATAGTGGCCTGTATACTAGAAATTAGAGAAATGTTAAAGACATGGCTTCACTAGTCTACTGCTTCATGGTGCCCCAAACTCAACTGTCATCCTACATGTATCAATTTTGTTCAGTAAATGCCATTCTGTAACGGTATGAATGTTTGTTTTTTATAGTTTGTGATTAAGACGATTTTACTTGATGCAGAGGATGACATTTTACTCTCCACAAACAAATTTTCCTCTTCCTCATTTAGTCAGGGGTAGGCCTGGCCCAAGAACCAGTCAAAATATCTTTATCTCTAAATCACCCTCATACAGTGTAATGCTTGATAATATATAGATCTTGATGAGACTTATTTCCCCGTTTTATAAAGATTTAGACCTTGCCCACTTCTGACCGTGATTTCTCAGGTTTTTTTCATATACCATGGGGCTTCAAAAAGTCATAACCCCTGTCATTTCTTCTCTCATATCCTGGAACCCAATATTATCATTTTCAATGCACCTGTGATTTGGTTTTTCATTTTAAAGAGGATAAAGCAGTTTTAGCTCTATTGATAGACTAACATTACCTGATTTCTTTTGTTTTCAGAGTTATTAGCATTCATAGCTGGTGTGGTAGGCATCTGTTTTCTACATTCTGCCCTCTCAAACAGCCGGGAGCATTGGAAAGCAAGGTAATAAGATATATAAAGGAAAATGCTCATGCTTATATTTTTTTTTAAATGATAGACCTACCGTACATGTAATATTCCATTGTTGTGTTGTATTTCTGTATTGTCTAATAGAGTCATGTACTCCACAGACTAACCTATCGGTTTAGCAGCTCATCATGTTTTCTTTTCTTTTCTTTTCCCCCCTTTTCAATAGCAATTTCACATTCATATTTATGTTTAGGATTAGGGAATCACTTCAAGATGTATTCCCAAGGATTAGCATGTTTATGAGGGACCCTTTGCAAGAATGGTCAGAATTTCAACTTCACAGACATCTTATGAAAAGTCGGTTTAATGTTACAACACATGTTTGGATGGTATACTATCAAACTTTATAGTTTCTTGCTACTGGTCACAGAAAACTATTTGTACTTTGACAAGCCTGTGATATTTCCTTTTTCAGATCATCTCGTCTAGTCAAAGCACTGTTGCTGTCCTCAGCGGGCAAGCTACTGGTCATCCCTGTGGTTATCTGGGGTGAGACACATATCTATACCACCCTTCTACTGACCAGGCTCTTCATGGCAGTGGCCAGTACTCAAGCCATTACAGGTAGGTGTGTGTTGTTATGCAGGAAGCAGTGCCACAGGGTAGGGGAGGAGGGGAGGGGGGCACATGAGCAGGAAAAAGAAAAAGAAAGAGGAGAAAGAAAGGGAGAGAGGTACAGCTACGAGGTGAAAAGAATGCATCCCCTTCCGCACCCACATCCCACTGGACCGCCCTGTTCTTTCTCATTTGATAAATCTATTAAGATTGTTGCTCCCTGACACCAGTGACCCCCTAAAAGGTTGAAATATTTTTGAAGTAATCTTTGGGTAAAAAAGTTCCCCCCAAAAAGTCAAATGTGTTAATTGTAGAGAAACAAAAACCATATCAAAATATAATTTGTCACATTTTCTTTGCTTGCAGTGATACTGGACTGCCCACACATCACCAGCATATCACTAATTGGGTGTGGGTTCATCACAGAGGCCTTAGTGAGCTTACTAACGCCCTCTATTGAGAGCATCCTCTTTGTGAGCTGAGGGATGGATGCCATGGAGACTTGGACCGTTTGATCATCCAAGCCCAATGTGTTTCTCAAATTTACAGAAGCGACAGGATCGTACTCGCTATCTTGATGATAGTGCTGTAGAAGTGTTTGAGATGGAGCCTTGGTATGGTGCGAGGTGTACTGCTTCATCATTTCCAAGTAGCATGGAAACTGCAGAAGTGGGAATGAGCATATGTACAAAGGACACCAGTGCATAAAAGTTCCTGACCGTTAGTGTCCATGTGACGTACGTAGCATTGTATTACCCAAAAGGCTAATAATGGCTGGTATTTTTTCCAGTACAGTACTGTGAACATTACTGGAGGAAAAGGTCTGCTCCACCAGCAGAACTTGAGTCGTGCAAACCTTGAACGGGATGTTCTACTCGTCTCCAGATACCACTCGATCTCCCTTTGAAATGCTTTCATCTATTGAAATATGAACATACTAGCCCATGATACTTCCACTAGCAAACTCTGCAATGAACTTCCCTGGATTGTATACAAAAGGGACTTTTTGTTCCATTGAAACTAACACCCGAGAAAACGGCCGACTCATAATTCTGAATGAAAGCAGCCTAGTTTGGTGCAATAATTCTACTGCAGAGTATGCAACATTATAAGCAAGAACTACAACTGCACCAAAACAGTTTTTTAAATTGGTTTTCTTCATTTGAAACAAGATGGTATTAAATGACTACAGTTACCTGAAGAAGCCATTTGAATAAAAGTGTAAACAAATATTTCTTGTCTAAACAGTTTCCTTTGTCCTATGGTGACTGTCTTTTATTTTAACTCTCTGAACAACTTTAAAACATGTTTATGTGTATGGTACATGTATGTCATTTTATCATAAGATGGGAGAGGCTTTCTCTTTTGATATCCAATGGTCACCCCAATTTATACAATTATCAGCAAAATTTTCAGGTATTCTTTTTCTTCAAAGTGTCTTTCTTAAAGGTAAAGGCCAGTTTTGGAAACACCCCCCTCTCAAAAAATGAAATGGAAGCTCTTATTACCAATCATGTGAAAGAATATGATTTGACATGACGATAACAAATTTGCTGGGAAACCGCCTACTAATTTATATATTTGGTAAATTAGTTATCTATTTGGATGTGATAGATATATCTTTACATCTTTCTGTGTACAGTGCTTGTAACTTTACAAAGACTGGGCCAAATTTCTTATCATTTTGATGATTCCAGAACCTTGCAGTACACACCAATACTTATATGCTAGATGATCAACCTTTTCTGATTGATTCCACAATGTTTCTTTCACAATGCAATCGCATGACCATAACTGGTCTTTATCTTTAAGACATTTTGCTTCATAAACTACACATATACGCTTTATTAGGCTCTGAACATCATTGTAACCATTTATGAAATGGACAGACATTACCCTTGTCTTCACACACACACCACTCAAAATAGGAAACATATTCACCACCTTTGCAATTCATACAAGTGTTCTTTTTTTTAATCAATAAATCATTGCAATGATCTGCAAGGCATATAAGAAATATTTACAAACTTGTCATCTTCTCTTTTCTTCTAAAAAGTTTAAAGACACATGATTTACATTTTATAACAATTTCTCCAGAAGTCATTGTTGAAACAATACCATCAACTTTCCAATACCTTATTCGGTCAGGCTAATTCAATATACAGAAATCTATGTACATAATGTTGCATCCCCGGTTATACAAAAATAATCATTTCTCTTTATCAAATATCTCTACATTGATGCCTGTACATGATGTTTACATAATGTAGACTGGAGATAATTCTTTTTTAGATACAGGTAATAAGAACTTGAGCAGAAAGCACCTTAAATGCTATTTATCCGATTAAATAACATGCAATAATAACATTACTGGGACATTTTAAACATATACCCATAGTAATATACAGATGTTTGACTGTACACAATAGATTCTCCTTTGTTACATAATTACAAATGACTATGATAGTCTGAGCAAAGAATATGAACTAAAGCTATGGTCACAAATCAGTTAATTGGTTAAAAACTCGCCACTCGGCTGCCGAGCAGGCTACTTTTGGGTAATGTGACCATAGCATTAGATAAAAAATTGACTTGTAAAATCTGAAATTTCAAAGTACATTCAGCGGCGACCGAGCGATGCCCTAAAAACGAGCGGTGCCTGAGCAGCCACCACTCCGTGGCCAGGCAGAATTGGCTAAAACTTGCCGCTCGGCTGCCGAGCAGGCTACTTTTGGGTCATGTGACCATAGCATTAGATAAAAAATTGACTTGTATAATCTGAAATTTCAAAGTACATTACTATCTTCATCATTAATAATAATAATAATAATAATAATAATAATAGCCTAATAGTCCACTCCAAATTTTATTAAACCGAAACGGAAATTCTTTTAAAGTCATCTCTATAGAGTTCTCACCATTAATATTCCACCTGAAACCTATTTCATCTATATTTTACAAAACCATTCGTTTAAAAAAAAATGGGCTGGCACTGAGTTAATTATCTGAGAGAAGGACTCGTATTTTAGAGGATTTTGTTTTTGCTGTATACTTGCTGTCTCTAAGGCACATCACTTCATAGTTTTTAATGTATACAACAGACCTCTGGGCCCTGTCTCATGAAGAGTTCTGATTGATACGGAGTGACTGCAAGTCCTATCAATTGCAAACTCACAAACTCCTATCTCTCTTAGACTCTAGAACAGAATTGCAATTGATATCAAATTTCAAAATCGATCCAAATCAATTACAACTCTTCATACAACATGGCCTACGACAGTTAATAATATGAAAACGAGGCACAGATTCTGAAAGAATTTGACTACCGGTACATTGGAATATAATAAGATACATGTATATATATAAAGATTAGTGCATTATCACTTACAACAGACAGGCACCATGTGATGGTATTGGTCGATCATGGATTAAGAGGTATATAGATGTGATGTCTGGTTTAAGGACTTCCTGTGATGCAAATATCTAGAATATATCGTATAAACAAAAGTCTTGATGCATTTGTGTGAATGCTATCAAACATGAAAATGTGTTGGACAAAAAACTTCCTTGAATATGGCATGATAAGTATGAAGTCATCTGCTGCTGCGAGCCAGAAATGCATTAAAGCAACAGCTTTCCGCCTCTCAAAACAAAAACAGAAAGCAAAATTAGCCATTGATATGGATTTAGAGACTTTATCATTTAGATTGCTTAAATTGAATAATGTTTGTTTAGATTTATTTCTTTTTTGAATAAATTCCTTTACAGGTGTCCACATTTCTTTTCTCCATCACAAAAGGTTCTTCATGCGTTATTTTTTGTCCAATATGTTTCTTGTGACCTGCATCTACCAGTAATTTGGTTTTGTCCAGGGCCAATATGTCTCCTTTTGATCAATATGTTTTAAAACATTATACAGACATAATGTTGAATATAGTGACACTATACTGGTACTTTTGAAAAGAGGAAAGTTATCTTAATTTACAAGCAGCATTCACCAGAACTCTTGTCTGACCTCGCATGACCCCAGACTGACCTTGTACATCTATCTTGCCCGCCAAATCATTTGCTACAAAGTATTAAAAAAGTAGTATTCAAATATACTTGAAAGACAGATGAAATACAAGGATTACATTTTGTTACAAAGACAAATGATCTTAGAAAGATTGGTACAGGTGCAGATAATTACATACTACATTCATGACACCATCAGTCATTTCAATATCTCTCAATTGAACATTCCATGTTTCTAGTGCAGGAACATATAATACATATTTCAAATCAAAATCTATAAAAAAAAAATCAATGTGGAGCACCATATCCATATATCCTGAAGATGGTGTTATCAAATGTACCAGTAAATGATTAAATGCTGTGATAAAGAATCACATAATAAAGGTGATTAGATATATGTTAGAATTAATTATCAAAAGATCAGATTTTGAGTTGTTTGATAAATATATAAAAATTATAAATTATAAATAATTGCATTCATTTAATTACTTACAATATTCATGATAACCATTTCTTTACTCGGTAACTGGGTAAAAGTGGATAAAAGACTTAAAATATCATGATTTCAAGCCTCTACAGGCATTTCAGCACCATGCACTGAAAATCTTCTGCACAATGGCCTATGAACAACTCGGACAAATCAATGTAGATCTCTCAACTGTGTACACATGTAACAAATTACAAGAAGAGGTCAAGTACAAAAGCGATATTTTCTTAAAAGTAGTCTTCAGAAAACCCATGTCCTAATTACTGTATTACTGCATCCACTTTTATATACTGTATACTGAATATAATACTGTGTTTCATCACCTCACTGCCAAAAGGACATTACAGCTATTGACATAACATGGTTTCAGTGTCTTTTTTGCAGTGAGACAATTTCTGTTTCACTAATGTGCATTGAAATTCCATAAGGGAACAAAGACGATACCAGGTCAATAGAAAGTAACTCCCCTCCAGCTTTCAGCAGATAATTAATTCAACATTGCAAAATTATGGGAAAACTGTGCAGAGGATATATTTACTCAATGTTAATAATATGCCTATTTCTGCTCCATTTTCTATACAGTATGAGTATCCCCTGAATGGCCTTTTATGGCCTACATGTTTTAACCGAAAAACAGGAATTATATTGTTTTGAAATGGTTGCATAAGCGTGTTCATACAGTTGATTGTGACATACAAATGATAAAGGCTAGATTGGTGTCTTCTATTAAAAGCAAAAGGCACAGGAAACTGTGATAGTGATTGTCTATATAGAAGGCACCTAGTGCAAAGGCTAGGGTAAAGACAACCTCCGAAACATACAAAACTTATCTACAGGTAATTAATGCCAGTATGAGCACTCAATATCATCAACTGAAAACCAAAGTAATGGGATTATAAATAGTATACTGTGATGTAAGACACTTCTATACCAATCAAATGTAATATAAATAATCTTTGTAGATTCACTCTTAGCTACATGATGAATATTAAGGCACTTTGACTAAACAAAACAAAGAAGTGGTCCGAGGCAATTAAACATCAACACACACTGCATGTACATACTTTAATAGGCCGATGAAATATTTATAGATGATAAAATGTTTAGTCACGTGTACTTGTAAAACCTGCAGCATATTGCAGATAACAGCAGCTGATATCCATTACACCTCTAACTTTCCCCATTCTCTGGCCTAAAACAAGGATCTTGCAATGGATTTATGGGCAAGTATCGTAAAACTGGACTAAGTATAACATGTTGTTACTCAAGTAGTCCAAATCTGGCTAACCTTACTCCATTTTGATGGTTTTTCGTGAGGGGCCTTCACGTTCAGGTTTACTGACGCCTGAATCATGAAGATCACCTATGTATAAAGGCCAATCTTCTTACTTCCCTAGAATGGTCTTTATATTCAGGTTTATTGAAGCCTGTATACCTACACAGGCTTCTATAAACCTGAATATATGGAATACCACCTGTCTACAAAGGTCACTTCTCTTGTTTCCCTTGATATGAGTAGTCTTATATACAAGTCTGGACAGTAATACAATATGAATAAACAATAGTGGTGGGCAATAAAAGTCTATCCTCAGAGATACTCTATAACTTGATCAAGTAATGATCTAGATTCATATTTTCTGCTCAAAGGCAACGTGTAGGTCGTCGACCTCTCCAGGCACAGGGGAGTTAAGACCGTCCGTTGTGCTGCTAGACACCGAGCTACTCTCATCATCTGCCCCACCCCCACTCCCTGTGCTGTCATAGCTCTGCTTCAAGCTTCTCGTCTTTATGGTGTGAGGGGGGCTGGCCAGCCCACCCCTGGTCGTCGACAGCAGCATGAGGTCGTCCAGGTCAAGGGAGCGGCGGGAGGGGTCACTGGAGTCCCCATCGCCTTCCCGGCCGTTCAGGTCCAAGACGAAGTGGTCATTAATCTGGTTGCCGATGGCGACCGAGTGCCGCAAGGAGGAGACGGAGGCCAGTTTCTGGGAGTCTGCAACACGGAATGAGGCAAAACCTGAAGAAAGGGAAAGAGAAGTGTTTCAAAACCGAGGTGTTAAACTTGGAACATACATCAAGCACATTCAAAGGAATTAAAAACTATTTCATCATTCCATTACCAATTAGTTTTACTTACTATGGGACTGAACATGATTAATATTTTTTTTAATAGATAGTCATATTCATCTATCTTCGTGATTACCTGTAAACAAATTACACCTGTCTGTAATAACCCTTTTTCTTGTTTCTCCAGCAGCCTGCATTCACAGGTTTGGTTGTGATATCATTTTAGCTTTAAATAATGCTCTACTTCAGCAAATGGTTTCACATTCATTTTCCAGAATAGTCTTTACTAGTCTACTAGTACTATTGCCATAAAGAATATAAATGTCTTGAAGTTCCTTTACTACAGTGAGATGATAATGGGGCTATCAAAGGCCAATGTAGTAGTATCTACTGAATGTATATGTACTGTAGAACTCTAAACTGATACAGAAGTAAATAAAAATGAAAAATATATCTGAACAAATACATGTACCGGGTATACTGGTTAGGTACTTGGAAACAAGCAAAGTGATTTAGTCATGCAGCTATACTTGATAATACACAGATAATGCCATGCAAACTTTTCACATTAAATATATACAAATTGGAATATATTTTTCTTTCTTTTATAATGAGAATAAGAGCAATTCAAAGTGTAAATGAAATAATAAAATACATGCAACATTTTTCAAAACTTCATGTGAATATGACAATAAAAACAAAGATTAAGTTATTGGGCTTTCAAGAGAGCTCTGATTTCATCTGTCAAAGGCAGCATCCCAAACATATTCTTCACTTGATCCCGCTTAAAACACAGAGCAGAAACAAAAGGTGGAAACAAATCTTAAATCAACAAATTTGGCACTGTGAAATGTTTGTGTTGGGCATGAATGTGCTATTATATAGTACATCCAGTCAACATTTTCAACTTCAGGATTAAAAAGCCATGTAGATTAAACCAATTTCCAACAATAACAAAAAACAAAACAAAACATAAAAACATTTTAAAAATACATAAAATAAGGCCCAGAAGAATAATGCTCAAGTACAATACAGCTCTTCCTAAAACAACAGATATTTACTTCTAACTTTTGCTGAGAAAGAAGCTCTCTTAAGAACCACACTATTGTTTGTTGCATTAGTAACAATTGCATTAGATCAGTAAAAATGTATGGAGGGTGAAAAAAATTAATGCAAAAGTTATTGCCAACTAATTTGCTTCTAGCACCCTTCAAATGTAACAGCTAGGAAAGTTTAGGGCAAAAGTCATAGAACTTAATTCAACCTATCCAGGAAATCACTTTTTTTTATAAAGGACATTATATAATCAGCTTGAATTATATAATCAGATTTGTCTATTGGGGTCAGTCTAGTTAAATTGCATTGGTAAATTTCAACAGCCCCCTGGTACGAAATAATTTAATACATAGTCCTTTGAATCATATCCCATCGATCTTAAATAGGGAAAAGCAAGGGTAAACTGCTGTTTTTTTAAAAATATACTTTATTCTGTGAGTTGAATTTGTATCTTGTTCAAACACCATCCGCCAAATCAAACCCTACCCACATATACAGTAGCTTACAAACTTTACCAGCCCCAAGTATTAATCTCTTTTTATGCACAGCTTGTCCAAAATATACACCCTAACTTGCCTTTTAATACTGAAGTAACACAACTTGATTTTTATCAAAATGTTCATGACGAATGAAATGTATGACAAATGAAATGTATGGCTATTCAGTATTGCTCTTGCACTTCAACTTGGAAAAGAATATTGTAATGATTGGTCTAAAATATGCCAACCCAATTCTAACAGCACTAGGCCATGTTTCACAAAACTTGCTACCAGTAACAAAATACAGTGATTATTTGAAGCCACTGAAATCCCTTCATTTGATTGGCTATGCACATGTTTGTTAAAGATCTAGGCCAGTTGTTATTGATGATAAACACTTTTATGAAACAGGGCCCGAGTTCAACATCCTGAAGTAAACAATGTATATGATGATCATGACAGTATTTTGAGACAAATGACTTCATGTATTCTATGGCACCAGTTGAACTACCCCAAATTGCCGAAGGAAGAAACAAATTATAAAGCTACCTCTTCTGCCCTCTGGAGCATCATCCGTTTTAAAAGCTGGTAAAAATACACCATAAAGTCAAATGGTTAGAAAGGGATCTGAACGTTTACATATATATTCTACTTAATCTATGTTTTGTATTGTTATTTTGAACACTGCAAGTCTTTCAAGTGGACACATAAAGTAGTTGCAACTCTTTCATTGACATCTCAATTCTCCGTAACCATTTCGAAACAAATCTATCAAGTAAAGGAACATTAAATAAACTATTTAATAATCACACTTCTTTAGCATGTTAGTGTGTGTGGATAACACATGTCCAAGCACTGCCTAGACAGAAAGTATGTGAAGTGCTTACTGTTTGACAACCTGTAATGCTATTGTGAGCAAGTGCAATGTGGTTGAAGCAGCTGTGGTGGCCAGTGAGGCCTACAATCATGATCTGGTGGACCCTTTAAATTCTCTACAGAGTGTTCTTTAGACTAACATTGTCAGTCTTCTTGTATGTTGTGGTTGAAACTGGTTGACTCCTACCTTACCACAATAGTTGCTTTGACAAAAAAAGGGAGGGTTTTAATGGACCAATTTGTAGATACATCATGGAACAAATGACTCCCGTGGAGTCACTTGAACCCTGTACCTTGTGATCTGTAGGCAGGTGACTTATCCACTAGACCACAACATCTCTACATCGAACAGGTATAAATCCTGCATAACTCCATCTCAAATTTACCAAAACTACATGTTATCTCTGGTATTACTATTAGTACTGTGTGTAAGTGTCGATGCGATAAATATTGATGCTACAAACAGTTAGATACATGTACGTTTGACAAACAAAACTACTTGAAAATGCAGTGATTTATTCCAGTTTCATTAGTAAATATTTGTGGTATTACAGTTTAAATAACATGGGAAAGGTTATTTTTTTTAGGAATTTGGGAGATGTTTTATGAAGGTGGGGAGGCGGGGGGCATGAGTGTAAGGAGTGAAACAGGTGAGACTCCACAGGGGTTTAGACAAAGTGGGAGTAACATTTTGAAGGAAATCTGGATGAACTGAATAAAGTATCAAAAGAATTTGCTATCATCCATCACCAGAAGCAGTTGCAGAATTATAGCCTTAAGATTGCATGTAGAAAAATCACTTCATTTTAAATTTCTACCCTAGTTTTTAGAATTATTTTTCTTTTTCCACCACCACTTAAAACAATTTACAATTCATTAAGAGAAAAAAGTAAATTCTAGAGAAAGTTGAAGCTAGAGAATGAAAAAGAAATGTATTAATTTTACACTTTGCCGATACAACTATTCAATTTTTTTACAAAATCATTAATATAGTATGAATTACCGTACTATAAAGCCTATACATAAAAACTAGAAAATATTTTGTCATATTAATTTCATAGCATTGTTATTACCTACATGTAGATAAACATTTGTGTGACCTTTTGGACTGATAATTCATCATCTAATATTCAAAAGTTAAACAGTACCTTAAAATAAAATCCCTCAGCTGTGTACCATCTAAACTCTTATTCTACTCTGAATTTACCAAATGACATGTTTTTTCTATAAGATATAAAGAAGGAATGACTTCTGAGCAGAAACGAATAGGAAGTAGAGGTGAACAGGATAACTTGAGGAAGAAAGGATATTTTTGGAGCGAGGGAAGGTAAAACTGAACATGCGGACAACACTGGGACAGTGGTAAACTAGCTACAACACGACTGCTAGCTGGCACAAAGCGATTTCACATGGTCGTCCATATACCTTCTTAGACGCTCGTTCCCAGCAATGATACATCCAAGGCACTGTTCGGTGACAGTGTGGTGCCCTCTACCCCCAGACACTCATTAGAACGTGAATCTGGGAGTTGAGGGAATCTGGTTTGTGTGGACATGGTCAGACAGCTTGAGCTGACCGAATGCTGCACTCCCACACTCCCGTTTGCACTTGTACTTTTGCCGTTGGTGGTGACCATTGCCTCGCAGGCTGCGTCAGCACGAAGACAATGGTCACTGGTCGAGTGGGCACGGATCAACGCCACGGCCTCGCGACGGATCTCCCGTTTACGGGTGGCGTCCGACCGTGCAAGCTGCCGATCAATTTGAGCTGGAATATCTGGGTTGCTATTTTGTCTGCCTTTAAGGGTTGTTTCAAGTTATTTTCCAAAAGGTATTTGATTGTAGACATGGGACCGCAGATACGCAAAAAGCCATGGGAGTGCATCGTGGGAGGTGGAAGGCATTGCATCGTGGGTAAGGAGGGGTAGAGTAAAATAAAGAAGGAAAGCAAATAAAAAGAATACATGATGAAGAGAATGATGACAAAAATAAGATACCCAAATGTTAAATGAAAGCAACGAAAATTCAAATGTTTAACTCATCCAAAATAATTCAGAAGGCTTGATGAGAGGCTAAGAAAAGAAAATATATTTGATGGTCAGAACTTTTTATACAGCAACTACGATATAGGGAGACATAATGCAACCAGCGAAATACAGAAAGTATATTAACACATGTGGTGTATTGTCTCAAAATAAAAATTATTTTACTACAGTGCCCTTTAAAAATGTCAGTCTCTTTAAATTTTGAACAATTTTTACTGCAATGAATTTACACTTTGAACTACATAATTGTACTTTAAATTGGATATTTCAGTTGGATCATGTCTTATTATATGTGACATGTCCTTTTATTTTTTGAATGAAAGAAATAAAATAAAAATAAATATATATAACCTACTAGGCTGGATAAAGAAAACTTTGTTATAAGAATGAAGCATGAAAAGAGACCTGAAAAAGTTGTCAGAAAATGAATTTTGAAAGAGTAAGATGTGCAGATCATATTTAAATAGTCTACCATGAACCATTAGTTTTTAATGCAAAAGAAACTAGTGCCTCAGTGCTCTTAATAGACCCTCAGGTGTGCTATCAAAAGTGTGATGTATTAGTAAACTTGCAATTATCTTGCACACCTTCAGCTTGAAAAAAAAACAGAACTAGACCTTGTATTAAATCAACATTGATACTATGACTAATGCCTGCATCAATATGTGGATGGACAAGGTGGATTGAGACATGAACTGATCTTATCTAGTTATTACATTTTCTCTTTACTTCACTTTCACAGATCATCATCATCTATTTCGAACTAAATCCGCAATTTTCAAGAAATAGGCTTGCAGTATCCTTGTAGCATAGATTTTTTTTAATAATTAAGCGTACCATTTCCTTTTTCTGATGTTTTCTTACATTAAATTTATCATGGTAAATAGGGAATCATGTATCTCAATAAATATGCAATTTAAGCATGAAATTGTTGATTTACAAAATAAAAATCAATTATAAAGCAGGATATATTAAAAATAAAATGATACATGATAAGAATAACAATAATCGGTCACATAATGCAGGGGGCACAGGTTCAAATTAAAACCACCAATACATCAAACTTGTACATTTGAATCCTACAAACAAATATCAGTCTTCCCTGTGTACAGAAAGGGGTATATCCATCTAACAACCACCACAAGGTTTGTTTGCCTTGTTACCATGGTGCTGACCTCTGTAACCATGATGACCCTGTCTCCCGAATACTCACTGTGTCTAGCATGGTTGCGATCCCTCTCCTTCCTGAATTTGAAGCTTTTGGTCTTGCGGACGAGCGACTTGCGAGCATGAAGAGCATTCTTCATGATGATTGGCTTGTTGGAATCTATCTGCGCCTCGGCCGCGATGTCTTCAAAGAACCCTGAAAATGGTGAGAGGAGAAGAAATATAGATAGAATAATAATGATAAATTCCACAAAATTCACATTTTTTTGTTACTGCTTTGATGTTTTGATGTAAACGTTTATTTATTTTGATATCTTTTTTGCCATTTACTATGTTTTTCTTTATATATAAATGTTTTTAATGTTTTTTTTATATAATTGAATGTATGATGTAAACTTGCATTTTTAGTCTTTGGACTTTTTGACGAGATTGAATAAAACCTGATTTGAATTGCCTTGAATTGAATTGAAACAACCATAATAACTATAATATTGCTTATACAATTCAAAATACATATTCACAATTTTCATGATTTCCAAAGCACCATGGAAGTATATAGAGACATTAAATTAAAATGTGATATATAAATAAAACATTGGATATGCCATTATTGTCGGCATCCTAATCCTTAGATCGTGCCAAATACCAAAAAGCCATCACCCTTCGGATGAACCACCTGTAAACAGAATATGTCAATTATATTGTCAGGTAGATAAGGCAGAAAAGACGTACAAGTACACCCTTTTAGCAGCTTTACAGCTTGAAAAAACAGAGTAGGGGATCATAGTATACAAACAACTGTAAGACCAGACCCTTTAAACTTGTGAACCAGCCATGTCCAGTCTCAAAGACTATTACTTTTGGAAAATGACTTTTACAGTCTGTAGTCTTTATCAACGCTCTGATTGCCAAGGCATTGTGCAAGGTGACAAAACGAGGATAAGATCTCTACATAAAATTCTGTGAAGGGATCATCAGATTGTCCCAAAACTTGGCACACTAATCAAGCACTTCCTGTTTTGACCAGCATCAATACAAAAGGTTACAGATACTCTGGTTTAAAGTTACAAGAGATCAAAATGAGAAATGTAACCAGAGCCGTAAAAATATCAAAGCTAAAACAAACTGAAGATTACAAAAACACAGGTCTACCTGAGATTGTTTGGCACTTCCAATTTTTGAAATTACGAAGAAAGTATATGCTTTCAAGAAATACTAAACATAAAAATGGGACCATCCCATCCTAAACGCATCTTTACTGAGCTCCAACTGAAAATCACACCATGCGACTTTAAGGGGGTTAAATTGTGGTGCCTGGTCACAATTTTTAATGATGACCAGAGTTTTTTTTATAAAATTGTCAAATAAGTGGATTAATTGTTTCATCATGTAGCACAGTAGGAAACTTTTGTAAATATGAATACTGAATAAATTCACAAAAATTAAATGCACGCAAAACTTTCTGTTATTAGCTTGGCGATCAGCCGCTGAGAAGACCTACGTTTGAGATGTGCCACATTGGTGAAGATCTCCACATCTAGCTCGCTCTGTCTCTCTGTCCTTGGCTCTGGTCCCTCCATCGACTTCTCCTCCTTCAGCGCCGACTCCAGCCTACCGAGAGAGTCCTCCGCCTTCTTGAGCCGCCTCTCAGCGTCCCGTCTGGCGATAATCTCTTCCTTCAGCTCTGCATCGGTTAACTCCTTTTGTACGGTCAAGTCCTAATCAGATCATGGTGGGTGATGGAAATCAAATTGGTAATGAGAATATCAATGGGGTCTATGTAGGGTAACCCTTGATGGTAAGGTTCCACAATCAAACATGTAATGATTTTAAGATGAATATCAGTTAGCAATATCACAATATTCATTCTACCGACAGCTGAATCACAAACTAAAAAATTTCTGTGGTGTTTTTTAATACTTACCCAAAATCAATTTCTAAGTGTGAAATTTGATTTAAAATTCTTCTTTCATTGTAATATTTCCCACATGAATAAATTATACAATGATGGTACCTTTTCTTGTTTGAGAGATTTGAAAAAACAGCCATTTTTAAAATCAAACTTAGCATTAAAATGAACTACACTGGCTTACAGTTACTGAGATAATATAAACTTGGATACTTGTTCAAATTTTTAAATCTTTGTCAACTATACTTCCTCTATACATCTCTTCACTCTTTCAGCAACAGAGAATATCGTATTCACTTTGATCTACATCAACTCCGTCCTTTCTCATCACCAAATCCAGAGAACAGCCTAGCTTCAAATCCTTTCAAATTGTTGCCCGCGCTTATGGAACAAACTGCCTGCATTTCAGAGAACCCTACTTCACTTGACTTCTTTAAAAAAACCTTTGTAAACATCCCTCTACAATTCTTAATTTGTCCTTAGACTAAGATAGCACCTTGTATTCAATGGAAAAGACGCAAATAAATCAAATTATTATCGTCATTATTATTATTCAACACTCAATTTCTTGACTGAGATTTCCCCCTTGTACAATTGGATATTTGTAATGTGCCATTTACCAAGATGGCATAGCATGGCTTCCTACACAATCAGTTTGACTCCCGATCTAAATTCATAAGACAATCTATATGTTGAATTGACACTTCAATACAAGCATGATGATCCCTGTCTTTAGTGAGTGCCTAGGAATACAACCATCTGAACAATCCTCTTACATGTAATGACGACTCCAGTTCTCTGGCTTGCATGTTGAAAGACCTCTTTTCCTCTTCCAGGATTTCTGCTTGAACCTCCTTTTCCTTTAACCTGTATGAAATAAAAAGGAGGAGGACTTGTGTAACCATATAATACATATATGTGCTACAAATGTTCATAATTTACCACTAATTTATTATTGCTAAAATGATGTTCCTTTTCTCAGCTTCATGCTAAACCTACTACTTCAAATCATAGGTGGATTCTGCCTACGATGGTGCCCTCCTGATCAAATGCTCCCATCTACCATGTCTTCAAGGACACAGCATTCACTGTCATGAACGTTAGACTCTTCTTGTTCTCACTAACCTTGAGGATATCCTTGAGGATATCTTAGGTAACCTTGTACTCCTCATCCCCTGTACTCCTCATCCCCTGTCCACCCCACTCATAACCATCCCTCAGAACCATCCCTCATAACCATCCCTCATAACCATCCTCATCCTCATCACTATCTATTACTCCAACCTAACCATCTTCAATGACAAAGACTCATTCACTATTAGGTTTGCCTTATTAGCACTGTCTTTCAAGTCATTCTTGACAATGACCTGAGTTCTTCTACTCCTACATTATCTTCCATTCTCCTTCCATCCATTTCTCTTCCCCTCTTCCTTTTCCTTCCCTCCATCCCTTTCTTCCTCTCCCTCCTACCTACCTGTCTTCAATGACGCAGAGCTCATTCTCCAGTAGATTTGTCTTGTTCTCAATGTCTTTGAGGTTGTCCTTGAGGGCGTTTGTTTCTGAGACCAGGGTCTTGTTCACACTGCTCAGTTGATGCATCTCAGACTCTCGTCTCTGCAGCTCCAACTCCTTCTGTTCTCTCACCAATGCAAGAGCCTACCAAAATGCACAGAATAGAAATAAGATATTTTAGACCTAGTCAAACCAGTGTGGACAAAGATATAATTGACAGCCAGATACAAAGTTTGCTTACATCCTGTATTGAACTTTCGCATTTGACACACTACATGTCTCTCTAAAAATATATGTGGATCTTTTTTGTGCTTCAAAACTCTTCTTTCTTTTTTTTTCTTCTTCTTCTTATTTTGTATTTGGCATCACCTGTGCCTGGGAGGCGAAAAGCAAACTGAATCACTGTAACCTTCTGGTATATCTGATTTGGGGTGTGTAGGTGGACCACCACACCTGGGTCCCCCCCCCCTACTCTTTATATACGAATGGAACCGTGGGTTCTTAACATGTGCAAAGGTGGGGACTCTCCTTCACACAGGGCCTCCATTTAACGTCTTATCCGAGGGACAGAATGCTCGTTCTGTTTCTCATTTACCGCATCTTTATTTCCATCTTTCCCATCCTCACATAAGCACAGTGTAAGTGAATATTCTGCAAGTGATCAACACTCATCACAATTTATTTTCCTATATCAATTTTTTCTCTACAAAGATGAAATTACCAAACACTAACCACTCTGCCATTCCCCCCCCCCCCCTCCCCCCCCCCCCCCATTTTCTTGATAAATGGATAAAAACTTACTAAAGCAAGTAAATATAAAGACTGCAATTCAACAATACTTTTTTAATCTATATAGAAGATTATGAAAAATGGAAAAAGGAGGGAAGGGGAGGAAAGCAGAAAATGGAGGAAGGATCAAATTAAAAAGAGATCAATGAATAGCGTTAAGAGATGAACTACTTTCTCTGAGATTTAATCATGGCCACCATTAAAAAAGAAGTGATATTGTGCACTGTTGTTTGCCCCTGAGAGCCATAGCACCAAACAAATAATACCATCCCTAACAAACAGGTTATTATCAATTAGCCTTCCCTCCTTCTAAATCAATCCATCTCTCTCTCCCAACCTATAAACTTACAAGCTGAGTCACACACTAAAAATGGGATGGGGGGGGGGGGGGGAATGAATTATTGTTTGAATAATTTTACCCTACACTAGTCCTACAAATAGGCTGAAATTATTTTATCAAAGTATTTATGACCTACGATGCTAATGTGTCTCTTTCGCCCTAACTATGCGTAACCTGGTGTGCTTTTGGCAGGCGTGAAGAAAAGCCAGGTGATATCTAGCCTCCGAACACTTCATGGTACAATGTATGAACAAGTTGGCAACATCTTTAATTTTCTTAATTTCAACTCAATGAGATTCTAGATAACCACATGAATTTTCTTTTTCTTTTATTTCATCTTTGAGGTCTACTTTAATCAACATGGCCATGAAGGAGGTTGATACACTTTTGGAAACAAAGAGAAATGTAAGCCCCAGTTCAAAACATGCATGATATCATCAAAGATATTTTTTTATATATAAGCTAATAGACAAATAAGAACAATACATTAAAGATCAGCACTCTCCCCTAAACTTGAAATAATAAGTCTAGCATCAGAGCCAGGAATTAAGTGCCCTTTTCCCCAATATTGTTAGAAACTCCTTCTTAATTCTAATAATTAAACCATTGAAAATTTGTTCTGCTCCACTTAATTTTTATTGTTCATTCAGACACCTGAAACAAAACAAATAAAACAGACCTATGTTCACTCCCCCTGACCAAAAATATTTCCCAAGCTCCTCTGATCCATACTTCTCCACAAATAAAACAATGGCTCAAACAGATTCACAACCCATGAATGCTCGAATCCCCTTTTATTCCATTCTAATACCCAGATTATCGCTTCTACGTATATAATATTTCCAGTTGATACAGAGATGACAATGGAATGAATGTTTGAATGGATTTGTTCCGATAAACCACCCTTCCCAATCATTCCCCCCTATCTCTCTCTCATCACACTATAAGCAGGTGATCTTTGTGAACAAGTTGGATTATCTAGGCCATGAAACAGAGCACGGAGGCCTATGTACTTCCCCAATGATTCACAATTGTTCATTGAGAGGCCGTCATTTAAACAATGCACACACACATAGCCAATTACATTAATGACAAATCCCATTAGGCATTTGTTTTCTGTAATAGACTACATGTTGGTCATAAATTGCATTTTGATCTTTCAAATCATTTAGAAATTTCCATGATTTTTTTCTTCAATTAATGTACCGGTAGGTCATTAAATTTAAATCCTATTGTTCTTTTTTGAACAATAGAATCTCTAATCGAAACAGAAACTACATAAATAAATATATGTTATTGTTAGTCCGATATGACTCAACATTAACACAACAAGTATTTCAGGGCATACCATGAAGCAGAAAATGTTCTATTACCATGGCTAACTCTCAAAATAACAGAAGAACACAAAGAGATTTACAGCATAGAAGCCATTATTTTCGAAAGTATATATCTGTGTCCATCAAGAGCCAATGAATCTGATTCTCCACACAAGTAAACTCAGAAATTTGCTGTAGTATCTGTTTCAGGTTTTAAACAAACTAAAAAGCTTATCACTACCATATGTTTTGAAACAGTAGATGAACAAGAAGAAAGAAAATTCAGGAAATATATGTACAATGGACATAAAGGTAGTTCAACCTTGACATTAACATTCAGGAAAATACAATCTTTTGTTGAGTTTCGGTCTGGTGTCCTTCCCTTAGACATGACTGATGTATTACACTGGCATAAGTTGGTTTTCACAGCCATTTCAACTATCAAAGGCACATGCAAGACTCAAGGAGTAGTCACGTTATCAAGAGCTACATTTACGCAAATGGAATCGCCACACACACATGGATAACCCGGAAGCAGTATTCTATTCCCACTTTTTGTGATGTTTCAGACTTTGGGGATACCAGTTGGTTTCAATACCTGTGTAGCCTGTAAAGTGACCCAGAAATATTGGGTCCCCATATATTCTGTCTGATAAAAAGATTGAAAAGGTCTGAAACGGAGAGGTGACAGAGCCTGAAATCAGGCAAAAGCCTGAAAACTGGCATTCCTGTATGCTGCCAATGATGTGCCTCTGAATCAGACCTGAACATCTTTCAGAATGTCCAAATTCTACAGTGTCCTAAATGTTTTAAATATTTTTATCAGGTAACTCTGATATACCCTACCTCCCAGTTTAAAAGAGGAATTTCTTGCTAGTCTAAAACACATACATACTTGCAGCGACCCCACATTCCATCGTTCTCACTCAATGTGTCAACCATCTTTGATCCATGTCAAGACAGCTGATAACAGCTGAAGAGCAGACAATTAATGTTTCATCAGCTGGGAAGTCTTTGATTATTTAAGTAACACTAAGACTTCCTCTGTTTCCATGGAAACAAGTTCTTGTGAAACTAAGGAAAATCCTTTAAAAAAACTTTTTATGAGGGGCTGTGAGACAACTCTGAATTTTACAGTGGATCTGATCATAATTCATAACTGTATAGGAACTAAATCATACCCATTACCAGTATTTTATACAGAGGGCAATTTCATAGAACAGCAATATTTCTAATTACAAAGCATTAAAGAAATGAAAACTAAATTATGTCTCCAGTACAATATTTTGGTGAACAGAGGCAACAATACTGCTCTTGATTAAACAAAAAAAATGTGTTCCTGCTGGGTCAGACTAACAAATTGTATCATTTGGATGTTCAAAACGATCTGATGAAAAAGTCTAGCCCATATTTAGAATCAATATGAATAATATTCAACACTCTTAAATTTCCTGACGTATAGCTGCATTATGAAAAGATCTTTTAAAAGGTTTATGATAATCATGTTTAAGTTTCATTATTTTAGTGAGATATATATGTAAGATAAATCTACCAGCTTTTTCTTGTTACAACAATGTCTGTCATATGGCGCTGGAAAATACTTTTAAAAATTTGCTGTATAATTCAGTGCAAAGTCAATGGGTGTGGAACAGAATCTGAAATTGTCCTCTCTTTAAACAACCATTTAAATTCTGAGGGGAAAAATATGAAAACTGATGACAGGTGACAAGCATACAGGAATGTTCAAGGGACTGGCAAGCATGTCATTACTCTTCTATTTCCATGGTAACGGTTTCTTAAACAACCCAGGCAGGTCTGTATTTAGAATCAAAGGATCTTTTGCTTTACGTGTCAGGTGTCATCATGAGGCAGTTTTAAGGAGACTATCATATTCTATTAAAAAGGAGAGTATTCACTTGAATGTAATGGTGAATGGTGTAATGACGAGTATTTGTAATGTGCCGACTCTAAAACAATAATGTGCTCCATTAATGTGTCTTATAAGCCCTCGTAAAGCTGTTACTGGTTTCATTACCCAACTCATAAATCATGCACGTCAGAATTTATGTTAATACGAGATAACATAGACAGAGTGTACAAAGATCGCACACTGTGTGCATTGCAAAATACGCAGGGACTTCCCCCATTATGCACACAAATCTCAGTGCAGCTATCTCTTTCCTATAGATCACATTATATCTCTGCTTTCAATTCAATCACTGCGTGAAGTGGAATGAATACATTCTACTCTAACAATCCCTCGATATTCGGAAGAAGATGTGAATGATCTATCTTTAAATGGATGTGAATGCTTCCATCTGAGTAGACTCATTGTTAGTCATTCAGATGTGCAAATGTCAATGACTAAGCTTCTAGGCCCAGTTACTCTGAATATCGTTGAATGTGTGAGAAACATGTCCTACATCAAATGAGCAAAATGCTTAGTTGCATTGAGGTGCCGGTATGCATTTTGCATGATAATGAGAGGGAATGATAATAGGTCGTGCTCATCAATTTAGGTCATGCTCATCAATTTCCGCAATGAGATATGCAGTGAAACAGTTTGATTCTTACAAGTAATATATTTTGTTATCTATACTATACCCCCCCCCCCCTCACACACACACACACAACTCATGTGCCCACTCTCTTTTCATTACCTAAATGTAACTATTTTATCATATTCTGGTGAAATTAAAATATATACCTGGATAAACAAAAATATATACCTGGACAAATATTCAGGTAAACAGATGATCATTGAAATAACACTATTTTGACATTCTTTTTCTTTGTATGTGCATATGCATCATAATATGTATAAATACATTCTGGAAGGGGAAAACATTTCAAAATTACCTACCTGTTAGAGAGAAATATTTCAATCACATATTTGTTTTCGTGTCTATCTTGTCTATCTTGCTATCTTTCAAACTTTGGACTAATTTCATATACCTTTGCTTAAGACAAAGAGGAAGGTGTGATACATACCTTGATACCTTCAAGATAGCTCTCTGATGCGTGACTCAGCTGTTCTTTCTCACTTGCCACTTGTGACATCGCATTCATTGTCTCTTCCAACTCCCTGAGAAGAAAACAAAATAGCCAGAGAGAGAAAGAGAGAGAGAGAGAGAGAGAGAGAGAGAGAGAAAAAGAGAGAGAGACAGAGAGAGAGGAACACAGAGAGAAAAAGCAATTGATTACCTTCATGTATATCAACCGAATGGAATCTGCCATCAACTCAATGGAACAGTACTCTAGACGATCAAATATCCGGATATTTGGTCTGCAAGAAAAGAAAGGGGAAAACACAGATGCCCTTGTAGCTGACGTCATCACTCGCAAGCTTGGTGTAACCTTGGATCCAGTGAGAGACCTAGATCGCACTCACCGTACAGGAAGGCTGCATGATAACAGTGAGCCATCAGCACCAGGTACATCGTCGACTGATGCTTCATCAGCTAGGAAGGCCCGATCACGTCCCATAATTGTCAAATTGACAACCTACAGGAAGAGGAGAGAGGTCATCTACAATAGAAAGAAATTGAAAGGAACAGGGATAGTAATTGTTGAAGACTTGACAGTTGAGAATCAGAAACTTCTGTCTGTAACACGTAAGACGTCAGGTGTCACAGCTGCATGGTCTTCCGACGGTCGAATCATTGCTCTTATCAACGCAACCGGAGGTAAGAGCATCACCAAACTTATTGCAAGTGAAGGAGATCTGAAAAACATTAAAACACATTCATGATATACTGTTTAACACCTTGTTGGAATGTCTCACTCCTACAACTTATGCAGCTTTTTTTATAAAGCAGACTACTAAAATGTACCAATCCATTCCTCCCATACCTATATAGGCATTTCATTTAATTTTACATATTCCATTTTTATGTCCATTTTTATGTACGATTTTAAATACATTTTTATTTGTTCTTTTTTATTTAGTCTTTTGTTTACTGTTTACTTTTAAATTTATTGCTAAGTGAGTGAGTGTTGTGAATGGGTGTGAGTGTGTACTGTTCTTGTGCTTCATCTTCCTCTCTATGTATTCAATGTTTATCCGAGATTTTTCCATTCAATTATTATGAAGATGACTGTGAATTCCTCTGGTCTATGTATACATTCTTTCATTTGGATAAAGATATTAATGTAGATAAACTGTTAAAATTAAAAGTTAATCCTTTTAACATGAACTCGCCAAATCAGAACTTCAATGTTGAGAATATCTTATCTGATGACGATTGTAACACATTGTATGTAAATAACTGTAAATATACTTTTTGTGACAATTTTAATACACAATATAAAGATAAGAAATCAAATATTTCCATGTTGCATTTAAATGCAAGAAGCCTACCAAGGAATTTTAATGAATTTCAAGTTCTCCTGTCATCTATTGACTATGACTTCAGTTTTATTGCAATCTCAGAAACATGGTTTAAGCCTTCTACTCATTTTGGTATGTTCAATATAAATGGTTACAAATTAGTTCAAGTGTGTAGACCATCACAAACAGGTGGAGGTGTAGCATTATATGTAAAATGTAATATAGAATATACAGTTCTTGCAGACCTATCTTCATCCACTGCAAACTATGACACTTTGTTCATTGAAACTATTCAAAATAATAAATCTGTTGTAATAGGATGCATTTATCGTCCTCCTGACACCAATATTACACCCTTTAGTGAGAAGATAAAAGCAATTTTTGATATTTTAGAATGTGACAAGAAGGACATATATGTAATGGGTGATTATAATATAAACCTGATTAATTATGATGTTCATAACACAACAAACGATTTTTTGGACACTATGTTTTCATATAATATGTACCCGTTAATTACTAAACCCACAAGGGTCACTCATAGCTCAGTTTCTTTGATAGATAACATCTTTACTAATACAGTGCATGGTGATAGAAATGTTGGTATTTTATATAGTGACTTCTCTGATCATTTTCCCATTTTTTGCATCTCTTCCCTTCAATCTTCTTGTAATCGTCATGTTGTTAATAACCGTAAACAGAGTCGGTTGATAAACGATTCACATATGAATATGTTTAAAGAAAAGTTGGTATCTGTTAATTGGTCAGATGGAGTCAAATGTGACAATGTTAATGACAGTTATAATATATTTTTTGAAAAATTTTACAAAGTTTATGATAATTGCTTTCCTTTACAATTGAACTGTGTAAGTAATCAACCTAATTCTATAAAGCCCTGGATTACAAAGGGAATCTTGAAATCAGTCAAACGAAAACATAGATTATATGAAACATTTTTAAAAAAACCAAGTGACCAGCATAAGAGGAAATATTTGTTGTATAAAAATAAATTAACAAACATTAGTAGATCTTCAAAAAGAAATTATTACAAGAATTTATTTGATAATGTCAAAGGGGATCTTAAAAAAACTTGGAGACAAATAAATTTGATTTTGGGCAACAAAAAAGAAAATGCATTTCCCAAAACAATGTATCATGAAAATATAAAAATAAGTTCAAGGATAGATGTTGCTCAATATTTTAATTCATTTTTTGTCAATATAGGTAAAAAACTTTCGAGTTCAATTTCTTCATCCCACTCATTTCAGGAATTTTTACCAGACAAATCGTTCAACTCATTTTATATTAAACCAACTTGTGTCAATGAAATTATAGAAAAAGCATCAACTTTAAAAAGTAATAAAGCCTGTGGACCAGATGGTATTTCGCCAAAAGTTGTTAAACAGTGTATCCATTATTTTGTACAGCCATTGTGCGATGTATTTAATAAATCTTTTATGAGTGGTATTATGCCAGATAGTTTAAAAATTGCAAAGATAATACCAATATATAAAAAGAATGACATAAATAACATTAAAAATTATAGACCAGTAGCTTTGTTATCCATATTTTGTAAAATTTTAGAAAAAATAATGCACAGAAGACTGTATGATTTTTTAAATAAATCCAAAATCCTTATTAATGACCAATTTGGTTTTCGTAAAGATTTCAGTACTTCACTTAGTATATTGAATCTTACTGATTACATTTTACAAGAATTAAACAGTGGTAATTTTTGTTGTGGTGTATTTATGGATTTATCCAAGGCTTTTGATACCATCGATCACCACATTCTCTTGAAAAAATTGAATTACTATGGTATTCGTGGTATACCGCTTCAATGGTTTCAAAGTTATTTATTAAGTCGTAAACAGTATGTGGTGGTCGATGGTGTCGAATCCAATCTCATGAATATTGATATCGGTGTCCCTCAGGGTTCAGTTTTGGGGCCACTTTTGTTTATTTTATATGTAAATGACATTGTTAATTCATCAAAATTATTGAAGTTTTCTCTCTTTGCGGATGACACTGCTGTTGTGTTCCCCCATGCTAATATATCTCAATTGATTTTCACTGTGAATTCAGAATTGTGTATTTTAAATAATTGGTTCAAATGTAATAAATTGCAACTTAATTTTGAAAAAACTAAATATGTAATTTTCCATCCTAGGAAGAGAAAGGTATTAAGTGACATTGAAATTGTAAAAATTGATGATATTGCTATTGAAAGAAAAGATTGCATTGACTTCTTAGGAGTAACCATCCAAGAAAATTTAAATTGGAAAAAACATATTGATCGTGTCTGTAACAAATTGCTCAAATGTATTGGTGTATTTTATAGACTTAAGGATTTTTTACCCCTCAGAATATTATTTAATATTTATTATGCAATATTACTTCCTCATCTGAACTATTGTACTATAATTTGGGGCAATACTTTCAAATCAAACTTATCAAAATTGTTTATTTTACAAAAGAAAGCAGTTCGTCTGTTGACCAACTCTCATTATATGACTCCAAGCGCGCCACTTTTTGTTAAATATAAAATTATGCCTCTTTTCGAACTGATAAAATTTAATACCTGGATTTTTATGTATAAATATAATAAAGGCGCCCTTCCAGAAGTTTTTTCTAACATGTTTCAAACAAACTCAAAATTCCACACTCATTTAACTAGACAACATCAAGATTTACATAAACCCTTCTCTAGATTTAATTATGTTCGCAATTCAATTAGATTCACAGGGGTGTATGAATGGAATTTGTTAAGTAGTAACATTACAAATAGCACAACACTATCCAGATTTAAAGTATTGTGTAAGTTACGTTTATTCAGTTCTTTAAATAATCTCGATCTCTCTTCGTAGCTCTTTATCTTGTATTTTTCCTTCCTCTTATATCTTTGCTCCATTCTGTCGTGTGTTTGTGTGTGTGTGTGTGTGTGTGCTTGCTTGCTTGTTATGCGTGCGTGTGCATTTAAATTTATATTAATGTTATAATGTACTTGTATATAGGGTCCCGACTACAAGCAGTCTTGCTTCTCAGGGACCCTGACCATTATTACTTTTGTTTGTTGTTGTTATTTGATATCATTCTTCTATTGTATTGTTGTTTTGTATATTTTGTTGTTTTAAATGGTCAATAAACGAAGGACTTCCTTCATATTCAATTCAAAAAATGTATGACCAGGACTTAATAACTCTCCCTTCTTTGGTTGTGTTCAGTAAATATTTTCAGTAAATATTTTCAGTAAATAAGTCACAAAAACAAAGAAAGAAACATTCTTGTAATATTTATGAACAACACAAACAGAAATTGTGAAATATTTTTACATACCGATAACTGTTTCATAAATTTGACATTTTTATGCAACTTCTTTTAACTTTCATACCATTTCAAGTCCCCCCCCCCCCCCCCCCCCCAATCTTAATATCACTAATACACTTCTCTGATTCATCTACTATCATTCACATCAAATTGCTACTAAAGCTGGACTACCCCTTTAGATTTACAGACAGATTCTCTCTCTCTCTCTCTCTCCCTCTCTCTTCTCTTTCTCTATCTTTCTCTCTCCCTCTCTCTTTCTCTTTCTCCATCTTATTCTAGTTCGGAGCCAGAAGGGCATTAACTCATACTTTTACACGGATTTAATGCCCTTCTCGCTCTAGAAAGTATCTTTAATAGCTCAAGTCTTTCCCTTCAGCCTGGGTATTGACCTTTTAATACCGAACTCTGACAAGTTCAATACCTCAAAATAAACATTTGTATAACTGGGATTTACAGCCCTAGGTCAAACATATGCCCTATATGTAGACACACCCATGGGAGTTCGAAGTCTAAAATAAAAGATCCGTGGATTACTATGATGTTAATGTTTTCAAACCAGCAAAATCATTTAAGCCTTGATCAGATGTGCATCGGATGTGCATCGGTAAACAAGAGCGTCACATTTTCCATATGATAGTATGGAGCTGCAGTTTGGGACAACTGGAACATTGTCAACAGTGTTTTTTGTTTTATTCTTTTCTGTTTTGTTTTAATTTTTTGGTTGTTGTTAAATCCAATTCATCATTGAGAATATTTTTTTTTTTCAAACCTCAAAATAAATAACAGTTTGTCTGCTATCTCTGTATAGCTAGTAACTAAATGACTTCTGAATCTCGTGAAAACAAAAAATGATGCAAATACAAGACATATGGACAAGACCTACGTTCTGCTCAAGATAAATGGCTGCTTCTTACGAACAACCAATCATTCTGGCAAACTTTCAGAGGGAATGAAAACGATGAACTTGTTGCATCATTACCCAAGGTAATAAATCAAGCTGAGGGAGCAATGACATCGTTAGTGATGGTCATAAATAATGGTGAAGAATCATGATTGTAGATTGCTTTTGACATTCTCACTCACTTGTAAAATTGAATTACCACTACTCCAGGAGTCATGACCAGGCTATTTTCACAGCATACAAGTTGTCAATCTTAATTGCCTTCTACACCGAATTTATGAAAGAAATTTAACATGCAGAAAGAAACTGCCTTTATGAATTGTAAGTGAAATGAAATATCCTCACGGCAATATTTATAAACTAAGTGTTATACAGGGGACCAATAAAAAAACAAAAACAAAACAATTGCACTGTATAAATGGGATGCAAGGTGAAATACCAAAAATTACTCAATCTCCCCTTCACGTTTTTCAATTGAGACCCATTTAGATGTCTCATTTTGTTGTTTTATGATCATTTCAAGATTTTTTTCATTTCAAGATTATTACTGTTATTTATACTTTTTTTAGGGGGTGCTCCCCCCCCCCTCCCCCCGGTAAAACAGAAGAAGAAAGTTTTGAATATTTTAAGGGAATGAATAGTCAGCATGGACCACCTTGAAGAGTTATAATTTCTTGAGAAGCATCAGTGTTGCCTCTGGTGACAAGCCTGACAAACTCACAAATAGTGAAACGGTGTGAAACAGGTCATTATCAATATCAACTGGGTGACCCATAACCTCAAGATCAGAAATAAATGGACTTCAAATACCAATCAGATCATTGTGTATCATCAATACATTTTTTTTTTTAAATCAACCTTGTTTCACAAATTGGTCTGAAATCTGAAGAAAAAAAAACACCTGTCAACAAAGAATTTTCAGCAAAATTTATTCTGCAAACATTATTCAGGATATTTCTTGAACCACAGGAAGGAAATGGTGAGGTAACAAGGGAAATTCCCATTTACTAACACAACAAGGTAGGACTAAGTTTGACTAAATACTCATTTGTGAGCAATTATTCCTAATCCATGCAAATTTCCTACCAGAAAGTAGCCCCACCCTCGTGAAAATTTAATCTTTTGAAAGAGAGGAAAATTCTAAGCCTATACATTTTTTTGGATAGATAGAATAGTGATTCACTCAATGACTCAAGCGTCTGCCAGGGAGACTCAAATCACGCATTTACTGTCTCTTCTTAGCATTTCATTTCTTTGCACCAGCTTTAATTACAGAAATCCTGAAAAGTATTTTTGCCTAAATAATAAGAAGAAAAAAAACTCACATTTTTGTCCTTTCATGTTCATCTAAGAGTTCTCTGGCTGTGTTCTCTATCTTCATCTTCTCCTCCTCCAGCTCAATAGCAATCTTCTCAAGCTCCTACAAACATACACAAATGATGAAAACAGAGAGAGAGAGAGAGAGAGAGAGAGAGAGAGAGAGAGAGAGAGAGAAAGAGAGAGAGAGAGAGAGAGAGAGAGAGAGAGAGAAAGAGAGAGAGAGAGAAGAGAGAGAGAGAGAGAGAGAGAGAGAGAGAGAGAGAGAGAGAAACAATCCAAATTAGAGGTACTATTGACGAGTGCTTAAAGTGACACCACATTCAATTCTTCTTCAAACCACCACAAGGAAAACAATTTCATTTTCCTACCATTTTCATAAATATGTACTACTGTTCAAACTAGACACTTTGGAGACATGAAACTATATTTATATCACAGGACAGTTTTGTACACATCAGAACAACTAACACAATTGCCAAAGTTTTACGCATGCAATATATAGTTCTCAGTTTTACAATTCATGTACACTGAAACGCTAGCAAACTTAGGGGCCGTTGGTCTTTAAAAATTATTATATATGCAGTTCTATGTAACGATATACAAGCTCAAAAATAATATAATTTCTGTATATAATGAAAAACCTGGTTGCATGCACACACCCACTTTTGTATTGGGTCAGGTCAAAGTTCAAAAGGTGCATGATATTGAGAACAGAATATCCACTCATGTACATTTGTACCGAGGGGCAAAAAAACTGAATACCAGCATGATTTTCGAGCAATAAAGAATGTTTATATGAATAACATTTAGAATATATTTCTCACATGCTTGTTCCTCTTTCGCTCATTGGTAATAATCAAATCGACTTATTCACAGTTCCTTATTTCACAATAATTCTTTTTTTTATCCAAAGAGACTGATAATCTATTCTGCCATGTGTATTCAAACTGATCTGATTCTGAATGACATTTCAATTCAACAACTTCTAATCACAATAGTTTCAACACCTAGCCTTGACTGAAAGCGCACTGAACTATGAAGTGCTGTTTATTTGCATACTGCCCTGTTTACTCAATAATAACAAGTTGTAATAAATGTTGATAATTATAACTGTACTGGATCAATTCAGATAACGAATTAGTAGTTTGAGTGGGTGAGCTTTGAGAGAATAAAGTATTTATGTATTGGTGTCATTGTTTCAATGTTTGTTATCTAACAATAAATCCATCACTGATGCTAATGAAATAATGTCAAAGCTATTCAAGTTTACAATAATGGAAGATTTTCATAATGAAACCAAATGACAAACATGCAAATTGTATGATGATGGCATTTCACTGATTTGTAAACAAATGCTGTGGTTTACATGTAAGGGAGTGCTAAGAAGAGATACATCTGGTGCCTAATTATGAGAAACTGAGAGTCCTAAATATTATTTAACATTTCCGTAGTGTCTTTACAATATATGATTCTGCTGATATTCGACTATAAACATATCACTTGATAGTTCTGTGGCCGCAGTTAATCTCTTGTACTATTACTTTCACTTAGTGTCTGCCTTTAAAAAAACACAGGCCAACTAGGCAATTTTACTTTTTTTTCACCTCCCCCCCCCCCCCTGCACTTACTAAAACTTCACAAAGTACCCCAATTGGCCCATAGAAATTATTTAAAACGATGAACTGTGGCCTGCATGCAGACAATACATGTTATAAGGAAACTCACAATATATAGAAGTCAAAACAATCTTACTGAGCTAATATATTGCGCAAGAAACTGTAAATCAAAATCGTATGTTCTTTTTATTATCACTTGAAACATAACGGCATGAGCATGCACTAGGGAATTCCCCCCTGGAACAAATTTATTCTGGTATGTTATCACCAACGGCAACTGATAACACAGGTAAAGGTGTATCACTTACAACAGACCAAGAATTTTTGATATTTCTTAATGTAATGTAAAAGACAACATTTTTCACTGCTGAATTCAAAATGGAGTGACTGAATAGAGATCACGCATATCACATGATAAATTATATCAATGGAAAAATGGGGATTTTTACTGAAACTTTTGAAAAGCAAGAAAAGAGGGAAAGAATAGATTCAATACCGTAGCTGTCTATTCAAAGGGAGTTTGTGCAGGTGTTTTTAACCAACACCCAAAATATTTAGACTTTATTTGTACGGCTCAATTCATCCCATGAATGTTATTGCCATGGTGAAACTTATGTGATCAAGTATACTGTCAGCTAAAAACAGATTATAATTTCCTCCAATAATCTATTTATAATAAACAATTTGACAGAAAATGTCAGTTTATTCTAAAAGCTACTGAAGTTACCGGTAAGCATTTTGAGACTTCTTATATTTCAGTTTTTATTAATACATGTATATCACATACAAATTCATGAGTTAATTAATGAAATATGGCTGCAAGATTTGTCAGCTGATAGCCAGAAGGACTTAAACTCTATTTAATTTAAATGAGATAAAACATAGTCCTCCTGTTATCATCCAACATGAAACACGTCAAACTAAAATAGGTTTTATCATAAACCAAAGATTATCAGAAGTGTTTTTAAAAGGGATTTTATAACAGTTTGTACATCAATACAAGTATCTAAAGTCCCTCCCAAATTCAGTCAACACCCTTGTGGTTCTCAGCAGACTACTTTCCCCGTATAGGCTTCCTAAAAATAGTTCGTCGACAAAAGTATAAGCTCATGGCATTTGATCATTTCCCTTGCAGTCAATCCACAAGAGCAAGCATCAGATCGACACCAAGATATATCTGCTCAACTGGTGAGAACCTGTCAACACACCAGACTGGTCAGAGCCAGAACGGCTTTCTCTCATCTATAAACGAACAATATTTTAATGCCCTTCTTGCTCTCTGTGTAACCACAGTCTCTCGCTTCACAACTGGATCAAAATATTTTGTATGTAATCAGTGTTAGAAATCATAATGCTTACTGCCCTTTTCCTTTTAGGAGCTAAATTTAGAAGGTTCATCCAAAAGAGGATTCTGGTTATGTTTCCTGTCACCTATTTTGGTCAGAAAGTGAAAAAATCAGGACCTTCATCATCCATCAAGCTTATGAAGAAGTTAGTTATGATTCATTATTGATCTATGTTTGGGTCGACAATATTTAACACCACCAATTTTAATGCAGACAATTTATTATAGAGAGATCTAAAATATTATATTTTGAACATACATTACATTACAGGTTATGGAGAACTCTATTTCATCGGATGATTTTTCTGGACATAGAAAATATGACAGATTATCAATATATAAATATTTGTATTATTTTCATGCCTGATTTGACTATGTACTGCTACGAAAAGTGTTGATGATGATGATCAAATCACGCAATTTGTTTGAATTTTAGCGATCTTCATAATAATGAACTAAGAGATGCAGCTTTATACAAAAATTACAAGCACTTCACAGTCACTTAATTTTATACAATGCCTCCACACACATTAATACATACATTAGAAATCCATTTGCACACATTTCCAAATGAAAAATATAATTAGTGCTAATTAATAGCCCTTTTTTCTTTCTCTTTATCAAAGGCTTCTCTTTATTCTGCTGGTCATTTCCTTCCTTTTTCACTTAATTGATTTGTTTCCACTGAATGGTATTTCTGCTTGCCTATAAATGGATGGAAACAGTACCGGTAGTTTCGATTTAATGCCAACACTTCTTCAAAGAGAATATCAGGTTACAAATGTCGATTCACGTTTCCTGAAAGGCTACAGAAATTTTGAAAACAAACGTTGACAGGGCCCATGTATTTGCCTTCCGATATGACACAGTAGGCACGTCTTCATCATCTCGAGATTGCCAAATAGCTCGCTATTTCTGATACGGGAAATAATCATGAAGTAATAAATCCCGTCTTCACTATCTCGAGATTCGACCTCGAAACTTGAAACTCAACCTTGAGAAATTAGCTCGAGATATTTTGCTCAGCGTTAGCGCGTACTGCGAATCTTCGGTCTAGTGAAGACGCATGGGACAAATAGCTGGATATTTTGCAAACTATCCCAAGATATATTGGGATGACAATCCTGACCAAATATCCTTCCAATTGCTACTTCGGTCTGATGAAGACGCAAATTAGCTGGATAGTTTGCGATCGGGATAGTTCAAATAGCTGGATATTTGGCAATCTCGAGATAGTGAAGACAGGCCTAGTGAGAGTGAGAATGGAAGGAAATGTCCCTGGACGAAAATAGACCAGGAATCACACTCCAATCTGAAAGATAGATCTGTAAGTCACCGTAAGGGCAGTCAAATCAAGTTTGAGATAACTTTGAAACCTCTCTCTGGTTCCTATGGATGACCTGTGCTACAAACTGCGTACCTTTAATCAGATTTAAACCTACTCAGACATGGTGCAGGATTACCGTGCTTGTCGATAGATTAGAATTATGATATATAAACTGACATTATGAAATCATGCCATTTTTTGGTTTGAGTTTTAAAGGTACATGAACTGTACAGTAACATCCCAAGTCTCGTTGGCACAAATGTGTATGTTTTTACATGATTGAAACTAAAGGTGCGCCTATTGTTTATTTGGGTTTGTTGTGATCCTCATTATCCATTGATATTAAAGGAAAGAGATATTTGGGGGAAAGGTTGAAAATATTTTTATTAGGTTTGGGCATTATTGACTTAAGAAAAGAAAAATCAAATCACAATCTAACTTCAATTGTCAACATAATCAATTATTTCAATTTTAATTACAATGTAATACAAACTGATTTTGTATGAATTATTCTACAACTGTTCTCCCAAGCTAGAATTACCCACAGCCAGTAAATTGGGCTTAAAAAGATATTCCTGTTTAAATTATAAAGGGAAAGAAAGGATAATCGACCAAATACCGGTAACCTTCAATCTGGCCAAATGAAAATGAGTTTTACAATCAGAGGTGATTGGTACTAGTACTACTCACAAAGTTGATTAGCCAAATCTAAATTGCTTTTCCAAGAAAACCATGTGACTGATTTGGGAACGGTTGAGTTGGAAATACATACATGTATTGATTAAGGATACAATAATAACCAGGAATGAGTCAATCCATATTATAACGAAATTTTAGAGTGGACTTCAATAAATGTGCTAACAGCTGAACCATTTAGGATGATGAGTTTCAGAAACCAATTTCCAGATGAATTGCTCCACAAACTTTTCCCCCTATGACACTCCTAGAGAACACTCTATTCCATAAACACAATTCCAAGTGAAATACCCCAAAGAGCAATTTAGCAATGACTCAAATTGTTCGTAATATCTCTGTACAAGCATGGAAATTCAATTTTGAACAGAAAGGGGGGGGGGGGGGCTAGGGAGAGGGGAGCCAAATCAAATGCCACAGTGACGTTAAAGGTAATCTCTGAGATGTGGTAAAGGTCTTTGTGTTTCTGGTATCTTTAAAGAAAGTTGTTCAAATGTTATTCTAAATATTTGATTAACATGCTCAAAGTATAAAAATGATCTCAAGCACAATTTCAAGAAAACTATATTCAAATGAAAGATTCTGAAAGCACTACACAGATATACTCATATGGGACAATGTATTTGTATGATTGTCTACTTATCAGTCTTTAACGTCTTCATCCTCCCATGGATATTAGTAAGGTGTCAAAGGTATTTCTGGCAGATTTGTCTGACATTCAACAATAGCATTCAGCATCCGTACAAACATATTTGATGCTATAAGTATTTCATTTTCCATCTTTATGAGGAACTGCAAGACTGCCTTTAAAAACCAAGTCCTGATTCCATGCGTTTTCCCATGAACCCTGTCTAATCAATTCTATTTCCATAATGGATGGATTGATGTTGATCAATTTGCCGCTGATGGGAGGCATCCGTTACGGCCATTATCTGATTTTCGCGTTGAGTCATGGGAACCCATTTTGGTGGCTGATGGGAATAGCATGCTCCATACAGTCGCAACCTTAACCTTGCTGGGGGAAACACTTTCTACTGCAGAGGAGAAAGATTTGTGGAAGATCGGGGGGGGGGGGGGGGGGGGGGGGGGGAGGGGGGAGGGGGAGAGGGGGGTTTCGATCAGCAGTCACGCCACGCTCTACACATACATGTGCACACATACATGTGCACAATCAATCCTTATTTATTTAGACTAGCCACATGAATGTGCTTCCGGTTGAATAAAGGACGCAAATTGAGGCTATGTCAACTTTTAGTTTTGGCATGTGTTAAACACAAACAAATCAGGCATAGCTAATGACATGGGTTGTCCTTTAAGGAAGTTTGCGGAGAGTGGATGTGTAATTTCCGAACAAAAGCTATTTAAAACAAGGGAGGGTGAAAATAAAGTTTATTCACATCAAGGGAAGAGTTCAAAATCTCTAATGGCGATACTGCTTTTAAGGAATGCTGGAGAAACGTACGGGTGGGTCTCTGTAAATATGAGGAAAAGTGCTTTTGAGACCAACTGAAAGAAAGAAGCCATTTCAGAAGGCAGTGTTTCAGTGTAATAATATAATCTCATGACGAGTTATGACCTGGTAATCAAGTAATCATATAACTATTTACTGGTAAGCATTAATATCTCTTTTAATTTGCATCTTACATGTGAAACATTTGGTCAAAACAAATTCGCTAATTTCAACATCCTAAACAAAAAAACTAGAACACTGTAAACATTAAGAAAATGAACGGCCAGGATAGAAAGTTTTGGCAACTCCCAGACGTGCTAACTGCTTCAAAACATCCTTGCTCTTGGACGGGCAATACAAAGATCATATCCTTGTTATTTCCCTTACTTTAACAACACAACAACTCTGAACTTGGGTGCAGGGCTAAAGGGGAGGATGTGAAAGGGGACACAGACGTCCCCCATGGTTAGTTTTCTTAAAGGTCAGTGTTACAACCAACATATAGACCTGACCTGGTTTTATTGCCAGGATGGTGGATGATCATTAATTAGAAATTTGTCCCAAATATAATACCCACTTCCCATGTAGCCTGTAAAGTAGATTGTAAATTCAAAAGAAGGACCGGTACTGGTTGTGTATCACTTCTATCTATATCTTATAGCATACAATTCAAAAAGTAGCGCCCCCCCCTCCCCCCCCCCCCCCCCCCCCCCCTCCCCCCCCCCCCCCATATCCTACCATTCAGTTATACATAAGCGACTGTTTCTCTGTCACAATGTTTTTTTTGTTTTTTTAATACTCAATCGTTTATTTTTTACTCTTTCTAAGAAAAGGGAGACAATGCCCACCCAAGAATTTGAGTGTTGAACAATGTGACGGGATAACTAAGTTAGAATCGAATATGTTTCTTCCTGAAACAGAAACTGGTATCTTCATCATGAAAATTTACTTCCACTGAAAATCTGTGTTCCATTTAACACCAAAACAAAGCACTGTACGTCACGCTATAACGCTTAAAATTTGAGACGTAAAATTTGCTAATAACACTGTGGCACAGTTTAGATTTAGGTTAGAAGTTGACCACTTTATATGAGAATCCATCCAAAGAGTGACAAAGTAGAACGTACTGCACACTGGTAGATGGCTAAGTGCCACTAATTTCCCCCTCATTTGTATCACTATATGTCACATGTTACAAAGAACAAAACTTTCGCTTTCACATATTGTATTTTCTAGGTGCGAGACGGTATATAATGAACTGATGATCTACTTTTAGCACAGGAAATAACAGAGTTCAATCACATTCAATTACACCCATGAGTAGTATCACGTTGACATTACACCAACAGTGCATGTCCATCTGTCAACAACGCTCTCATTATATTAACACTGTATGGAGGTATTGGTCTCGAAAGGCAACATGTATATGAACAGTTCAAGCAGCCCAACATGCCAGTTGTGTTATCTTTCTTTTTTTTGTGGATTACTGAAGGGTGGGGGTAGGGTGTACACCTATTTTACTCTTTTATAGATTTATACATCATCCACTGTCTCACATCTGTGAACTTAAAACAAAATTGTGCTGAAATAAAATTACAGCTCGCATTCCTTCCTCCCTGAACCTGAATCTCTTCTTCTCCAAATATGTCCCCAAAGAAGTCCCCAAAGAACCCCCCCTCCCAATAATCAAATGGAACCTTCCATTGAGCCTATCACCACCTTTAAGCTCTGGCAGAGTCCACTGCAAGCCAAGGGTGGGGCAGCATGTCTTACCTCACATTTGTCCATTTCGTCCCTGAGTGCCAGTGCCTCCAAGTGAAGCTGTTCCCGATACCTTTGACTGTCCCTTGCCAGCTCCAGACTTTGTTTTTCCAGCGTCTGGATCATGGACTCGCCCAGTTCCGCATTCTTCCATGTTCTGCAAAGTTCAAAGAAGGAGAGGGGTAAAATCAATAAGAGTCCTAACGAGTAACCTATTTTGCTCTTATTACATCTCAAAGGTATATGTACGATGCTTATAATGGATTTTCTAAATAACTTAGCTTGAATTCTTGAAGTTGGGGTTAGTATTCATGCTGAAACCATTTCAAACAATGTATCCTAAAAAGTAAAACAAATCTTCTACAAAGCACTTAAATTCATTAGTACGAACCTAGCAAGCAAATAAATCTGCATAAAAATCTCTACTACCATAATGATAATTGTGGATGAAGGCTATCATCTTGTTTCACTTTCAAGCCAGGTACATAAAGTTTACACCTACATTGCTCTAATAGAGGCCTGTGCAGGTACTTTAAAAGTGACTAGAGAGAGAGAAAATAAATCTGTTCTCAAAAAAAATAAAATTAACATTTGATTAAAGTCATGTTTATAAATTTAATTAAATTAGGATGTCTATTAAACTCCCTGGAGGTTATGCATATATGACCGACTTGTACACTGATAGATAAATGTATTTCTGTAACAACAATGACAGCTACAAAATTAGTCACAAGTAATTAGCAGCATCAGGAATGAAAATTTGTGCAATCCTGTCACCTGTGAAGAAAATTACAGGTGACAAGACAGATTTCACCTCTAAAATGACACACAAGGAGAGCTGAGTAAGTCCTTCATGGGTAAACTCAGAATAGAGAAGCTATATACCGGCTTATGCCAATTTCGTGTTAACTTGAAGATTTAGCTTACTGTCTATCTAAATCTGTTAAGATTTTGTTTATCCAACTCTGATATGACTGAAATGCAAGCATATGTGTAGATCCAGTATAATTTTATTTTATATTTTTCAAAGAAAATTGTTATTCATGAGCAAGAACAAAGAAATAGATTTGAACAAAGTAAATGTTGTGACATATGGGTAGAACAAACATTGTTACATCAGTTGCACATGTCTCCATTTATCTAGTAATTCAACAAATTTATTGCGTTTGATAGAAAGAAACCGCTCAACTTCATAAAAACGTTTAAGCATCTTCCTAAAAGAATTCAAAGACCTATATACATTTATATGTATCTATCTGTATGCACAACAGGAAATCCTGCTTCTTCTACAAAATATCATTGACAGAAAATGACTTGCAAATTTCAGACTGGATGATCACAGTAAATCATGACCAGCAAGAATTAATGGCCTGTGTTATACAAATGTGTGACTAATTAAGAATACGGCAGGAAAACGTACGGTAGGTATTGCTCAGGTTTAGTTTCTTACTTTCTATTCTAAACCTTGGTGACTTATTCAAAATGAATCACAAAATTGTTTGATCTATAGGGAATCTTACACAAAACAAGAATGAAATGAAAGAGGTAAAGTCTTTGGGGAAATACATGAATCATAATTAAATGTAAAAAACAAAAGTGTATAAAATATTGGGATGAACATTAAAACGAAAGACATCCTCTCTTCTTACATTATTCAGTTCCTGCCTTGGAAACTAAATGTATGTTCACTTTTAATTATACATTTGTCAAGGCATTTTCATTTTTTTCATTTTCAGTCCCACTAATCCAGAAATATGAATATAAACAGAAACTAACATGGAAAATCACATATGTTGAAAGGAAAGTGATGCAGCACTTTGTACTTTCGAAAAGGTTCAGGTTTAGCTCTAGGACACGGCACTAGAGCAGACAAATGGAATTCAATACCGCAAAAATGTGGAGGTGGTTGCTATATATTGAAGCTCGTATTTCTTTACAGAAGTACTACTGCACTCCTCGGGCTGTTTGAAAGGTATCGACAAACAAGCCTGACTTTTGCATCGCCAACTTGACATCACATTCCGCTGTACATAGGTTCAGTCCCATGAAGTAGGGTAAACTTTTCAACAGTTTGATTTGAACTCTCGACTGTGGGTACATGTGGGACTACATGTTTACCTACAATGTAGTTGGACCAAACATGCATATAATCTAGTCCTACTTGCTGATAATCAAGATTTGTGGTTTTTAATAAAAAAGCCATTATCTACATGTATATCATAAAAGAAAAATTCGTTTTTGAAATAGTGACATGCAATCATGCAATAATACACCTAAAAAGACCTTCATTATTAATGTATTTCTCCTATCTTGAAACTGTATCTGAATCAACATTCATGTTCATAGCATTGCAATTCTCTTTAAAAATGGGTAGTTTGATGCTGGGTCATATTCAAAATTGAGGCCTATTTTCTCTCTGGTATCATACAAAAAACATCAATGATTTGTATAGTTCGCAGACTGAATGGACAATGTAGCACTGAGATGAATAACCCAAATATTGATCTCAACACCTTTGACAGGTGACTTTAAAACCTGGACAGTCGACATCATAAGAAGACGTCAACTGCCAGTCACCCAGTAGTGTCGATGACGATTCTGGGTGGCTACTGTACCAACAGCAGGCCGGAGTAATCAGATAACTTGCTCCTACGTTACACATTGCTCTTGGCCAGACAAAAATAAATAGGCTTCATTACAGTTAATAGGCCAACTAACTCATCACATGAGTATGAGGGTCCGCTAACTACATGTAATTCATCAAGTGCACAAGTCATATCCTCTGTCCAGAGGTGGTGTTGTATATATAATTGGGACGTGTGTTCTGTTGATGAGTCAAGGGAATCAGTGTGTTTAAAAGGTAATCTTCAATTCTAGTTTCAATAAAACTGTTTCTTCCGTAACTATCTAAAGCTTTTGACAATGTATATGTAATTTATGGTGGTCTACATATAATCAATCCCAGTTTTCTTGTCTTCATTCATTGGCTAATCATGGTTCTACCCTAGAACAGCCCTCATGAAGTATAACTATAGCCCTCTATCTACAGTATATGGAGTAGAGAAAGTTCAAAAGGATCAATCACTACCGTTACATCTGATTTACCGGGTTCAAACGACTTGAATTCATCATATATATAGCTGTATGAGAATCGTAAAGCTTTAAAACTAATATAGAACATTTCTCTATACGATGTTGTTTTCTACTAGTGTCTGTAAAGCTTCTTTCGCTATACTATGATTTTAAAAAAATACAATATAGCTTTCCTGTAGTCTGAATAAATTGAAATTTATCTACTCTCTCCATTTTGCTCTCACTGTTCCTGTCTCTACCTGGTTCCACTGAACGAAGTATTTCACTGCAGACTTATAAAACAATAATTACTTGATTACTTAATTACTTGGAGTGAGCTTAAACAAATTTGTTAGACACACATTGGCCTTATTCCATAAAATGTGTTACATCAAGTTTGCATTTCAACCCTATTAAATGGGTACCGGTAGTGAACTGGCGATCGTCAAAAAGCTGTGAAAACTCTGAAGTTGTCAAGCTGTTGACCCTGTTTAACCCCAAACATTTTTCAAAAGGAAGCTGTCCATAGTTCCATCCGTTGGTGCAAATACTCTGCTAATATTACCTGCATTTCAAAAAGCCCAATGACACAAATAGCACCCTTTTTCTAGCTACATGTACATGTATGACCAAACTATAGGAGCAATAACTCCCGGAAAAGATAATTTCCTAAAATGTAACCCTTAGGGTATCTGTCTGACCTAGAAAGATTGTGACAAGGTCTTGATAAAAGTTCTGGTCACAACCTCACTGACAAGAGTCACAAGTGCATTTTAAATGGTTTTGTGTGCTGTTTCATGGTAAAAACAATAAACATACAAGTAGAGCATTTTGGAGAAAATTAATCATATTGTGTGTTAAGTTTATATATATCAGTTGAATCTTTTTCATCTTTTCCATTTCATTTTATTATATTTTACTTTCTTTTTGCTTATAATAAGAGCTCCTTTTCTTCTGTGAATCAAAGTGGGTTCATGAACTGTGAAATTAGATATCATGGAATATTGTCGGTATGATAAAGAAAATTTGAGGCCAGAAGCATATTGTGTGTACATGTAAGTTACGTTCCTGGAACCATAGATGTTTTTCCGGTCTACTGATCAAATTTCTCATCTACCATGCAGGCTTGTTCTGTTTGTCAAGGAAATTGATTTTACAGTGGCAGGAGCACACACACACACATATGCTAAATGTCCACAATAAATAAAGGAAGGACATGAAATAGCCTTACTGTTTTATTAAAATGAGGAAGATTCTGCCATTGTGTATTCTTAAAATTACATAATATATTTACTTTTATCAGGAAGTTGAAATGTAGATAAAGTTAGAATGAGATTTCAGAGATATAATGTCAAAGACACATAACGAAGAAGCAGATATATGATTCCAGTGTCAAGAATGACTTTTTGTTCATGTACATGTATGTAAATAGAGTCTCTTACAGCTCCATTTCCTAAATGGATATTATTAATTGTTCTGTTTTTCTTTCTTCAAAACTTCCTTTTAGCCTTTTAGAACAAAATAACTTCTGCCTCCTGCACGATAGCTCAGTCGGTAGAGCAGTGGTCTCGTATTGCGGTGACCCGGGTTCGAAGCCAAGGCGATGCGCTAGTGCCCTTTGGTAAGGCATTAATCCTCATTACCAAGTCCATCGGAGAGGACCTAAAGCCGTCGGCCGTCTGGTTTCTTACTTACAAGCATTTATACTTTCTTAGTAGTCAGGTAAATAACCACCACCACACCCTACTTCACTATATTTTTCATGGTGAGATTGTTGAATTGGTGATCTAAACTTTTGAAAATGAAATCAGAGCATCCTAATAATTTCCATAATATTTCTCAAACTGTAGTTTCTGTTATTTATCTATTTTTATTTATCTGAAGCAACTTATCACCAAGGTACAAATTTCATATCATTCTATCATTCGCACCATCTGCAGAAATACTCTGGATTAGATCAGAATGTTTTATAATTTAGACTTTTGGTGGAATGAGGGTGAAGGCTGAAGAGGCGTATCTATACTCACATTCTTCCTGACTTGCGCATAATATCCACCCATTTCTCCCTGTCGTACTCTGTGTCTGTCGCCAGAAATATTGAACCCTGTTGAATGAGATATAGAAAATTAAAAGAAAGAAGAATCTCTTTAATACTTATTGTGTCTTTGGAGCCAAAAGGGCGCTAACTCATATCCTTTAACATAGGGTTATTGTCATTCTGGCTCTGAACAAACGATGTACAATGTAATTATAGCTAACGTTGCAGTTAGTTTTATTCTGATGTACAAGTACTAAAGTTGAAGCATTTAGATGTGAAATCTCTATATTTAATTACAAATGACGTCAATTCTGCTGCGTACCTGGTACAAAATAATTCAATGACCAATTGTTGGCTAAAGGATGAGAAAAAGATTCATTCAATGTGTGTGTGGAAGATGAAAACAGTCATGTGCATACTAATGAATACTGACAAAATCTCTGATCAGTGCAAAAATTACTTGTTCAAGCACAGCTGATATAAAATGTATTTCTTCCCAATATTTAAACATTAATTTCATATGCCCATATTTCATATTGTACTGCATAAGAGATGTACAAACATAATGATCATCTAATACACATTTGAAACTCGTTACATCTTTTCAGTACTGGGAACTATACATGTATTTATTTACATTATTTTTGGTTGACTTTTTTTTTTCAATGCAAAACTCTAATTGCCTGCTGACTGGAGCCATTAATGCTTGAATGCAACTATGGTTATTTATTAAATATTCTATAGCGAGCACTTTGCCAAATTAAAGTGCTGGTGGCATTGTTAACAGTGAGAACAAGGATATGAACAGCTTTCCTAATATGCATGCAAACTGCCCCGGATATATACTGTAAAGCTATTATTAAAAAAATGTCCAAGCAAAGAAATGACAAGTGATGCTTGATCACGATACAAATTATGGTGAAACAAATTAAAAACACAAACTATCATAATAGCACATTGCATTGTACACTGAATCCCAGTGTTTTATACACTTTTTGTATTTAGATTTGTATATTTCTTTGGGAATGTAAGGGACAATGTGTATTTTCCTTGTATTTTGGTGTAAAGGATATAAATATCATGTAATATATAATTATAGATGTACAGTGTAATATACATTGCCACTTTTCAATTGTAATTTTCAATAGCCCATAAACTAGTCAACATCAAGTAATGGCATGATATAAATATATACCAATGTAGACTCTCGCTTTCTATTTAGAAAAACTTTGAACACTTGAAACTAATATCTGTTTATAACTACTTACATGTAGATATTACAACAATTTCCCTTTGCAATATTAGATCATGTGGGGTACATTATGTTTGTACATTTCAATAAAAATCTACTACATGTTTACGGTCTCATGATGAGGAACTTCCCCATTTGATCGGGAGGCAAATTACTTTCATTCTTCATTAAAAATGTCACGGGTCATGAAAAATATACCTGAACTACATGTAAAAGGGATCCTATCTACGGATCCCTAGTTGCTTTCTGAATGATTGAATCAATAAAATGTGTCCTCCAAATGTTTTCATCCTTTAAAATCATATATCAATCTCCTTTTCATTGAAGTTCTCTATAGAGTGGGCATAAATACCTTACCACTCCTATTCCTATTTAAACCCACATGGACACATACTGTACATAGTGTAGATAGTTCATTATTAAACCAAATCAGTTTACAGAGATAAAGAAATGACTGTGTGTGTAACTTTAAAGGGATCCGGTAACTTTGTCTCAGATTCTGAAACAAAATTCTGAATTTAGCTCATGATGCAATGATAATTATAAACCTTTAGGTCAGTCAGGAACCCCATGACTTTTACAAGCCGATCGCCTGTCTGATTATCAAGATATTTATGATTGGAATTACAAATTTTGAAAACCTTTCGCCTGACGGTTTTCATAACACTACAGTCTATTGGGGAAAACGAGTATGGTAAAACCGGTCATTCAAAGATTTTTACTTTTTTGAGGCACTTCTTAATATTTTGAAGCGCAATTTTTTTAGGGCTTCAATATTACACGATATCACAGACACTGATAACACGTAGGGACGTGTATCTCAGGTTTAACATTGTTAAACGATCCCTTTAATAGTCAGCATTTGTCTTTAAAAATACTGTATGCTTGTGGTAGGGATAATGTGAGGAGTATGATATCCCGTAAACCATAAAAACACTGCAACATAAACTCCTACAAATAAATTGTCCCCCCCCCCCACCCCCACCCCCAAAAACAGCAGACAAGTTTATTACAAAGATCTACATGTATGTGTAGTTAGGAGCTAGAGCCTACAGTGCATGTAGTAGCCTACAAGTACAACATACATATTTTATTTTTGGTTCCAATATCAAATATTTGGGAAAGGCAAGATAAACTTCTGGGTCCTGTTCCACTTTACTGAAGGCGTTGAAGACACATTTTGCAACAACAAAATCCTTGCTCGCCTTCAAATCCACTCCTAATTAAACCTGGTATTTTTGCCTACACTGTATATGGTGCTATTGACAGGGTCAAAGAGTCACAAATGAACCAATTACATCAAATTACTACGCACAAAATATATATATGGGAGCATGTCATAAAAATACATGGCACATGCCATCCCATGGCTGTTTTAGTGTTTAGCAATCACATTTTATCACTCCCACTCCTAAATAAAAGTACGGTAGATATCAAAGATACGAACCGCACATACCATGTGGTTAAAACCAGAATTCCTGGGCATTCACACAAGAGGCAGTCTATACAAATTCATATCAAGACATGTCGTATGATGAAAGAAGAGAACATACAGGATATGAATTTGTATTTTAAAGAAACATTTTATTTATTTATTTATTTATTATTTTTTTTTGGGGGGGGGGGGTCAACTTGCACCATACATTACATGTAATTTCATTGAGTCTACGTTCATTACGATGCTCAATCCTACGTTTCATTATATGTTTCATAAAATTTCATTACAGGACATTCAGACAAGAGAAGAAATGTAAATGGTAGCTACATGTATATGAAACATTTTGCTAGTCTGAATGGGGACCAGACTGACCCATAGATGTTTACTAGTCGCTACAATCTGTCTGGTATCTCATTGTGACAGGTAATGTGTGTAGAGACTAAACATAACCGATAAGGTAAGAATGGCACATTTGCATACCTGCACATAATCTTGTGAACAAATCAATTCTGTAATCCTGGAACAAAGAACTGATTAAAAAATGGCTTGTCTTGTGAATTATGTGGCTGCAAGGTAGAATTTAACTATATTGGGCTATGATTTAAATTATATTCACTCTAAGCATGGAAGAACCACAATAAGTGAAACATTTCCTTTCCCCTAATATCATATTTAAAAAATCAATTACCACATATTTTTCTGTGCCTTTAACAGAAGCAGTTATTATTATTATCATATCAAATTTGTAACAATTCCTATTAAAATAAGTCTGCTTTTAGAAAGTTTTTATTTTTGAATGACATTTATAAGCAAACTTACATTGAGGTCATCATGGACGATTCTGAAGGCACACATCTTGGTGGGGTCATTGACCATCTCTATCACGGCTCCACCCAACGGAATCACACCCTGTACAGGTCAAACGACAGGATGAGAGAGAGAGAGAGAGAGAGAGAGAGAGAGAGAGAGAGAGAGAGGGGGGAGGGAGAGAGGGATGGAATGGAATAACATATGCAGTTAGTTTCATATTTCATTCAGTTTGCAAAGCATTGCATGTAAATATTAAATTGGTACAAACAAAAGATTGTTTTCCATCTCCAGTACTAGTCGAGCAATCTTTCGCTCAGAAAGGATGCAAAATGTCATAAATAAAATACCAAGTAATGAATACTGAAATACTGAAAACATACAAGAAATATATAAATGCTTGGGATTCTGTGTTGGTCTACAATGCATGTACAAAAACATTAATATACATGTACTATCCTAGTAACGTCATGTATGCAAGTTATGATGGATTTCTAAAGGTATCAGCACAAAAATATAAGTTTGGTAGAGAACCAATGATCTCCCAGTTCCCTGTTAGTCTTTTCACTACCAAGTGAGCTGGTACACTGTATGTGGTTCTCAAATATTTAATCCAGTTAAGTCTAATCTTGCATTTCCGACTGATCAATTGCAAATCCCTTGTTTCCTTCTTACCAAAGAAGACTTGCTTCTCACATACATTGTAGCCCAGGTGGTACAAGTATACCATTACATAACATTCATCCCTTCCGTTAGATATATTGAATTAAGTACAATTAGTACATATACATGTAGGTCTTAAAAAGACAAAATGTTGTACACAAGGAGCACTGAGCTAATTTGCTCCACAAAGCTCAGAGTCTTTTCTCAAACTTGGAGGAAAAATTAACCTTTTTTAAATATCCCAATCAATATTGTTTTGAATTTCTCCATAGAGCTTCCATGAACAATAAGGTACATGTATGGTACTTTAAAACGCAGGTATTAAATACAATATAAATGTTCCTGACTTTATGTAAAGAAATACAGATCCTCCAACTTATGAGGCCTACGTATAATACAAGAATTTAACTGAGAACTGAATCTGCATTGAAAACGATACCAGTAGATCAGTGATGAGCTAGAGAGATTCTGTACATACATGTACTCAGTGGGCGGTTGCAGAGATAATGACCCTAAAAATGGGTCATTTGCTTTATTATAATGGGGTGTGTATTACAGATTGTAGATTGTACATGGTATATGCACATTAAACTGTTACTAATTAATGGGCAATTGGGTATCACAGCTGACTGACTGAGTCTCATTAATTTTGACCTAAAATATTTTAAAATGGACCCCAAAATGAATCAGTTTTTTTTTGCAAAAGCCAACCTTCATGGATTTTTTTCATGCCTTACAAAAGCATTGTACAGCAAGATACACTCTTGATAAATAAATTCAAAAGAACTATGCATCTATACTGCATTAAATTTCAATTCCATTCATTTCATAATTCAATCTGCTTGAGAAAACAATATGAAAGTCAATTCTCTTTCAAATTTTTCATTCCCAAGATTTATTCAAACATTATTTATTTCACACACAAATCTACTTGAATATTTCCAATTTAATGTTATGTATTATTATTATTATTATTAATACGAATAACTTATACTTTTCCAATATTTACTAAAACAAGGAAATTCTAAACCTACATGTACACGCACACTCGATTGTACATGGACAAGAGGATGAAAGGCTTTTGTGATTACTGACCGTGATGATGAGTTTATCCCATAACATCCTACTCAGTCATACCAGATTGGTTCGGAACAAAAACATTCTCTAGTTTTTTAGCTTACAGTGATTGACGTCAGTTGTCAGTTGTACATGTATTTCTAAGCGACAAATCCAATCCGGGTACAGGACCCAACATTCCTAGCGATTTTATTTAAATCTTCTCTCTACCCCATTCTTTTTCCTCAAAGATAATAAAGAGTTCTGGTGATGGATGGAACTTCAAGCAAAACTGGATGATACTGTAGATGTATTCTGAACTTTTTATACACTGTAGCTGGTTTATGTACCTGGTACATGTACATGTAGACCAGCAGAATGTAAACATTAACAAACAAAATAACAAAACTACCTGTGTCAAAAGTTTGCTGGAAATCACAATTTGTAGAAAGCAATCGATACGCAAATATGGGACCACGTTCTCATTGTAAAACAGTCAAGAAGACTATAGCGATCTTCTCATCTTTCGTTACTCATTACTACCGGTACCGGTATACATTTTTAACAAAGGCAGAAATCATTCAATTGCAGTTTTGAATATTAATTAATTTTAAAATCCATTACTACCAGAACCAAATTCGAGATTACAATCAATATGTAAGCTCAGTATTAAAAACCATTAAAGTGGGCACAAATAACAGGTTTGTGTAGGCTATGTAGCCTTGTAGTGGAGGTCCACGATTAAATTCAACATCAAAATAATTTTCCACCTAATACCTTTCATTAATTCCACCTTTGCAAATGCTTTTCATCAACTGTTCTCTATCCATTTTCGAAAGAGTGTCAACAAAGGAAAATATGTGAAATATTCACAGCACTAAATCAGATGGAAAAATTTGAGTGCACTAGCCCTGTTTATAAAATTCTTAGAACAATTGTATGAAATGCATATTTTGCATTTATTAAATACCAAGTTAAAATGCAAACATGTTATTAGAGGTGTTCTATTAAAGTTTGCTGCTCTGCGAGCATAAAGCTAAATCTATGTTATAAGCCTGAGTCATTACGGTTTTTGTGCTAAACGGATAACCGTTAAAAGTATACGGGCGGTTTCGTTTAACCGTTTAATAATAATCTGAAAAAGTGAAAATACAGTATTTGTAATAGTGCTGTAGCTCGGAACCCTGCTGGTCTTCAGACTGTCAGGCTGAGCATTCCGAGCCGGATTATGGTACAAATTGGGTCATCCTGATAAACAGAGACCAGTAATGAACAACATAAAACATGTCTTATTATTCCTCATCTGAATCTGATATCATGATTAACCTTGCAAAGTTACTCTGTAAAGATAGCTTGATCTGTGACGTGTTTATATATGCCTTTGCAATGCAATGTTTGCACGTGGTCATGGAGAGAGCTCCCTGCATGTATCATTGCCATATGAAATTATGTGGAAGTGTGTATCACACACACCTAAGACACACCCTGCAATGAGCTGATCCAAGTTAGTGACCAATCAGGAAGGTTCTCTAGCTATGTGGGTGGAGTTTGATACCAGCATAAATTACAGGTTGGTGACCGTGCGTGCTTTCACCGTACCCAGTTCAGTGGGAGGTCAAGAAGCCACGCCCACATGTGTGCATGTGATAAGCATGAGCTCTCTATCTGTGTGTATGTACAGTGTATTTGAGCGCCGGAGGTTTGTGTGTACATGTGTGTGTGACTGAGAGAGCATGTATGGTCTAGCATGTCCCTGCATGGACCAGGCATGCAGGGACATGAGAGAGTGCAGTAATAAGAAAAGGTACATGAGCAATGAACACATTGCAGAGAGAAGGGAATAAAGAGGGTGAAAAAAGAGATAAGGGGGTTGGTTGTTTTATTGTTTACAAATTCATTCATGGAGATTACTGCTGCCAGAAAGCTGGCGCACAGCGGCCAGCGAATTTTTTTTCCGTACTCGAGAGAGCAAAAATCCCATGTGCGCATGCGCGTGGACTTATGATTTCTCTGCTACTTCCCATACGAAATGTACATGTATTCGCATGTACTGTGCACGATTCGCGTTCTACGAGTAAACGATGGCATAGTAGTCTTCAAACACAGACTCTGATTTGCCAGTTTGACAAATCAATATGCGTATGTGTCGCGATGTGCTTATTCAAGTCTGTGTAGTTGTATGATTCAGACCCAGTAGTGCATATGGAAATACATTGCAACTTGTATAGAATGGTATAGTAGTCTGCAAGCACAGACGCTAATCTGACAGGCCTACTATCGTTTGTTCAGAGCCAGAAGGGCATTCGTTGTGTTAAGAGTTAACATCCTTCTGGCTCTCAGCAGACCATGATTATAAATAAAAGTAATACAGAGAGTGCGAGCATACTGGAGGGAGAGCTAGAGAGAGAGAAAGAGAGAGAGAGAGAGAGAGAGAGAGCAGTGGCACAACACAGAAAACTACGAAAACTTGAATAAAAGCACTACTCAATACACAATAGGCCTATATTATTCTGTCAAACTGTCAAAGGAGAGTCTGTGCTTGCATACTACTATGCCACTCTATAAGTTGAGGTGCATTTCCAATACACGCACCAGTAGGGTCTGAATCATAAAACTACTCAGACTTGAATAACACTATTTTGTCAAACTGTCAGATTAGCGTCTGTGCTTGCAGACTACTATGCCACTCTGCAAGTTGAGATGCCTTTCCAATACACGCACCAGTAGGGTCTGAATCATAAAACTACACATATTTGAATATAAAGCACTACTCAAGACACTATGTTGTCAAACTGTCCGATTAGCGTCTGTGCTTGCAGACTACTATACCATGCTATTCAATTTGGGATGCATTTCTGTAAGCACTAAAATGTCTGAATCATACAACTACTCAGACTTGAATACTAGTACTATTGCTACGCACGATATATGCGTAATTGTTTTGTCAAACTGGCAAATCAGAGTCTGTGTTTGAAGACTACTATGCCATCGTTTACTCGTAGAACGCGAATCGTGCACAGTAGATGCGAATACATGTACATTTCGTATGGGAAGTAGCAGAGAAATCACAAGTCCACGCGCATGCGCACATGGGGTATTTGCCCTCTCGAGTACGGAAAAAAATTCGCCAGCGGCCAGGGTGTAACATTACACTGCCGTTTCTTTGATTATCTTTATCACTGGCTATTAGCACATTCCAAAATGTATACAAATAACGGTTAAACGGAGCAAGAAATGCCAAACGGTTTTGATGAATACGGTCGGATAACCGTCGGTTAAACGGATTGACTCAGGCCTACTATGTTACTATTTTGTACATAGAATGATGCTGGAGTCACATGGCTCTGTACTTCTACAGAACTGTGCGTTAATTACATCGTAGTTTGCAAATAATGTTATTAATGCTACATAACATTGTACCTCTGAATGTTTATTTTTAACCCAATGATTATTAATCCAGTCAGCCTTCGTAAAAGTAATTGATAACAACCCATATCATGGCATGTCCAATATTGCACTTCAGCAAATAAAGAATTAATTAAAGACAATTTTTTGTTATAAATATTATATTTTCTTTCCTCTAGAAGCCTTACCTATTAAGATCACAATATCAGCCTTGCTCATTTTCAAGTTCAGAGCAGACTATAAAAAGAGGAAGACGTCCTTGGCCAAATTCAAAACAAAATAGACAATGTTTTAACAGAGGCTTGCATGTAAACAATAAGTGATGAACCATGAGAAAGCACTTTCCATGAAAGAGAAACAAATACAACTACCTTACTACACACACCTCAGCTCTCAGTATACCAATACTCATTCAGTCAAAATAGAGTGGACAAAAAAACATTTGCATGTATACCAATATACTCAATTACATATATGTACATGTAAAGTTGTATATACTTCTTCAAAATATTCAACTCATATTTGGCGACCAAATACGAGTTGTGTATTTTGTAGGTACAGTGTACATGTTCTACAATACGGATGTCACCCATTTGTATATATGCACAGAAAAAATGTCATATATATGTATGGTAAACTTATGTGAAGTGAGGTATACATTTATATATTAAGTACAGATCTGTACACCTCCACAGTAAATATCTTCAATCATAGTAATTACATATGGCATACCATTGCGGTCTATTTTGCAGATGCCTAGGTATTCCCAATGAAAGAGACACATGCCAACCTACAATGTTACTGTACATACAGTATTTCTGTCTACTTCTGCTGGTATACTGGTGACAGTAAATGTTCAAATCTCTTGTTTATTACTGCAAATTAAATTACCCATAGAAAAATGAGCAATATAACATTGGGTTTATGTGCACATTGCAGCCTACACTGTACAAGGTCATAGTGATCATACTATACACGTGTGCACAAAGGCAGCATTTTCTCTCAATCCTGATTTGTGCGTTCTCCATGTCAATTCAATTTCTTGCCCCATTTCATACTACATTTTTGCCCTTCATCCCCAATCACTGAATGAAAGCCTAAAAATAGTTTTCAGACATAAGATGAAAGGTACACATTGCCAAAACTCCAAGAAAAGAAACCTACTTCTCTTCTTTCTCTCTCTCTCTCTCTCTCTCTCTTTGAATTTCCATTCAGTTTCAAGCAGTCTCCACGACATCCCCCCCCCCCCATTTTCTGTTTGATGTTTGCATATGAAAATTGGATTGCCAATGCCTCATTTTTCTCTCTCAATAAATTAACCCAAGACATGCAATTGAAAAACAGGTATAATAGAAAAATACAAGGTCAAGTTCAAACTAAGATTTCTTGGTACATTGTCATGCACACACTGGTTTCCTTTGATGGCTATCATCGACTCCAACATTTTTTCGCTACAAGTATGGAGTTATTGTTTTGTTTTTGTTTTTTTAACTTGAAGTTTCATGTAAAACATAGACATTATAATCTATACACATTATAGATTTAATATTGATATACCGGTATTACTTTTGGGGAATACTAAACATCCAGCATACACTTAAAGGACGTTTTACCTTTATTTCCGCATTTCTTTCTTTCTTACATGTACAGTACATCATACACAAGAACAAAAATAAACAATATTCATCAAACTACATTCATGACTTTTTTCAAAATGTTGATTATTTCCTTTAAAGTCAATCTCACAATGACAATGCTAGAAACACCCTTCAGTGTTCTTGCTGGCCTCTATGATTTATGAACTAGTAGTTTCCAACTGTACCCATTGTGCTTGTGACTATGCAAATATTGCAACGACATGCCTTTTATCCCAGTGAGATGCAAAAACAAAATCTGTGCTTCTCTTTTCTTTGTTCATTGCCACAAACCACGTTTGGTAAATAACTGTGGCTAACAGATTCAAACTAACAAGGTTACTTAAACAATCTCTAGCTACCTGTATCACATGCGGTTCACAATATAAATATACTGTACAGAAATTCATTAGGTTACATGTAATTCACAAGTGAATTTGAATAAACATAACAATTTCATTTTTAAATCTGGAAGGAACTCTTTCAACATGAATGAGTTTATGAACAGCTATTGTTCTATGAGAAGAGAAGAAATTTAGATGACTTTAATATTTTAGTTTTAATGGCTTCAAGTATCTCCTTTCAAGTTTCAGTACAGTACAGTACTACAGTTACACCCTTTTCTATTGGAAAGAAAAAAATTGTAATGGTAACTTATGTTCAAGTATTGTATTTGGGAAGTGCTGTAATTTATCAATTATATCACTCTGAGTTGGAAATAAAAGGTTTCTTTTATAAACTTAGTACAGTGCATGTAAATCTTTACCTTCGGATGCATGTTGAAGTGCTGCTTTCTCTCAAAGTCTCGCTTCTCACTCTCAGAGTAGTACAAGAGAAACCCTTCTTTTATGATGAAAAACCTACAGAATTAAGAAAATATAAAGATACATAATGTTAAGCAATGCATACTAATATTCAAATAATGATGCCTTTCATTTACAGTATTTATACTTCTACCCTGATTTTATCAAGAACAAGGCATTGAGGCCTTCCTATATGTACTGTATGTACAGTACATTTATTCCTTCATTAACAGGGAAATCTGGACCAGATTCCAGGAACCTTGTGTCAAAGTTGCTGGTCAGTAGACAGCGAACACTAACTAAACATACAATACATACGATGAATATATTCGTACACAGGACGATGCAGACTCCTCATGCATAAATGGGGCTACCGGTACATGTAAAGATGGACTCACTTTGTGCTACTGTTTTGAAGAACAGATGCTGAAACACCTTTTAGTCTGCTCTCCCCCCCCCCCCCCTCTCCTCCTCCCAGAAGTCTGTACCCCCAAAGACTTAGAGGTTTCAATGCTAAGGTCAGATCCTGCCTGGAGGACGAGGTTTGTTGTGGAGTGACTCAAGAAGAAGAAGATTAACACAGTATGAATCATCCTTACAACACTTTATTTAATACAGTAATTACTGAAGCAAACCTTTTACAAAATGTACAGTACAACAGACTGTCATACCTTGTTCAGGTGTATATAATGAAGGTATGATATACAGGAACAGAAGTTAACAGACTTAGTTTCATAAAGCTAATAAAGAGCCCTGCAATAATAAGAATGAAATATGAGTACTGACTAGTTAAAAACATTTTAGGTTAATCTCACTTTTTTTTCTACATTAAGTCTGTGAGCTCCCAAGATCTCTGAAGTAAATTACAACACATTTATGGTACACTGTACAGATTCAATTTTTATAAACAAGTAAAAACACCAGTAAAGTAACATGTATGTGTTGGCTAGGACTAGGCACATATCTTAATCTACAACACATGTATGTTCAGTTCACTTAACAGGGAGCTAGACAGACTAGTTTACAAAGAAAATGGGTCATCCTAAGCTCAAAACATGAGTGTACCTCTATGATAAGAGCAAGGAACATCAAACACATGTTGGATAGGATTAGAAGGAAGGCTTAGACCCAAAACGTGCCAAGGGGTATACATATCCCCAGTCTTGCAAGCTAGTAACATCAGACAGATTATGTTGCCAACTTGATGAACTGATGATTCAACGATCGATCGGTCAAACTTGGGGCACAATGCTGGGGGGAAGCACACCTTTTTTTAACCACAATCGTGAATGCTCATAGAATTATTTTTAGAAACAGAAGGGTTGAATACTTGAATCAAATGTATGCAATATGGCTCTGATGTTACTTTTGCAAGTCTGTATAGATTCTAAGTTGATCCTCGATACGGTAAACAAATGTTATCAATTGCATATTATACATGAAATCCTAACATTTTACAACAAATATATATTATAGAAAAACATTACCCAAATTCCTACACTTTTTGTATCTTTTAAATCTTTGGCTGACTTTCCATATTGCAACATTGTAAATACATACAATGTACATATATAAAGAAAGATCACCCCTCCCCCCCCCCCCCCCCCCAACAACAACAACAACAAAAAATCAATTTGCAAAGTTCTTTCATGCCTAAAAGAACTCTTGTTGGAAATTTGCCATATAAACTGTTTTTGTGAGTGATTTGAAATCCCCTATATTAGTGCACCTGTGACATATATTTAGGTCAACATACCTGTACATGTAAGTTGGCAAATTCTAACAAAGTTTACATCAGGATTCGAAGAATATAAAAGTATCATTACACATTAAATTCTAACGTCAAGACTCAAGAGTAATATTTGGCAAACTATATCAAGAGAGGCAAGAATGTACCCTCTGGTCAAACAGTATGTCACAAACAACTATCTTCCATTTGTCCTTTCCCCCTCTATAGTCTATCCACTCGGCCAGGAGGAGAGGAAATGTCAAATTTCCTGAATTACAAACAAGTGATAACTCTTCTCAGACCCCTGCCTAGAAAAAGACACTAGCCATAGCATGATAGATAAGCTGGGCAGGCTATCAGTCCCTCACACTGCATTTCGTGTGAGCTGGTGATAATCGCATCGGTAAGGGGATAAAAAACGGTAAGGATCAAAGTCTTACGACGTGGGTCCAGCACGAACGTCCTCAGATCAGTAGGCTAGTACTGTGACTAACTTAGAAAACACATGCTGTCTCATGTCACCTTAATCCATTCACGAGTAATGTGTAAAAAAGTGAAGTAACTTCTCAAGGACTATGGTACTACACACACTATCCTTGGTGTACTGGGTACAATTCTGTACTTACAGATGTACTTGTTATTTAAACTTGAACATTGCACTGTAGCCTGTAGGCCTACATAAATAAATCAGACTTCTCAAATGAAGTTTAAAAAACAATAAATATTTCAACACACAATGTATGCCGTAGTAATATAACCTACCATATTGGTTAACCTACACAATACCCTAAAATTACTTAATACATTGTTGTATGAAGAATAAACATATCTTGTGTTTCTGCCAAGGGTGAAAATTCATTTTAATGGTGCAAATACAGCTCCAAAATCATTTGTAACAGTGCTTCATCAAATTTGTCACTGTTGTATCAGAAAAGTATGTTTATATCATAACCATACTCCATACGCCACAACTAGGCCTTGTGGCGTGCGCCTGTAATCCAGCTAACAGTGGAAATTAAAAACTGATTCAGCCGAGGACGCAGGTTTGAAACTGAGTATTGTCTTTCGGATGGTGACGTTTAAAGGTCAGTCCCCAGACGTAAATAATCTATATCTGATTGATACACGTCTGTAAAAACCAAAACACACACGTTCTAATTAAAACATGATCTACATGTATTTGTGACCTCATTCTGTGAGCTTGCCTTACTTTTGTTATTGCACCGTAACAGGCAGAATATACTCTTTGCTGGTCAGAGCACAGTGGTGATTGACCTGATCATTGCATTGTAATAGGATTGTTTGCATTGACAGGCTAAACTAACTTTTCTCAATGATGAACTAATGCCTCAATAATTAATTCACAACTTACATTTAGTTAACTATTTAAAGGGCTTGTCTTCAAAAGTTGCAAGCATAGTAGTAGCATGTACATGCAGGTGTTCAAATTTCAAGCACTTCTCGCTTAATTAAACAAAGGTTTCATAACTGGGATGCACCATCAATCCTTTGATGTGAAACTGTAAGTCTGTAATCTAACCATTTACACGTACAATAGGCCTCTTGTATTTAAAGGATTCTCTTTTCATTATGATCTATTCACATCCACTGTAACATGAAACATGTTTTCTCCAAACAAGAGATGCCTTCATAAAGGATAACCACATGACTGTACGTTACATTCAGACTTTCGAGAAACAACACAAATAAACTGTGCATGTACATTTATCTATCATGTCTATGACTATGGTTTTCAACTGGCTGTAGATGGCTTTATCACCATAGCACAATTATTTTTGGATGCAGATTGCAGAATCTGTGCAGAAGTCTACATTTTTTAACAAGAATCATGACCAGCATTTGTAATCCGAATCACAATTTTTAAGTCCTTCGTTCTTTTTACAAGAGCTTTTTTTTTAACCTTCCATGCCAACAAACTGCCAAAGCTCTCTTCTCCCGATACCAACATGACTACCAGAAATGAATACCGGTAGTTACCCCCTATCTCTTTTAAAAACATTATTATTTACTGTTCTCGATCAACTTCCAAATCTGAAATGAAAGTCCCTTGCAAATGTTCTATCTTACTAACAGAAACAGCGTAAACAGCGTATTCATAATTGAATGACACATGCCTTTAAGACCAACAACAACAACACAGCCTAAAAATACAATAGTCCAGAGTCTCAGACTAGAGAAAACAATAATAAAATCCAATTAAGATAGCAATGACCAGGATGACTAAAATAAAGAGTTAACTAGATCTACAGATCTGAGACTTTTATTATCAATAGATCTACATCCAATAATCCAAAGTACCGTACCTTTTTGCCCATTTTGTTGATCCGTTTTGACTGAAAGGTTTCTTCCACAATACTCCCCATCTCTGTACTTTTGAAGGCAGGGTATCCCCGCCGAATATGTCACACATGATCTTGTTAAAGAAAAAAATTCCAACACAAAGTAACAGAAACAATCTGATCAACTACTGCAGATAGCCATAATTGAAAGACAATAACCAACTATAAGAACAAGTCACGGTGTTCAAACGCGGTTCTGTTTTGATCTGTCTCTGAGCTGAGCTCTGCAGGATGGATGCACATGCAGTCCAATGATCAATTATGCACCACGCACTAGATAAGGATAGCGAAAGCAGAAGAACGACCACGCCGAAACTTTCCGGGCAGTAATCTGTTGGTGTACCGAAAAGAGTCAATTTAAAATGCTGCGATAAAACTGCATCGTCCTCGAACAATATGATCCAATTTAAACTCTCCTCGAAATGTTTAAACTTAGAAGTTTCCCTTTTTGGTTATGTTCCCAAGGTTTCCATTGCAAACAAACTTCAAGTCCTAGAAACTTGTGAAAGTGGCACAAAAGAGATTAGGATTTCGGCTCCTTAGATCTGCCACTTCCTGGTACAGCAGAATAATACGCAATTTGCAAAATACAAGAAATGCATGACGGACAATCGACGCCAGATGGCGTGAAAGAAATTAATTAATCTACATCCACTGACCTTCCTCTACCTTCCTCTACTGTTATTTTGATTATACACTGTTACATGCAAGACCTTATTTTTTTTTTCCTTTTTTTTTCTCTCTGTGTTCATTGATTGATGTAACTTATGAAATGTCTTGTATCAAAATCTTGTTTTATATTGCTTATCTTGATAATTTCTTGTTATGTGAATTTCTTGTTATGTGAAATTATGAGGAAGGAAATAAAATATAATTTAAAACAAAAAAAGCTACACTTTAAACCTTCCTCTACTGTTATTTTGATTATACACTGTTACGTGCAAGAATTTTTTTTTTCTTCTATGTTCATTGATTGATGTAACTCATGAAGTGTCTTGTATCAAAAATCTTGTTTTATATTGCTTAATTTGATAATTTCTTGTTATGTGAATTTCTTGTATGTGACATTATGAGGAAGGAAATAAAATATCATTTCAAACAAACAAAAATATTAGGAAACCTTCCTCTACTGTTATTTTGATTATACACTGTTACATCCAAGATTTTTTTTTTTCCTTTTTTTTTCTCTATGTTCATTGATTGATGTAACTTATGAAATGTCTTGTATCAAAGATCTTGTTTTATATTGCTTATCTTGATAATTTCTTGTTATGTGAATTTCTTGTTATGTGAAATTATGAGGAAGGAAATAAAATATCATTTAAAACAAAACAAAACAAAAAAAAAAAAACAACAAAAAAAATCCACTGACGTCCATCACCTGTGCCTTTTATTCTTCTTCTCCTTTTCGGCTTTTCCATAATCATTTTCTTAATTTCTCTGTTTTCTACCTTCTGCTTCTCCTCTCCTCTTCTTTCTGTCCACGCTGTTGCCGTTGCCTGTTAATATATATATATTTTTGGTGGTTCTCCTCCTCGATCCTCCTCCTTCTTCTTCTTCTTCTTCTTCTTCTTCTTCTTCTTCTTCTTCTTCTTCTTCTTCTTCTTCTTCTTCTTCTTCTTCTTCTTCTTCTTATGGTGGTGATGATGACAATGATATGCATATATATTCCCCTTTAAAAAAAAGTCTCCTCACTCTTCTTAATGTTGTGTTATTATAACTTCTACTCATTTTTGTAACTCCTTACAGTATAGGCCCTCATCTCTATACAAAAAGGGAAATTTCTTTTTCATTTAGTATGTAATGATGTCCGGCAACTTACAACATTGATGTTTGCGATTAATGTAATTTAGAGGCTAACCTGTGGCGTTTCACGGGAAACGAAAAGAGGGCTGTATAGTCCCCTCCACCTTAATTTATTGAATATGGCAGAGAGAGAGAGAGAGAGAGAGAGAGAGAGAGAGAGAGAGAGATAGAGAAATAGAGAGAGAGAGTGTGAAGTGTCAGGTGAGAATTAAAGTAAAGAGATGGACTCGAAATGACTTAATGCGGGTGAAAATATCAAAAAAAGGTAGGCCTCTATAAGGAAACCAAATAACAATGACAAAGTTGTATAATGAAGTTACGAAGGGGCGTTTTTGAAAGTGGGGGCACCAGTTGAAGAAAACCGTCTTTTTACTTATTCTGTATTGATTATTTTGTTCTAGATTGTCATCTTTAGGTAGTTGTAGATAATGCTTTGCAATACTTGTATTTGATGATTAATTTGAGAGCAAGCCACTGTAGTTTTATTCCTATTTGCTGGAGGTCATGACTTTGATACAAATTACAGTGATATTAATGAAAATGATAACCGTCTATTCCTTTTTTTGTTCTTAAAAATTATTTAACATATTTTCTTACATCAAGGAATATATCGGCAAATCTGTGTTTTAACAATTCTTTTCAAGGCACTTATTAATAGTGAGTACACACTTAGAAATATCAGATCTCTTTCAATAAGAATTACCAAAAACTTGATATGAGGGGGCGGGTGAGCTTAAGCCCATGCTAATTATAGAGAGTGAAAACAGAAAAGAGACCTTTAGAGGTACCATTTAGTTAACATAATTTTGTGACTGCTTGATTCCATTATTCATTATTACTTGTAGACAGGGGCGTACGCAGGGGGGTGTTTTGGGGGTTCAAACCCCCCCCTTTGGTATTTTAATGTATGTAAACCCCCCTAAAAAAACCTAAAACCCCCCCCCCCCCCCCCTTTGGCTTTTTTTAATTTTTTTAATTTTTTTATTTAAAAAAAAAAAAAAAAAAAAAAAAAATTATACCCACGGCTAACCTAAATACGTAAAAAAATGTCCAATTTTGAAATTTTGAGACCAAAAAAAAAAAAAAAGTGTCCGCTTACCCCCCCCCCCCCCCCCCCCCCCCCCCCCCCCCCACTGAGCGACTTTTCGGCCGGCGCGATTTTCAAATTTTCGGGAGCAAAATATTTTAAACCCCCCCCCCCCCCCCCCTTGAAAAAATCCTGCGTACGCCCCTGCTTGTAGATTGACTATAAATGGAGCATGCTTAGCGAGCGAGGATGGTTAGGGAGATGTTTAAGTTGTCCTTTATTTGAGCGGTGGGATATTAGGAAACATTGAGGCCTACTTCGGGCAAGTCAAAATAAGCTGGCGTGTGGTTATCTATAAAGGGGCACATTTACATAAGAACTTCCTCTATTTTAAGAGAGGGATGTTTTTCATTTATGTGACAATTATAGGTACCTGTAATTGAAATAATATCTTATCAATGATAGCAGTAAAATAAGCCTGTTTTAAAATGGTACTGTTTGTAAATATTAATAATTGATCCAAGTCTTGGACGCTATATGGCTCTTTTGAGGACATCATTTTGGTGAGTGCATATGCAAAAGGAAATGTGGCCTATAGGCTATATATTTATAGCCTAAATTAAAAGCATTAGAGTCTATCGGTATTCAAAAGGGAATCTTTCAGAAAAAGGGGCAGTCTGGTAAACTTTGTTCGTCATGCCCCCCCCCCCCCGATACAATATTTCTTTGACACTTTTATTGACATAAAACAGAATAGTCATCATCATCATCATGCATTTATGATGAACAATCAGCTGTTAAAATAGACGTTGACGTCATACATAACATTTGGCTGATCGAGAGACTCGACGATCGACGTTAATTTTTGGTTAACAATATCGACGGATTTATAATAGAAAATGGCGCATTGGTTTCACAGAAACCCCATCAAAGCAACAAACGCAATAACATTTGATTTTGGTAGTCAAGCTAGCACTCCTCTTGCAAGAAACATTTGCAGGTAAGATGACAAAAGTTCTGTAACAGTGTTGTATTAACGCCTTTGTTATGTGTGTAGTCCCATTCATGCGTTTTGGTGTAAATGAACAATGACAATGTTTTTGTTTTCTTCTTCCAGCTCCAGTAGGCATATAGTCTAGTAATTTGTACAATTTTCTCATGAATATGATAATATTGATGAAGAGGATATGATTTAGATATGAATTGAAAAAAATTGAAAAATGTGTAGATCTATGCACTTAATTATCATACACTTTCTTAAATGTCAATGATAATAGTCTACTGTAACGTAAGTCTGTAGATCTAGATCTAGACTAGACCGAAAGCTTCAGTCTCTATAATCGTCGGTTGTTCCACTGAGACTACGTCTGGCTCCACTAGACCTCCGGTTATAGAGACTGAACGACTGCCTATGCCAGCCTGTGTTGAACTTATTCCGCTAGATTTTAGCCGCTAGGCCCCTCCCACAAACTTGCCACGGCCGTATTGTTATGCCCCCAAAATCCCCCAAAATGTCATTTTACCTCGTTCATTTCCAATTTTAAATTAGGCCTAGGCTATAATACATTGGTTCCACTTACTAACTTGATTGATATAATCCGTTTAATGGTCCCTTTTAAGGAAATTATCGGTCAAAATCGACATCCATGTTGAAAATCTTGCAAGCCGTGTTAAACTCTCGCTGCCGTCAATCTCATCCCTTCTAGTCTACGCCGAAGGCAAAATGATTATGAAGGAAAAACTGTGCGCCATCGACACGTTCGTAATGGCGTTATCACAGTTTTTCCTTCATAATCATTTTGCCTTTGGCGTAGACTAGAAGGGATGAGATTGACGGCAGCGAGAGTTTAACACGGCTTGCAAGATTTTCAACATGGATGTCGATTTTGACCGATAATTTCCTTAAAAGGGACCATTAAACGGATTATATCAATCAAGTTAGTAAGTGGAACCGATGTATTATAGCCTAGGCCTAATTTAAAATTGGAAATGAACGAGGTAAAATGACATTTTGGGGGATTTTGGGGCATAACAATACGGCCGTGGCAAGTTTGTTGGAGGGGCCTAGCGGCTAAAATCTAGCGGAATAAGTTCAACACAGGCTGGCATAGGCAGTCGTTCAGTCTCTATAACCGGAGGTCTAGTGGAGCCAGACGTAGTCTCAGTGGAACAACCGACAATTATAGAGACTGAAGCTTTCGGTCTAGATCTAGACCTAGTTCATATTTTTTATTTTTATATACGAGTACCAAGTTAAACTAAGGATAAATCTTTTAAACTTTCTTTGACTTACAGTGAAGCTCGGAGTGCTCGTTCGAACCTCCTCACTATCTTTGCTGACCCCACTCGTGACCTGTCAGTGTTGACCGACGCTGCAGAGAAGTACCTCGGAATCCTCAAAGGATTTGTGGAGCCAACCACTGACCCTAATGCCAAAAGTCCTCCTGCTGTAAGTTGTATGAAATGAAATATGAAGGTTAGGGGAGCTCACGAGGGGGCTCATAATGTCATAATGTGCACAGGTCCACATTTATTTATCTGTAAAACAAATATGAAAGTTTTTAAAAGTATCATCAGGAGAAATCAGAACTAAATTTGAAAGGTACATTAAATCTTCAGCAATGCTGCACGCAGACCATTTTCATGTTTTGAATCTCATTTTATGGTATCTTCTAAATTGTATGAGTGATGGTGACTAAATTTCCTCTCCCCCCCCCCCCCCCCCAAAAAAAAAAAAAAATTATATATATATATATATATATATATATATATATATATATATATACATATATAGATTTTATACATGCATCAAACAAACAAAAATCAATCAATTTAAAGACTTTTAAAGATGAGAAAAGAAGAAAGGTTACCAGGTAAACTTCTGCTATGAAGGTGTCAATATATGAAAATAAATGGATGAGAATAGAGCCCACCAAGAGGACACAAATCGGTCAATGAATAAACTAGCTGCCTATTATTCAACGTACCAAAACAACAAGGAAAGGACCACTACTACATGATTGTCACATAATGTGCCCCAAAGAACTCAAAAAGATGTTGGTTTCTAAGTTGCTATTCAGAATAATTTAGTGTTTTATGTAGATTTTGATTTTTCATGTGATGAAGATATTAAGATGTTTGAGTGCTTTTATTCTTATTGGGGTGATATACATAATGTGTATGGGTTTGATATTACATTGAACTAAGGAATTAGATACATTTAAATTAATCAGTCTGTTGATGCTTTTTAAAGTATTGTTTAACATATATGATTAAAAAAAACAAGTGACATTGAGCTTTGACTTGGAAATAACCACTTGCTATAACTGGCAGCTTGCCAAAAATAAATCCTCTTATGAAATAGATAAGCTCTTACATTCTTGTTTATTACAGAATTTGGAAAAGAAAAATACAAGGAAATGATGCTATGAAAATATTTGGATGGTCATAAGTAATGAGTTATTTCCTTCTCAACTTAACATCATGCAATGCATCTTACATGTACGCTACAGATCAGTAATACATAATAATCATCAATTATTATTCAGAAGCTTATACATGTATTCTTCATTCTGTATTTTTTAAAGACTCATGAAATATTAAGATTCGTCATTGAGATTGCTAAATGAAAATTTTAAAAATCCATATTATTTTTCAACCTTCATTTTCAAAATAGCATATGTAGGGGTTATAAGAAGGAAAAAAAATGTGTTCCTACATAGAATTGTCAAAATTGTATAAGTTAAATTCAAACATTGTATTCCGTACAGTGACTGAAGATAATTATAATAATTATGATATCACTGTCCTTATAAAACATTTCAGAGGGTACTATTCTGCCATACTTTGTATCTCAACCTCAATAAATAGGTGAAATGTAACATCTTTTCTTATTTCTCAAGGTGGGGTGGGATGGATGAGTCGAAAGGTGCAAATATGTGAAAATGACTTAAAGGAAACCAAAACCTTTATACTAAGTTACTTTTATTGTAAAGTTTAAGATATTTGAAAAATATCAGTGGAAATTTGAACAAAATCGGGCAAGGAATAAGGAAGTAAGAGCTTTTTTAAATTACTAGTCACTAGAGGGCGGTATTCAATTTGATGACATCATCTCTGAACAACTCTCCATGCCTTTTGTACATAAAATTTCACAATTTTTTTGTTTTCTTCATATTTATTTGTGTTCTTGATCCGACTTCATAACATGTGAAGTAGAATATCATTTTGCATTCTATATCTTGCTTTCAGGGGAGTACATTATCTCAATCACAAGAAAGAAGGAAAAACATGAAATTTGATATACAAAAGGCATGGAGAGTTGTTTACAGATGATGTCATCAAATTGAATACCGCCCTCTAGTGACTAGTAATTTAAAAAAGCTCTTACTTCCTTAATCCTTGCCCGATTTTGTTCAAATTTTCACTGATATTTTTCAAACATCTTAAACTTTACAATAAAAGTAACTTAGTATGAAGGTTTTGGTTTCCTTTAAAGGGGTAATCTGAAAATTATTAAAGGGAGACTAATATTGGCCTGTTAAAGACTATGACTGAAACCATTTACTGTATTTATTAATTTTAGCAAGCCCCCAGCAGTGAAAATGGAGAGGTGGAGAGTATGGAGGTGAGCAGTGGAACAGGGGATAGCAAGCTAAGGAATGCCATCAAATTCACCTGGTCAAACACACTGACTGAAAAGCATTCGTAAGTAACTGCTCTTTCCTATTTCACATTCCCCTGCCTCCATTTTTAAAATCTGTCTTTATTTTAACCTTCTTCGTTCATTATGATCTCATTTACACCATGTACAGGCGTAATCTGTATTTACTGTGTATGACTCAGTCTCTCACTTGAATCTGTATCTTACATTTTCTTACATTTTCTTGCATGTTCTTCAATTGATTTACACAAGTGAGCAATGTGGATATAAACACTTTTCATGGATCACTGTTTTCTCTATTTATTTGTGTGTTTGCTTTTAACTAGATTCTGTTTCTAATGTAATTGCATCTTCAAACTTACGTTGTATGTCATGTAATTAACTTAATCTCTCGCTTGATTCTATTATTATTTACAATCGAGTGATTTTGTGTTTGTTAATCAATTATCTATCTTGCCTTTGTTTTGCCTTTTTTCTGACAGGAGTCAACATGACTTTGTCTTTGAACAGATCAACATCCTTTTTAACATTGCCCTCTGGCATACAAAACATGCAGCAGCACTGGCGGGATCTAAAGAAGAGTAAGTAAGACAAGAAAAATGAGAAGGTTAATGTACCATTTAACAATTGAAATGTATTCTCCTGTGATTGAATTGTGCCTCAACCTATTTTGAATCAAGCAAATGGTTATTCCAATTCCTTGTTCTCATTTGCAATCTTTGCATTATAATTCACCTGATAAATCATTGTCTTTTATCTACCAATTTGTATAGTTGTTTAATTTGCATTTTCGTTATTTCTACATGCGATTCTGTCCTTATTTTCTTGACAGTATTGCTGAAGATGATGCAAAAGTAGTTCACAAATGTCTGAGATCAGCAGCTGGTATATTCAACTACATTGATGTAAGTTTAACCTTGAAACATGAGAACAATAAATGTATATACAGTAGGCTTATGGTTGCACCATGTGAGAGAGGGGAAGGATTGGGGAAGAATTGGGAGTCCTGAAAAGGACTGTCGCTAATCTACATCACCATGCAAGCCGATACTTATAAGCAGCATCTAATGCATTAAAAATGTGATGTTCAATAATTCTAAACATGTTAAAGCCTTTTTTTAAACCATTCACAGCTCACAATCTTTACTTACCGTATTTATAGGACCTTGATTGTATTTTTTTTTAAATAATCATATAAAAACACTGGTCATATGGACATTTTCATAAGGCTCAGGACCCTTTAAAAAAAAAATCTTATACAACAAAGGATGGTAAAGATTTTTTCATTTTACAACAAGTCTGAACTAAACTACCAGAAATTTAAAAACCAGCCCAGTACTCAACAAACAAACTTTACTGATGGGGTCAAAGAAAGATTATTTCAAAGAATACTGTATAAAGCATGAACAGTTGAATAAATCGGGCACTATTGATGTGACCCATTTTGTGTATTATTTTCTATTTCTATATATTGTTGATCATTACAGAAAGCACTATATTTTCTTATTTACCCGGGGGCTGCATATTAATTTCCCATTAAACAAATACACTATTTGCATACAGGAGAAGTTGACGGTGAAGTTGTTTGAGAGGTCCGGAGATGGAACAGACCTAGACCCGAACATCATCAAGGCTTACTGTCAACAATGTACAGCAGAAGCACAAGAAGGTTGGTAGCCATCTTTGAATATTCAACCCTTGCCCTTTCAGTCAACTTTTGGGTTTGAGATAATCAGTATAGATCTAAAGTCCTGTGTGTGCGCATCTCTGTTCCAGCTTTACTGTATTCATGGTTTTTCAAAGTTATCTATTCTATCATAATCTTGAGCCAAAGAACTCTTTGATTGACAGATATTCCATTTAAAAAGCAATCAATAATAACAAATGATGTTTTCTCACAAATAGCAATTCTTTGCAAGTACTTATCATTACCTATAATCAAGCATGGATTCATACTATCAACATAACATATCGCAATCTCCTGTATGTGGATTATGCACTGCTATGGCTCTCTATTCACTGTTAGTGGAATACTTGGTTGATTTAGTTTAACCATTCACCAGGATGAGGTAGGCTTTAGCATGCAGTACTTAATCATTTTCCTGGGCCCAGTAAAACAAAGGTTTGCGATCAATTGCAAACAATGATTCTGATTGGTTAATTGCCTATTGAACAATAGATGCATGCAACTCTCACACAGTACAAATACCATAACTCTCTTCATCCGTTTTCCCCCTCTCTGTTAGTGACGGTTGCCAGGGCGATAGAGATGAAGCACACCAGCAGCCTCATCTCATCGCTAGCCTTTGAGACGGGCAAACAGTTCAAGATGGCTGACAACTCCCTCAAGGCTGTGGAGGAGAATCTGGTGCAGAAGTGGCGCAAGTATCTCCAGCTCAAAGCTACGTTCTACCTGTCATATGTGAGTAGTCCACAAGACCACTTAAAACATACTGTAAATCCAGAAAGTCTAGCAAACTCTCCACTGGCTATTCTTTGTGGCAAGAAACTTTTATGAATCGGAAAATTATATTATTGCATTTCAATTATTTTTAAAGTACATGTAGTGTGTATGAAACGTTGCATATCTCAAATAAATCAAAACTTTGCACAAGCCTGATCCTTACAAAAGTTGTCTGGTTTGACAGGATGTGAATCTCATTGCTACTCTGTTGTCATGTGGAACATCATATTCCTTATTGCAAGATACTACACAATTGTACCATGGAGATATGACGTGAAAAAAAACCTTGCTAGGTTTCCTGTATATTCTGTTTAAAAAACCAAGCAATAAATCGCCTTTTCCATCTATTTCTATATAAGTTTGATTGTTGTACTAATCATGCTCCCATTATGAATCTGTTGACAGGCTCATTGCTACAATGGTCAGACACTCCTTGCCCAAGATAAGTGTGGAGAGGCAGTCAGAGCACTCAAAGAGAGCAAGTCACGTAAGTTTGATCACACTTGATGGTGACTTAGTAGATTGTACATGATTTCCTTGATTGAAGGTAATTGTAAATTATGGTATATCTGTGAATCTGTCCAAAATGTGGGATTTGATTCCTTATTTTTATGATCTCTCTTTATCTTGAATTTAAATTTTGTGCAATTAGCTTTATGTTTAGCAGTGTAAGCTATTGAAATTCAAGACACCATGAGATTTCAATGAATTGCTACATCTTAATGCCATACACATCCCCAAAATTCACCTTTCCATGAACAATTCACTAGTTAATCAACTTTGAAATATCACATTGCAAATCGCAAGTGAACTTAAAATATCCCTCTGTATCATTGCAGAGTTTGAGAAAGCCGATGAACTTGGAAGGAGCTACACAGCAACCAAGGGAGCAGGGAAGAGTGCCAAACCACATGAACATGCCTTCTTCAGACGGTTAGGACCACAGGTTAGGAGGACCCTGGAGAAAGTAGAGAGGGAAAATGGATTCATGTAAGTTTTTTGGGCTCATTTTTGTTTATTCATGATTATATCATTAATAATGAATGATACATGCTCTTTTGAATAGCAAATGTATTGCTGTAATACTGGCAAGGCAGGATTATTCAGAACAATTTTTTTTTGTCTGTGCCATTTGTTTATCAAGAGATTTATATTTTATTAATAATAATAGTTATTATTACTTTTATAGCGCATTTCAGGACCGAAGGCGCTCTCAAAGCGCTTTACAATGTACAATGTACGTTTACATAATAATAACTAGAAGCATTCATTAAAGAGGTGAGTTTCAGCGCTCTCTTAAAAACTTCAACATCAGTCATGGAGCGTAGCGACACTGGGAGAGCGTTCCAAAGTTTTGGTCCACCACAAGCAAATGCCCTGTCACCATAGGTTTTTGTGGCTCCATGATTGAGGGTAAGAAGGTGTTGAGAAGACGACCGCAAATGCCTTGGTGGGATGTACGGTGTGAGCAAATTATTGTACATGATATTCCTCTCATTAAAAACTCCACAAGATGTTTACATTTATATGAACTAATGTTTAGGACTCAAGTTAATTATTTCGAAAGGAGCTGAATGTGAAAAAATGATATAAATCCCCATCCTTTATCAAATAAAATCAACCATTATTTTTTTGGTGAAAGGAAATTTGAGTTTTGATGAGCATCATCTATATTTCAATGTAGTGTGGCTTCAGTTTGTGGCATGCTAGATGATTTGTTTTTTCACTTTTAAATAAGCAGAGTTAATTCAGTCAAAGTAAAAATTCCTTTATAATAATGACATTTGTATAGATTCCAGTAATTTCCACCATCCAAAATTTCTCCCAAATCTTCTTTTTTCTGTGATACAGTTATTTTCAGAAGGTGCCCGAGGTCATACCGGAGTTACCAGCGAAGGCCACCTATGGACTAGCCAGCCCTGTTGAATATGTTATGCCAAACAAACACGAGGACTGGACTGCAGAGACATACAATGGATTTAAGATTTCTAAGCCAGATCCTGAAAAGGTATGAAAAGGGGTATTGGCATTAAAATTCCATTAAAATTATTTGATTTAATTCAGAGGTTTCTAAAATGGAGGAATATATTGGTCGTTTTGCTTTGAATGAAATATTATTTCAACAAACTGTAACTACAAACTTATATTATTATGAGAGTACCAGTAGATGTATTTTGCTTGAGGAAGTAATGACAGTGTCAAGATTCTTTGGGAATTTTCCTATCGGTATGTTAATTTTATCTATAAATGAATGGGGCATACAAAATTGCACAAAGTGGGAGGTGAATTAATTTGATGGCATGTATAGGAAAGCCTTATTACTACTCTTGACAGTCTATACAACTTGGTAAAGCATGTTAAAAATGTATATGTAATTAGCACTGAATATCTTCATTTGAGAAACAATTTTCAAGTGCAAATTTATTTTAATCAAACAATTCTAAATGAATGAGCAACACACTTTGTATGAAGTTGTACAATTAAAATATCGTTTAAAAAAGCAAGATCCATTTGTTTGGTGACTGTGGTCCCAGTCATAAGATTTTGTGTCCTTGTCTGTCTATCGTTTCATGCATTGGTCTCCTTTCAATGTTGTTACAGAGAGAAAAGGACAAGGACGATGCCCCCAAACCAGTCAAAGAAGTACCTGTAAACCAAACAGACAAGGAATCGAGCAGCAGCAGTGGATGCACCATCTCCTAGGCAACGGATACCATGGCAATATGGTAATATACATTGTGGTAACTGCCTCTTGTTTTGGCAAGGGGCTCTGGAATTATGAAATATTGTCTAAGAGCAACTCATGGGTAGTAATATGGCAGAAAATTTGTAACATAATGCAATTTTATATATAATGTGTCAAAGACAGCTGTTTAACACTATACAAATAACGCACGTCCCAGAGTGCAATAGCGGTGAATGCAGTACGCGCGAGGTTTCTTTAGATTGGTGCCGCTCTGTGCAACGAGCCGCTTGCGGCGAGTTGACAGTGCGAACCATCTGAAGAAACCGAGCGAACACTGCATTTACGTTTCGCACAACAGGGTCAAGTGCGTTATTTGTTTTATAAAATAGCGACACAAAAACAGCAACAAACAAAAGTTTAGATCTTTTATAATAGTAATACGAGAGTTCGATCTAGATCTAACTGTTAGAGTTAGCCTATGTTGGTTCTAGAAATAAAATGAGGGTCTAGATCTAAGACCTTGCAGGCTTAGTTAGACCAAAAAGTCCACGGGATTCATTGTTTGATTAAAAATAAAATGCATAGGGTGTCTAGAGACGAGTCTACGTACATCAGACAGCTGAAATTCCTGGCTTCATTATAAAATCCAAAAGTCAAAACGGGTCTAAATCCAAGGCAAAAGTAAAACAAAAATTTGCTTTCTAATAATACCCCGCTCTAGCTAGAGCTAAGCTTCGCGTACGCTGCGCTGGGGATCATGGTGGAGCGTACAATATTAGCTACGCGCGTAGCCTATAGCCTACAATGCACTCGAGGGAGCGTACTAGTACTACGCGTACGCGCGCGCACTGGATCTCCATGGTCACGTACGCGCCGTGCAATATAACTTTTTACTGCGCTTTTTCTGCACTCATTTCTGCAAAATCGTGCTTGCATCAAAAATTTGTCAATGCCATGTGACGCGTATTGACCAATCACGATGCTTAAGATACTAGAGCCATTTTATAAACACAGATATATACTAACAAATCCTGTTGTGTTAATGCCTTAAGCATGTTTGTTGCCCTTGGGAGGGGGGGGGGGGTGCTGAGAGGAATCATGTCATGCACTTTTAGGTTCATTAGTAATTCTGTTTTGGAATAAACTGAATTCAATTCATTGTGAGGTAAACATTACTTGCCCGTTACTTATAACTTCACTTGGAGATGATTTTAATTCTCTGGGTATTTTTTTAAAAGACCTTTAACTTATATCACAGTCAGTCACTGTAAATTTATTTTTCTATGATATCTTCCATGTTAGGGTCTTTTTTTAAAGATGTAGCTCCTCTTTCCTTGTATTGTATGAAATAAGAGGAGTATATTAGCTATTGTCAAATTACATGTAGTATCTTTTAATCTCTCTTTCATTGTATAAAATGACTTTATTTATTTCATTCATATATCTTGAATGTTTCAAATGGACAAATATATAGTCATGTTTGTATGTTATTTTTTTGCATTACTAACCTGTAACAGGTTTTCTCTTTTAATTTCTGTGTATAAAGCCAGGGTAATAATCGGGAGCGCCAGGAGGGTCAAATCTGACTGACATGAGCGCTATACAAGAACCCACTATTATTATTATTATTATTATTATTATTATAAATAAACAGTTATACATTTGGTTAGTTTTTGTTACAATATTTTTTTGTATTACGGTTGTACAAAAAAGTACTGTCATTAAATATTCCCATTCATTTTTCTCCCATCTTTCTCTCTTAATTTGATTTCTATGTAAGCAATCCAACCCATAAATCCATTATCTTTTTTTTTTTAAATTATATTTTATCTGTCACTATAAATGGATTAAAGCCAATTATCCATCATAAATATGTATCTAGCCTGTTGTTTGAAAATGCGTATTATCAAAATTGATCCTGTTAGATTAAAGAACATCTAAAGAACAGATTTATTTCCATACAATGAAATTTCATTGTACATCGTCCATGAGAGAATAAAAGGGTATTAACACCAAGTGGAATGTTATGAGTAAATGTCCTTATTATGTTGTATGTAATACTTGTCATGAAGGCCGAAAAATGTGTACATTGTATTATGATATTTTTTTTTTATTTGTAGAGTTGAATACTGTTATTTATTCAATCATGTAGACAGTCATTTTATGAATAGATTGTTAAAAATTCTGGTTACTCAGATATTTTACTTTGCACAGTCATTTTGCTCTAATTTTTGTAATAGTCCATCCCAAAATATGTCAAAGGGGACACAATCATGATCCTGTTCAACATATAATGGGCTTAAGTTGTGTCTTTATAAGTAAAGGGAAAAAAGAGTTACAGAAAGTAGTATGGGATTGTGCAAATATATGTAAGATGATTAAGACAAGGGATTCTTACTGTTATGTAAGCATTTGGAGGGGGGGGTATGATGTTTGTGGTTTAGATAGCAGGTAATCATGCTTTTGGATTCAAAGTTTTGTAAGTTAGCAGTCAGGGAAAGGATACTAAATTCAGTCACATTATAGAAGGAACTTGTATATAGTTTTCGTTCCAACCAGCTTGACATTCCAAGGAATTTTCTCTTTTTTAAATTGAATTTGATTATTAAACAGAAAAACACTCAAGATATAGATTAAAAGACTCTTGTATGTCTTTTGGAATGCCAAAGAAAGTTGTGGTACAACTTTTTCAGTCTTTTGCTTTAATAGTTCATGGTAAGAAAAATTAATTGTACTTTTAGCTCATATGAATTACAATAACGGATCAAGATTGTACCTAAACTAATGCAGTCATGGGCTGCCTCCAAGTAAAGAAAATTGTGTTAGTTGACTTTTTAGAGATTCATGTAAAACGTTATCAGTCTAAGATAGGGAATGGCCCAAACAATAAGAATAATTGTGTTTTGTGCACACAAGTAAACAAATTATATGAAAATTGAAATAACCATGTATATTCAGATGCAATATGGCGCATCCATGGTTATATAATTCATGAAGGTGAAGAATTCATATCCTGGGCAAAGATCATTTTATTGATAGCAGTAAAGCTTTGTTCCCACCATATACCTTGTCCAAGACGTTCAGTCATGATTTGATGTGCATTCAAAATGTGTTCATACTCTCATATCTATCCAAAGTCTATCTCCACCCTATTGTACTTGTGTGCCTAAACTCTTATGAAGAAAACATTAGTTTAGATGTGTATGTATAAAAGTGGAAATGCAGCTTTATCAAATCTTCAACTTTGTTTTGTTCACTTATTTAAAATTAGCATGCATTTACATTGGATGCTTTTATCTCAAGATTTCTTCTGGTAATATGTGAAGAAGAATTCTATGGTGAAATCTGATGATGGAGTTATGCATTAAAATATGAGTTTTATATCAATGGTAATAATGTAAATGATATAGATATGGAAATAATAAAGAGCTTAAACAGAAACTAATGATTCAGTGTTCAGTATGAGATATGTTCCTTTTTCCAATTGGTGATACAAGAAAAGTAATTGTCGTTTGATATAAAAGTTATGCGTTGAAGTTCCAGTCTCATATTAATGATATGGAAAAGATGCAACATTTGAAAGTGGTAACAGAATACTAACACATGTAGCTTTCATTCCATTTCTTATTTATTTACAATGGAAGGGTTTTGACAATCAAGAACATTTGACAGCAATACAAATCTATTTTTACATCTTCATGATTTCTCTATGAAAATTAAATTTCACAATTTTGAGGATAGTTCATCAGATATTAAGCTTGTGGTTCCCATGGCGATCAATATTCAGTGGGTCTAGGCTAGTTCGATTCCAGGTCTAGTTGAATGCAGGCCCATCGTCCCTCTTCTGATATTCTGGTATCATAACCAGATAGTAGACCCATGGTACATAACAGCTCGAAAAAATGGTGAGAAAGGCAAACAGACGTCCTCCTGTGGAGAGTGGTGCCATTTCTTTGCAAGTCTGGAAAATGATAGAGAAAGGGGAAACAAATGGGAGAGAGAGAGAGAGAGAGAGAGAGAATGGTGAGGAGAATAGAGATAAGAAAAGAGAGACAGGTGTAATCGGGGAGGGGAAGAGATGAAGGTAGAGAGAGAGAAAGAAAAAAAAATGGAGAGCAATTTCTATAAACAAGATAAAACAAGATATATTATTTTCTCTCCATTATTCATATTAATCTATTATCATGTAATTTATTATCAGTTTTGATAGTAACTGTATGTGAGAGAAGAAGAATACATTTCTTAACTGAATATTTGAGATGAAATAGGGTCTGGGATCAATAAACCCAGATGTTGTGCGTCCCAAGAGGTTTGAATAAGCAATTTGAAGAAAATAACATGCAGTATTGCATATATCTCTTAAGGCCTTAAGTTAGACATTAGCATAAAAAAGGACATTGTTATGATTGTTTGTGCTATTTGATGCATATTATATGCCGACTTTTTGTCAAAATCCAAAAGCTAAAGTGACTGTTTTATTTTTGTTAAGCGTCCAAATACACAACTTTCACCATTATTCCTTTTTATTTCAAAAATGAAGATTTTGAAAAAAATTCTAAGTAATCTAAGGAGTATAGACCTAGTACCACCAACAACTTTAGTACAACAGATTTGGGAACAAAGCATGCTTAATTCAAGGAGCCGGCCTTCCTTACCACCTGATCATTCATTTGGAACTTAATTATCAATCAATTATAAATGTAGATATTACTTGCGCATCACTCTTAAACTCGTCGAACGAGTCAAAAAAAATTATCCTTCCTTGATATGTTACAAAATTATTTTTTTACCACCTTACTATAGATCCTATTAAGATATAAAATTATGTATGCGGGAGCCCCGCTGCTAAATGTACATGAACAAAATTATAATATAAGGATGTTCGATGCCCGGATTTTCCTGTTTCTTGTTGTTGAGAGTGAGTGAAGCGAACAAGGAGTCAAAAATTAATTTTGGTAATATTATGTATTTAAGAAAAACAGACGTACCCTCGCTGTCAAATAGAATGATATTCGGGCACCTCTTTGCCAAAATATGAAGGTATTCAGGCACTTTGCTGCATCTTTAAAATGCTGTTTCCTCATCAAATTACATACTAGCGGTACTGGTATTTGGTGTTCACGTAACCGACGTTATTCCAGAATTAATCACTTCTTGAAGGAACTACATTTCTCTCACGGCATCCAGGTTGAAAAAAACGCTGGTCTAGACAACACCCAGTGTAAAACTAAAACCAAGAACAAAAAACATAACAAACAAACAAAACAGAAACACAAACAAAACTCACTGAGCCGAAGCCACATGCATTTCTACTCGTTTGTTGTTGACCAAGTTTCTGGATTCGAAAAGACTGCGGACGTCTAACCACTTTTGCTCTAGATGATCGTAGGGCCTGGAAAACAGCGTTTCGGGCAATCCCATACATGATGATGAAGATTTATGATAGTCTATCTTCTTTTTAAAAGTTATCGGTCCAAATTAGGCGAGTTATGTAATTCTGCAATATTATGATTTCTATTTGTGGACCGCCTGTATTATGTGCCTGCACTGCGCGCGATCTAAAACGTGCACCTCATGTTATATTTTTTATGCCTGGCGTTGCTTAGATACACATTGAGCGCGTATAGCGCAAAAGGCGCCAAAAAGTGGGTGTGGCCCATTTTTTTTCTTCTTCTCGCATATGCATGCAGTCCAATTAGTATACAAATAACGCACGTACTTCTACGACGATACTCAGCAGGATCCATAAGTCAGGATGTAGTGCTGAGGAATAAACTATTGACTATGCCAAACCTTTTGAAATTGACAGTATGGTTTGTTTTTGTCTTTATTCTTGTTACACACTCAACCCTTGGTCTATTCCTCACTTCCTAGCCTCCTAGCCCATTCCCACATGGCCCCATACGGGCCCGTGACAAATCGGCATTGTGACCTGTCTTATTTTTATTGGCCAAACAATTATTAACATTTTGTTGAAATGTTGCAACATATGCAATTGTCCCTTACTTTTTTTTGTCTCGAGTTGTGCATAATTATATATAGGCCTAGCTTTAATGTTCAGGCTATATATATATATTTTACAACGTAATTCTGGCCGGAATTCTGGAGTTCTCGATCATGGAAATTTAGTCACAGGCACATGGGTTCCCTACTTTTGATATTGACCAAATTCTAGATTAATAATGGAATTCTAAAGTTACGTAAAGCTAGTGGGTCCTTAAACTTCAAAATACTGAAGGAGAGAGAGAGAAATAAAGGCACACATTTGGAAGCCGATAGAAAACTATCACGGTGAAATACTTACCGGGACCCCCCTCCCCCTTCCCCTGCCATATATTTGCAAGCTCCAAACTTGAATATAAAGGCTCGAAAGGAGCGCGATCATAGCAACCCATCCCAAAGAAAATCCCCGGATACCAAATAGCATTGTGCGATGGAACGCGACATGGAAATAAGGAACATTTAAGTTGTCTTCGAATTGATTTATGTATATATCGTATATTGGAAAGTAGTAATTCAATGAATGCAGATTATAAAATAACATTAAACATACATTCATAGATATGAGTGACTGAAATATTTTTTAAGATGGCAATGTTTATAATATCCGAAATGAGGTGCAGGTTTAATAAAAGTTCCAAAAGCGTTTCATACCACTGGCACTGCATATTCGGTTACGATCACGTACGGCAAGAATTAACTGTCAACAAATGCAGTCTCCCATCCCATTTATCGAGCCCTTTTCTGTACTTTCACGATCACGTACTCATTCGAGTAAGTTATTCTTCAGAACCAGGTACTAGTTCTTACAATTCAAGAGGACAAAATGGGGAAAATCGAAGGAATAATCAACTCATTTGAGGCAACATGTGAGAATTTTGCGAATCGGGTTTTGCCGCTGCTGCCTGGCCAGAAACGCATCCTGCTTCTCGCCAACAAAAGCGGCGTAGCTTTCTACTTCGTTATGTCAGCGATTATGTTCTTTGTCAGTACGTTTGTAGTTATTCCATTCAACCACAAAATCGAAATGAATGATCCTACAATCGACTCGAGTGGACCAACGCCGACTTCAACGTGGATCCTGAGTTTCTTCATTGGCAGTATGATGCTGAACTATTTGAGAGCATATTTCACTTCCACGTTTTACGACGCAGGCAAACTGAACGTGCCAACAGCGGAAGGCGGTAAAAATTGGGGCTACTGTGTCCCATGTCAGCAGTACATCCCACCCCGAGCCCACCATTGCTCTGTCTGTAACCACTGTGTCCTGAAGCGAGAATCACACTGCTTCTTCCTGGGGAAATGCATCGGTCACACAAACCAAGGTTTTTTCGTCGTCTACCTCTTCTATTGCGCCCTCTCAAGCCTCTTCGCACTTCTCCACATGGGCATGTACTTGCATCATGTGATCGGACCAATCGTCTCTTTGAGGATGCACCATTACCTGATCCCCTTCGCTACCTATCGATGGATCATGGGCTCATTTGCGACAACGGACTACGTCATGCTGTTCCTGCTTTACAACACGCTCATGATTGGGCTCGGCTGCAGCTTCCTCTTCTTCCAACAGATCAGTCTCATCCTGCAGGGTCAGACAAGTTTTGAAGCAGCGAAAAGGGTCATTCTGTACGACAGTGGAGCCCATATGAATCTTCAGGATGTCTTTGGGAGGTACTGGTGGATCCGCTTCATCCTACCCATCAAGCTCCCTCAGCCAGTGGATGGCATCAAATGGAGCAGGGTTAAGGATATCAAACGATACTAAATCACACTGTAATTAGGGAAAATGGTACATAAAGGATAGCTTTATCAGCAGTCATAATCATGCATTAAAAAAAAATGATTATTTCAACTTCCAGATTTTATGGCTCATTGAAAATCCAAGTAATCCTTTTAAAACCTTGTATTGAATAAAGAAAAAAAAAAGCTAAAACGGGGTATATTAATGATGACTTGCTAGGATTTGCATCAATTTATACAAATTATTATTTCAAGAGTACATACATGTACATGTACATACAACAATCTACATGACATGTACTTGTACATTTGCATAAATGTAGGTTGTTTTATAAATTTATTCAAATTTAAACTTGTGTTCATCTATTTATCCACTTTGTTCATGAAGTTGTCTTTCATCAATTGGTATCCTCAGATTCCACATGACAATATTTCTGAAATACGTTTTTAGGTGTATACATCTATCGTCAAGTTGAGTGAAATGCATCAACTCCCAAATTAGGTCGTGCCAAAAGGGTGTAAAATAGTGACAAAGTTTTCTAAATAGTGGATTGCTATATGGAACTTATTAAATGTATCCTATTTCACTGTATCCTACATCAATGTATCGCACATTGAGAGCCAGAAGGGCTGTGTTTAATTCAAACGGATTTCCACAGATTATGTATAATCATAGTACTGTTTTTCTTTGTATACAAACTAATGTTGTATGTTTTATATTGAACATCTTAAACTGTATTCTGATTATGCAGAATGGGTTTGTACCACAAGTGCCATGAAAACTGCTCTTTCAGTCTTTTAGTCCCTTACATGTATTTGTTTCTATTTTTATAAGTCAAAATGAATTTGATGTCATGAAGGAAAAAAATCACAAGATGCCTTTTTTAATATGAAAAAAAAGGTATGCTTCATGCATTTGGGAAAGGAAAATGCTGGAAATTCAAAATGACTTTCAATTTCAAAGCAAATGTTACAGTAAAATAATGGGATACAGGGCTAATATTATCTTGATTTGTCATAGAGAGAAATAAATATATATATATATAGCCTACATGTACCTTATTTCGGTCTGTAGACAGTCACAAATATCATGACTTGAAGTTGATGTACATGTACATACAAGATGCTCTGTTGTAATTGTGCAATCAAACAAAACTTGCATATTTTGTAAATTATGGCATGGCTGGAAATATTCTGAAATTGTTTTATCTAATGTACAGACTGGTGTGTAAGTTTACATGAAGAAATGCTATACAATCATATTTATTTGTTTGTTTTTTATGCACAACTAAAGGGAATCCTTCCCATTATCAAGTTGATTTAAATAAAAGTCATGTATGTTATGACAAACCTTGTGAAAATGTATAATATCAGAGTAGCAGAAAAAGTTTAGGATGTTACAAGTTTAAGAGATCAGAACAGTTTTCTTTCTTTTAAGAACTTCTTTCTAATATCTTGAGCATTATATCAACTAAAGATCCTGTACTATTTTGTGTTGATTATGTAATTAAAGGTAATACAAAGTTTTGGTAGGGGGTCATGAATTTGGTTCAAATGAACATATTGGAAGCATGATACGATCCTACAATATTCAGTGATCGTTGTTGCGGTCGAAATCGACTCTAAAGTTATGAAATTGCAAAAAATAAACACTTTATGTTGAATAGCTCCCTCTCAAGTTCGAGATATTAATCAAGCTATAAAACAATGTTTATTGACTAAAGTCGACCGATTAGCTATTCACGTTCGGAAATTATATACCATAACTACATAGTTTGAGATTTTTATGGTTGCAGCTACCATTGTACGGCCGTAGGAGCTATTTGAAATTTATCAACATTTACCGGGAGCACCGGTAAATCTTTATATATTAAAAGCAGAAGTGTTTTAGGGGCTAAAATTTCTGATGTTTTTAATACATCCACAGGGGCATCAAAATATATCAAAATTGTAAAGAATCACTATCCACCCATTTTTCAAAATATCCCAAAACTTTGTAATACCTTTAAGTGTACCCAACAAATGGAAAGGCCATTTTTACAAAGTCATCAAAGTTTTCCAATTGAATTGAACTTCCAAATTCATTATTTTCTTATTCTCTCTCTGTACCAATTTTATCAGGCTAATTTCTGATTTTATGTCAGTCCTCTTTCAGGAAAACTTTTCTCTCGAATTACAACACTCCTCCCCTTATTCGATTTGTATCTATTTTTGATGGGGGGGGGGATGAGGGGTGATGAGGGGTAGGATAACTATTATATATATATATCTTCAATTATGATCTTATCCACAAATCTTTGAAGATAGAAAAGCCTTGATTAATAACAAAGTTATTATGTAAAGGTGTGGAAACTGGAATATAACTTTTGTACTGTCTTTTGTATCTAGTTTTTTACATTTAAGAATTGATTGAAGTACTTTTTGCTGCCTTTATCAGATGATAAAATTCTTTGTTTATTTACCAAAATTTATCTAAGTGCATAATTGTGATTTCTGTGATTAACACCATTTAATATCATTTAGAGTGTGTGTACATTTGTTTATACACCTATGTATTGTATATGCAGCTGTATTAATTTTGTTTGTTTGATACGATCGTTTTTTGTTAATTAAAGTTTGCAATTAAAATCTGTATTGGCTTTTTTTGTTGAGCCTGATTTTAATTGTACAGTAGTCAAATTGTAAACTTATTTGCATATTTTACTTTATGATTGGAAATCAGGCCCGATTATCCGGATAAAAATCAGCACCACACTGTCTGCACACATTCCTGTTAAAATCCACTCTTTTCTCTTGCTCTCTCTTTCTCTTGCTCTCTCTCTCTCTCTCTTTCTTCATTGCTCCACTGTTTTAGTCCACTTATATGGTTCAAAATATACAAATTGGAATCTGTCAGACAGATGAATAGTAACCATTTGAATTTGGGCAATTCCATACAATTTTCCCCATATGATGCGTTACTTTAAACCATTTATTTCATCCAAAAAACAACAACACAATTTTTATTCGCAATCATTTACTGATCTTTTTTTTTTCTTCAGTAACACTACCATTTGTCACAGTATGATCAAAAGAGTTTTCATATTTGAATGAAATACGTGAAAAGACATGTCATATGATACACACTGCATGGAACTGCCCAATTTGTTTATTCTGTAAAACATATGCATTTATCATAACAGATGTACTTTAATAATACATTATTATATCCAGGCTTTACTATAAACCCATATAGCTATTTATATCAAACATATACACACACATGTAAGACATAATTTTCTTTAAATATATGCAAGACACAGTATGATTTTGATATTTTAAAGCAATGTGCCAGTATTATCCATTTCTCAAATACATGTATCCATCTCATGTGTTCCCTTTGTTCTCAAGCCAAGTGGAATACCGCACATATTTTTTAAGCATTAAGCTTCTCCATTTTAGAGATGTGCCGCAGATGATAAACCACGACCAGAAAACCCAACAAGATTGTATTACTAGAGATGTTCCTCCTTGTTAAAAAACAAAATAGAAAGAAAGACAAATATAGGGCAGATACTGAAAGTAATATCACTGAACTGTAATCTCCATTCTATTTACTGTATGATAAATAGTTTGTACTCTTTCTTACAAAAATAACAATAAATACAAATCAATACAAAAATATAAAAACAAAGTTATGAATATGTATTTGTGCATAATGGTTCACATGATGAATAAAACACTGTGAAGCTGACTTTGGCTGAGTTCAAGTCACAGTGTCAAAATGGAGTCTTTGCTTGCAGCCTGTGGAGAGGGAGGAGGGGGAAAAGTGAGAGAGGGAAAGCTAAATATAAAGAGAAAAATAAGAATATGGAGGGAAAGATGAATAGAAATTGGAAACGATACAAGTACGGTAGAACCTCATGATAACAAAATATCCAGGACAAAGGAAATAACCTTGTGTCCTTTAAATCTTGTTGTATTGGGGCTAAGAAACAGATGAAAAAAGAGAGAAGACAGAGCTGGGACCAGCAAATTTACCTTCATAATAATAATAATATTATTTAGCTTTTATATAGCGCTTAATACAATATCTCTAAGCGCTTTACAAATATACTATTACCCCGGTCATTGGATTCAGTGCTTGCCCGCACACATTGTGTGCACAATCTCCACTCCCTGGGGAGCATTCCAGCCAAGTGTTACTTGACGCTCAAAAACTGTTTGATCAACAATGACGGTCGCATCCTACCAGGTTCCCATTTAACACCTGGATGGAGAGTAGCAAGTGCAGGTTAATATCTAATGAGAGCTTGTTATAGCAGTGTTCTCTATAAAATGGTTCAACTGTGTAAACAAATGAACATAGGATAGATAGAGTTGATCTGTATTTTTCCTAGTTTCAACAATGTGAAACTTTGTGAGGTACTGACTGTGAACCACCCTCCTTCCACGCCTCGGCACCTCCACCATCCCTGGGTAGGTGCTCTCCATCACCCCCCTCCTCCTGACCTCCCTCCGCCCCTCCCCTGGGATGAATCTCCTCCATGCTTGGCTGGCGTAGGGTGGTGCTGGAGGCCCGGAGCTGGGTGGCTCGGAGGAGGGGGATGAGCTGGGAGGAGGCGGGGCTCATGGAGGGCGTGGTGCAGCGGGAGGCGCTAACGTCGCACCCTCCCAGGAGCTTGATGAGCTCCTCCTCTGTAGGCCCACCAGGAAGAATGTCTGTTGAACCTGGAAAAAAAACGAAACGTTCTTTTTACATGTTAAGGTAATTATACATCACTGCTATTCAACACATGGTAGTCAAGGCAATTAGATATTATCTTGAATAAGTGTGGGAAAGCTGATGACCATATAGGTGATTCTTTTTCTTCCACTACAAACCAACCGTCACTCACTTCCAACCTTGTGGAGTATCATCCTACAAGAGAAATAATTCTTTGCTGCTAGAATTGATGAAATTATTTGTGAAGGTATACATGTATGCATGTTGGTGCTTCCCGGTACTATTGATTTCAGGCTAAATTTAGTGAGTCATATTTTAGGCACGATAAACCATACAACATGATTAAATGGCTATATCTCCGGAAATGAAGTTTGCTCACAGGACCTCAAAATTATCCATAAACCTTGAAGTTATATAGATTCCAAAAGAGGTGTTCCTATTATGTTAAATTAAAAATCTATCTGCATTTATCATCATCACATTGAGAGGACACGCATGCAGTATATATTGTAAAATGGAGCTTACTCTTTTCTGCTTTTTCATTCTTGTTGAATATTTCCATGGCAGAAGTCAGGTCCCACATCTGTACACCGCCGTTAGCGTGACCTGTGAAGAGATATCTCCGGGGTCGTGACCCCATCCTACTTGACCCCTCACACTCATGGACGCAAAATGATGAGATGCTGCTGCCATCTACTGATCTGATAAGGCACACCCTTAGAAAATAGATAAGGTAAATGATGATATGAAGAAAAGAAATTCTTTTATTTATTTCATGCATTACTTGAAAACTGAAATACAGCTTGCAATGTTAGAAGTAGCCCTGGTCACTGGATTTAAGGCACCCACAGATTTCCTTTCCTTCTTTCCCTTCCCTCCTTCTAAGTGTTTTATTCTTTTCATTTCTCCTTTTTTTTCTTCATTCATACCTGATTCTACCTTTTCTCTTCATCTTCCCTCTTTCATTTTTTCCAAAAACACCTCCATCTAATTGTTCTTTCTCTTCTTTTCATTTTCTTTTTACTTTTCCTTACTTCTCTTGTGTATACTCATTCATCTTCTTCTCCTCCTCCTCCATTTTCTTCTTCTTCTTGTTCTCCTTCTTCTCCCTCCTTTAACTTTTGCATTCTCTCTATTTCCTCATTCATTCCATCCTATCATTCTTACCTCTGCCCAGTAGATGAGAGTCTAACATAGACTTGGTCTGTATCTGGAACTACCTTTTGAACAAACACCTGCTGGTCATCCCTCTCTCCAAACGGTCCTTTATACAGATAAAGGTTTGTTTAAAGACAAATTAACTTTAAAACACATAGAAGTACTAGATCCAATATAATAATGCAAATTATAGTAGAATTTTTTCAACTTATGTCTAATAAAGTCAAACTTAGAAAGAAAACTGTCCAAGGTAAACAAAAATATAATATTTTAAAAACTAGTTTTCTTCAAATGAAGATTCTCTTTGACAATATATCATAATAGCAAGTAGATGCTTTTCACTATATATAATCCATAATGTAAAGTGTATGATAAATTCACAATATTTAACTTCCAGTAGTTACAAACCACTATTTAATCAATAAATAAAGTTCTTCCTATTTTTAGAAATGGAATCAATGCTACCTCGAATATACAGCAAATACCAAGTAGTATAAATTGACAAGTAAAATGTTACATGTGTCGTGAGGGGTTTTTTAAAGTGGAAATCAAGGTTTTCACCATTAGATTTATGGCCAGTGATAAATAACCGAATAGGCAGCCAAAAATGATACTTAATGCCTTATAACCTATAAACAGCATCATTTTACAATAGTTATGAAGGTTTTCCAAGGAAACAGATCTTTTAAGTTAAAATTCAGTAACTGTTTTAACAATAATATAATATCATATTCCGCTGTTATATAGCGCTTAATACATCTCCGACGTCTCTAAGCACTTTACAGATATACTATTTAAGTGGAGGAACCTCATTTGAATATATACACCATCTTGTCTCATCTACTCACCTATATCATTGCCGACCAGATGGCAAGGGAAGGGCTCAGAGTCTTCCAGAGACAACACCTTGAAAGAAGCAAGAGGGGTGGAGCCTGGTTGAGTAGAGATCATCCCTCGGAATCGGGTCACCGTCCATGTGCGGGCGTGGTTGTACTCAGAGCAGACTAGGGAGGAGAAAGCAGAAATGCGGATTTAAAAGCCACTTGGAGGACAGGTAGGACAGAAATATATCTTTATAAGAAACACAATTGATGCAATGGAAATGAAGATACTCTAATTACAGAGGGTTTCAATCTATCAAATTTCTGAGATTCCAGAAGTAGGGCGATTTCCTTTTTTAACACTAATTTTTTTTTTTTAGCATAACAATATCATTATATTTTTCAACATTTACACACAAAAAAATCATGTCCAATTCAATCACAACAATACGAAAATTGCATATTATAAATGGAATGATTAAAGTTATTATTTATAAGATATTTAAATAGTATTTAACAATAATAATAAAAATGGTTCTTATAAAGTGCTTTCCGGTACCACTGAAGTCCCTTAGCGCTATATTTAAAGAGATATTCTAGACTCACCAGAAACCAAGTATTTTTCAGAGAGCATGACCTTGGTGATGGGGTTCCGATGCACTGTGAATGTTTGGAACAGCTGAGGTCCTTGACCCACCGTCTCGGGATGCTGGACGATGACCCGTACCTTGCCTGAGCTTGTCCCGTATGCTATCTCAATCCAGTTCCCGCTCAAGCCTAGATAAACAGATGCATTTTTTAAAACTTGAGTGTATTGCTGTATCTCAAACAAATGCTTATCAGAGGGTGGATATATTTTTGCAGTTGCATTCACCAAATGATAATTGAATGAATGCAACTGCATTTCCACTATCCTCTGTCTGACATGCCCATTGTCAATAAATTTCCTAAACATGGTTCTTGTACAGCGCATATCACATTGTACAAAGTCTCTATGCACTTCCGAAGAGCTTTGGAAATTATTATTTTTATATTATAAAACAGGGCCCTTGTTCTCAACTTACAGATAAATGGTAAGTAAAATAATCCGATAAAGAGAGTAAAAACTCACAATATCTAATAACTTCTATGACATCTGATTTACATGAACTAACTTTCAAATCTAATTTTCCTGGTGTTGACATTATTAGTACCAGTTTAGAATGCAGTGCTTCAAAAATTGGTTATCATAGCCCTTATGAATGAAATTGACCACAAATGGTGACCTTGCCATCAATATTATAACAACCATGGCAACATCACTCAACAGCCAATCAAATCAATATTTCCAAGGAATCTACCACCAATGGTAAGCTTTATGTAACAGGGCCCTAGTATAGCACTATTGACATTACATAGGAGAATGGACAGGTCAACGATTCTCAGGTTTAAAGGGGGGCTTTCCATTTAATACGAAGGTGAGATAACTTACTGCTCTTTGGTGTAAGATACACACTGAGTGCTGTGACTGCATCATTGGCAGGGTCCTTGTATAACTCAGTTACCAACAGATCCTTGTCCTTTATTCTCAGGGGAAACTTCTGCATATCTTTATAAAGAAAACACAAAGAGAGCAGAAATGATTATTTCATAACATGTTACAGTCTTCTACCAGTACCTCTCCCCCATAAAAAAATGTATGAACATAGCTTTAATCGCATTAGCAAGTTTCTTCATGACTAACACATTTCACATTATCAATTAGATTAGTGACTCTAGAAAAGTAAATGAATGCATAACACTGTAATTAATGTGCTTCTTATCAATTAACTAATCAACATAATGCTGAGGGTAAGCTGCATTTCTGGGTGTATTTCTTTTTTTTCTTTATTTTTCCATTTTTTTTTTTGTGGCAGTATTAAAGATACTCTGGTATTCGCTGTAAAGGAGATGATAATCATCAGAGTCGGATATCAAAATAATCCTTTTACATGCCATATTTTATAAAATTCAAGAATACTGAATACTAAATTTGTTAATTGAAGACTGGATTAGCTTGTAATGAATAAGTATCTTATCTTACCTATGTAATATATAGATCCATTTGTGCATCCAAGTAGGAGGAAAGATCCTGCTGTATCGTAGCTTGCAATTGGGTTGACATCTTGAACCTGTTAACAAGTTGTGAGTGAGGGAGGGAGGGAGGGGATGCAATGAAATAGTATTCATTACTATAAATTGTATACTTAATAAAAAGAGAAAAACATTTTAGGATACAATGGTTTTGTCTCAATGAAATTATGGTGGCACTCACAGAAATCTGAATTCTTAAATTCATGGTCTTGAATGGTGGTTTCAATTTTTAAGGAATCCACCAATTCTCTGTACATTCTGCATCCTCTTAAAACCACATAGTAGTCAGTGTCCATGCATATAGCACCATAATTTGCTGACACCAAATTAGGTTGATTTACAAATGAATGGGTCGGTGTGTGCAAAGGTTTCTGAAGCAGCGAACATGCGGTCCCAGCAGAATATGCGGTCCCAGCAGAATATACTCCATCTTGCCTTCATATCTCGAAGGTGAGGGAAATTTTATATCATGATGAGAATTCCATACGGAGGTAGGCTAGGGCACAGTTCATTACATACAAGTGAAGTCTTGGTGACCGACAACACCTGTTATTGGGTGAACAATGGAATGGTATCAAATTCTCCATGAAAACCCACTGCTATCAGCCTTTGATATTAATGACATCCTATTAAAGACAGAATAAGTAATATTTCCTTGAGAACCGATTATGGATAAGTTTTGAAGAGGCAATTCTTTCAAAGGTTTTCTTACCTGCCATGTTTGTGTAAGGGCATGCCATACACCAACCTTGCCTACATGACTAGTGGCTACTAGCTGACTACCAATGAAGAATAAGCTATCCACCTTCACTCCAAGGTTAAAGGTACCTATCAGTCAGGACAGAGATTAAAAAACAATAAGCAGGAAAGACATGGTTAAGACTGAAAACAAAATTTATCTGTGGGTCTTAGGTTACATTTCAATGCCTATCTGTGGTCTGTAAAAAGACTCTGTATTAAGGGCACTCAAACTTGATAAAAGAAATCCTGTTAATACTTCAAGACCACTATAAAACATTAGTTTAATTTAAACTTTATTTGTGACTTTGAAATCAAATTCATGTATAATTCCTTTAATCTAATTCTTTTACATTCTACAATGAATGTACATTGTCTTAGCTTGAAATTCAATACTGCTATTTGCAACTTTTCTTTTTTGAACTCCAGTGGCTCATACAGGAATAACGAAACCGTAAAGACTCTGTAATCACTTTCGATTAAAATCATCGGCTGCCTTTTTTAACTTCAATCTGAAATCTCTAACAAAGTAGACCCTCACCAATTTCCACCTTCTCCTCCGATTCGTTACTACTCCACATCCTGATCTGGCTTCCGAACGCCACGGCAACCATCTTCTCCCGGTTCTCGAGATGGGCGGCCCCGCCCACCTTGGGGTTGAGGGCGACCCTGTGCACCGTCTGCTCCAGGTGGGGGGACTGGAAGACTTGATGCCAGCCAGTGGATTCCTTGATGCGGTAGCAACAGATGAAGTGGGAGTAGGCCAGCACGATCCAGTTGTGATGGCCGCTGACGATGAGCACCCGTCTGGGATCTATGCTACCATCTGTCAGGCCATATAGATAGAGATATTGTAAAGCCTTGCTGTCATTTGTTCATTTCATTATGTAATTGCTCTCTAATAGTGAAATTGGTGAACACACATCAACCATTAACTAACCACCATCTTAAATACTGTTAAATAAAGATGAAAAATGACAAAACAACAAAAACAACAAAGCAAAGATCTCGCAATGGCTTTTGTTCACAATGCTGTACATCAAATTGAAATGAGTCAGGATGCATAACAATTTTGACACAATATCATCAAAAATATTTTCCTAATGGATGGAATAGATGGTGCAATTTAAAAGTCCACTACTTTTTTGAAAAGAAATAGGACCTATCTGATTCTGTACAGGCTTTAAAAGAAATATTAAGTCCCCTCAAAAAGGAGCAGAGCTGATTACAAGTTGAATTAGATCAGGAAAAAGTCTTATCATTTGAATCAAACCAAACACCAACAATATCTGAAAGGGGGGAATGTTAACAACTCAGACAAGAAGATTTATTTGACAGTGTTAGCTCCTGGACTCACCAAGTGGTATGTCCAGATCATGTTTGGAAGGCCTGATATCAATAGCGGAGGCTGGTCTCTGGTCCCTTCCTGAACCTCCTCTAGATCCAGGTCTTGTTCTAAACTCTGCCTCACCGGCAAAGCTGTACCTCTGTTGATCGGGTAAGTCATGTCTGACAGGGAAGGCTTCATGGGGAGAGAAAGAGAATGTGAAAAAGAAATTCATATGTTGTTGAGATTTTGAAACAGTGAAAAATAAAAACCTTGACATTCAGAAGTTAAATCTGAAACAAGTATAGAACAAATTTTACACTTTGTTCTTCCTTGTTGGTGAAGCATAAATCATTTAAATTTAGAATCATAATTCTTGAAGTTGTTTCCCTAATTCCCCTACCTTTCCCCCGAAATGGACACAGGAGAAAACATTCAATACAATGGTATATATGTTTCGTCTGTTTGTGGTTCACTGTTGTCCTGACTGATATTATTTTTCCATTTTAGTCCTATCTCTAACATGAAAGAAAAAGAGAAAGATTTAGAGAGAGAGAGAGAGAGAGAGAGAGGGAGAGAGAAAGAGGGAGAGGGAGAGAACGGGAGAGAGAGAGAGAAAGAGGGAGAGGGAGAGAAAGAGGGAGAGGGAGAGAAAGAGGGAGAGGGAGAGAAAGAGAGAGAGGGAGAGAAAGAGGGAGAGGGAGAGAACGGGAGAGAGAGAGATAGAGAGAGAGAGAAAGAGATATTTGATAGATTCTGCTACTTACGTGATGGAGGAAGAAAGCCATGAAAGAGCACACTGCCACAAGATGCCCGGTCAAGTTCCTCACACAACGTCAGCTTCTTGACTGATAGGAAACAAAAAAAGACCAGCAATTAGAACAAATCACTCCTGCACCTGCTCCTAAAAATTATACCAATATCTTCTCATTAGAAAATAATGATTAAGTGCATCATTAACTTTAAGATAGTTAAAGAAGCTACTGGTATTAAGGTGTTTAAAACTATACAATCCTGCACACAAGATTTAAGAAAGGGCCTACCTAATTTGCTTCATATATTCTTAAATATCAATCAATCAATCATATTTTTACACCGTCAATTTTACGTGGGTGTGTTTTTTAAATAAATAATTAGTGCAATAAACACCAATCCAATTAAATTCAACACTCAAAATTATGGAATTTTCCATCAAAAACAATATCTTTATGCTTCAAGGTCCTAATAAAATGGACAACATATAAAACTGTCTAAGAAATAGTTATCATTGATACACAAGAAGGAGTGGCTCGGAATATCTAGATCATGACATCATCAATTATCTTAACCGCTTCCTTCTGTCTATCTCTCACATGATGTGCATAAATCTCTTCATTTACCTAATGGTGATATGCCATAGAATTCCGCTTCATGTTTGAGTGTCTCGATATCAATGCCTTTTATATTGAGCTCCTTGGTCCTCAAATAATTCAGGATTGGCACAAAGAAGCTGGGGTCTCTGTCAATAAATATCTACAAGGGGGAGAGAGAGAGATAGAGGGGGAGGAAGGAGGACAGGGGGGAAAAGGGAACCAAAACACAGACAGAATACAGAGCGACAGATTAGTGAGTGACGGACATATACAGACATAAGAAATGAAGCGAGACAGAGAGAGAGAGAGAGAGAGAGAGAGAGATATGGTGATTAGGGGGGGGGGGAGATAGGGGGAGATAGGAGGGACAGAGACAGACATGAGTTGCATAATTAAGTATTTAATCTAGTCTATAATGCTACTTATATGTAAATGTAAAGGAATTTTGCTGATGAGAGAACTATAAAGACAACCAAGTAAGCTTTCCTTTAACTTAATCACAGGTCCAAAACTTCTGTGAATAATTGAAAACTTTGATAGTGCCTTTTGTTAGTATATTTTATCATGGTTTTACTGTATTATTAGACTAAGGATATGCATCAAAATGTCCTTATTCAATTCAACATGTCAGCCAGAATTCCCCTTTTTGCAATTTTGTGCATCTGTCTAATTCCTCTGTGTGAAACTTTCAGACTTTAACATATTCATCTTGCTTGCTACACCAGCCTTTGCAAAACACCACAGTGATATATAAAATGTACAATACAAGACTATTTGGGATACTTCTACAAAAGCCATCCCTTTGAAACCAATAACTGATGATACTTACTGCTCCTGTTTCATCTTTGACAGAGGATATCCTTCCACTCAGTAAGCTGAAAAGAACATAGAAACAGACACAAATTATCTATTTATTCATAGATTACTGTTCTATTCACAGCCATTCACACCACTCTCAGTTTCTCTTCTTTGAAATTAAGGGTACCTTGTTTGTTCCCACAAGTTTGTTAGATTGACAACTGTATTACCCTCTGGAGTCTACAGCCAACAAGTTAAATGTGTGTTTTATCTTTAATAGGCTTCTTCATATCCCCATTTCCAATGTTATCTAATCCTTAATTTACAAGAATATACCAGAGTTATTTATCTACTTTTTTTCTTCTTCAAACTACCTTTGCAATATTTTCTTGTAAACAAAACTGTCAATGTGTAACATGAAATGTGAAATAAACCTGTATGACTTGACCTTAGAAAAAACTTTACATTTGTAAATATTATTGTCTTAACTTTATTGTGTGGCTTAAAGTCTGGCCTTTTATTTAATTGTCACCCATTTCTATATTGACACCTGTACCATTATTAGAGTGACACACATACTTTCTCTGGCAAGCACATTCTAAACCCCATTGTATTGGGATATGCACTTTGTGCAGTTATACTGGCAAGCACATTCCCCACCCTATGTGTTGGGATGTGTAACCACCCAATGTATTGGTATAGCATATTCTTGCATATTACACTTGCTTTTGCCACATGTACTTTTATCACTCCTCCTTAAGCGGTTCTTATAGAGCACATGTCTTTTAGAGAGTCTACATTAAGGCCAACTCAGCTTCATCATAATTTGTGTCTTACTCCTTCGCTCGATTCTCTACTCGGTTCTAAGGCCTTATTACTTTATTGAGATGAGTTTTGTCTCCCTTACTTCATCCACAAAGAAGCGACAATACTGTATAAAGTCTACATATTCTTTCTATGGGAACTGTGCAATATTTGAATGACAGTTGACTACCAATAATTCACCTTGTCAATATACATTATCTCACTGTGACTTGTGAGATAATCTGTCCCAACAATTAGTGGCTCACTAATTCTGGTGCCGGTTTCAACAGGTGCTGCTACAAGACAAGGTAAAAAAGCAGGGAAAGAAACTAATATTTATTTTTCGGGGGCTACTTGTCAAGCTTGCCTGCATGAAAATAACATTCTAAAATTTGTTTTGCATTGAACTCTATGCAAATTTATGGTGCTCTTTTCTGATTTTCGGGGGCTCTTTTGGGCATTTCGGGGGCTAAATCACCCCAAGCCCCCGTGTTTTTTTTCACTGTAAAAAAGAAACCACTTTCTATTTCCTTTATTTTAGGTGACCGATCCCCTAAAAACCAATCATAATATTCTTTAAACTTACTTAAAGATTCATATGTAAATGATATATTGATTCATTGAACCTTTATATTCTTCTTACTCTTTTTTTTTGTGTGGTTGTTTACTTGTATGTTTCTTTCTGCAGAAGCCCCAAGCTACCTTATCATTCAAAACATGTTGCCCGAGAAAATCTTACCTTGAGAAGAATGAATCAGGGATCCATGTTAATGTCTGCCTAGATGTAGAGAACCTGTCAAAGAGAGAGAAAGAGAGAGAGAACAAAAACGGTCAAGTCTAGGAAATACATTTCTTCAGATCTAGGGATTCTTAACAAAACATTAAAAAGTGGGAAATGAGTTTCTTATTGTTCAATTGTTTTAACACAATATGTTACATGGCAATTTAGTGTTCAGTACAGAAAAATGACTATTAAAATAATTCTATTAATATCACAAATTCGCCATCAATTTTTTCTTTTCAATTTTTTTTTTATTTTTAAAACCATTATTGCATTAACACAATGAAATAAAGATAAGAGTAAGGTATGGGCATCATCAAAAGTGAAGCAGATGTAAACAAAACTAATATCAGAATCACAACAAAGCTTTATCAGCAATGTAATTTGTCATCGACATTGGTTTGAGAATTGATACATTGATTTTCAACTTTCCTTTTTAAAAATAATTCCAACTCAATCATCAATCAATCCGGCAATTATTCATTAATCATCAAAGGATATAAATACAAATATGCCACATGAGCATATATATGGGCATACCTCATCACCTCTGCCATCACATAAAATGTGGTCTCTTTTATAACATGGTTTATAAATTATTAAGGTCTGTTTCGTTTACCACATTTTTATATTACGTATGGGACTGAGGCAAAATACTACATTATTAGATACTCACCGCGTACCACCAACATTCAATTTGATGAGATCACCTGAGCATAAGAAGTGTCCGTTCATGGTTGCTCACCGTGGACTGCAAATTTTTCGATTTGAAGGGCCTTTATGAACCTTTTTTTGTTGGTACAATTACGTCAAGTATTGCAACACTAAATTATCTCAAAAGTAAATATGGGCGTGGATAAATAACGTAGATGGCAGCAGAGTTAAATTAACATTGGTCGACTTATCCCATAGAGATATATCTCTATGACTTATCCATATCTTGTTGTGGGATGGGGGTGGGGGGGGGGGGGGGGGGGACGATTGTTGTCTGCTTTGAATGGCCTTTTCTCTAATTATAGCCACTTTTGATATCAACTGAAGTGTGTAGATAACTGTACAATTATCATACCAAAATGTTACCGACATTTTCCTGAAGACGAGACAGGTAATGCAGGAGATGTGCTCAGCCTCTCCCACCATGCTCTTAATTCCTAATTACTTCCTATTTTGCATATACACTGTCCTTTATTCATGGGGTCCACACCCACTCACCCATTTTCTTTTGTAAAATACTGTTCATGTAGTTTATATAGTTTGATACATGTTCTCTTCAGTAGTCTCCGTAAATCGACACAACGCTTTTTTCTAATCTTTGTTAAAACTATTGTGTTAATTTGTTATAACATTATTTGTCGAGAGGTCCACACTCTACAAGCTATATGCTTCTTAATGGATCCCTCCATTTACTCTTGTTATAGAAATATACAGCAGCATGTTTTATATGTTTGTTCTTGATTTAGATTGTATGATATGTTTATCGTATAATTATGAACTATACTTTTGTTATGCAAAGAAGAATACCATGTACACTGTTTAGTATAATTACTTGTGTATACTTTGCAAAATGTTGTTCGTAATTTATATAATTTATTAATTGTAAATAATTTGTATTTTTCCTTGTTCAAAATGGAAATAAAACTTGAACTTGAGCTTGAACTTGATCCATGGGTGTCACTCTATTGAAATGTCTTTTTTTTTTGCTTGACCCCAAAACAAAAAACAAAAATCCGGGATCCATACTACGCCAATGTTTTGAGGCTAACCGTTTCGTTAAGGATACAACAGAAGAATTATGATGCATATTATATAGGCCTATATACTTCCCTTTTTTCTAATTTGCCTTACTCGTTGGCTTTTTAGCAGTGGCGTACCTGCATGGGTACTCCATCAGGGGGGGGGGGGGCAAGCGACCGAAACAAACAAAAAAGGCGATGTTAATTTTCACTTCTGGTGATGTTAAAAAGTATATAAACTGGTGTTGTTTCAAGCCGGGGGTGGGAACATTCACTATTGTCTTGTTAGCGACGTTAATTTCATTTTTGGCAAACGAGCGTAGCGAGCAAGAAAAAAACAACACTTTTTTTAAAAATAATTGCCACTTAAACTTGGTTCAATTGTCCCATGCAGGGCGCGGGAACAATATTGTGTTTAGGGTGATTTTATACCCATTTTAGCTAGCGAGCGAAAATACATCTTTCTCTCAATGAATTGCTATATAAAATTTGTTTCATTGTTGCAGGTCGGGGGCGGGCACAATTGTGTTTAAGGCAATGTCAATTCCATTTTGGCGGGCAGGCAACCCCCTACATTTATCTGTTTAATGATATTGTAGCAGGTCAGTGGTGGGCACATAATTCCACGAGCGAGCGAAAAAAAAATCACTTCTCTTTTATAGGGAAAATATGGTACATAAAACTTGGGTTCATTGCTCCATGTCAGGGACGTGATTATTAAAAGCGATGTTATTTCTATTTGGGCGAGCGAGCGTAGCGAGCGAGCAAAATTTTTGTAATGATAATTGGTTCATAAATTTCAGATTTTTTTGTTGCAGGTCAGGGCTTACACAATCATGTCTAAGGTGATGTTAATTCCGTTAACTCCGTTAAAGGGGCACTTTGCCCCTGCCCCCCTCAGGTACGCCAGTGCTTTTTAGCCCACCGGGGTCGGCGAGGTAGCGACAAAATGTCCCCATCCCAACAAAAAGTTCCTATCCTCAATACCCTCCTCTTGACGAATCGTCGAATTTTGCGTTTTTTAAATATAACCTCCTCCACCTAATTTTTGAGGATATTTTTATCCACATCCAGTTTGTTGAATAAAAGACCTGCATGTCTTCATTATGGGATAGATGACAGAAAAAAAATTAAAAAAGCATTCTAGTGCAATAATTTTCTCCCGCCCAAATCACTATCCGATATAAGGCGTTATGAAAGATGCAGAAATGATTATCCTGCTAAAAACTGGGTCGATGACGATGTTGAACATTCCCTTATTGGCACACGCCCTCACTTGTACGCCTCAACTCCGTCCAAAAAGGAATTGCCATTTACTGGTTCCTCAATTTTCTCCAGTGTATTGTACGTTCCATTTTCATTTTCATCGGTTTACATTTTGAAATGTTTATGAATGCTATCGTCTCATCTTTGCCGAGATGATAAAGGGGAGGGGGTAGGAATCCGCATCCCTCCCGGCTCGAACCTGAGAGATCGTCAAAATATAGGGTTCATGCACAATATTTTCGAGAAATACTATTTTAAGTAGTAACTGTTTGCAGTGGCGGCTCTAGATTGAACGAAAATTGGCTTTAATATAGTAATGGCCTAACTTAATTAGTCCCCTATGTTCACCAAACATCTGGATAAGCCACTCTCTGTAAGACATAATAACGCTCATCTTATTCCGCCTCTCCCTTCCCACCCCACCCCAAGAATAAACGATCAGATACTGCTTGACCAGTGGACTCTATGGAAGTGATACGGTCGTGAACGTCGATTTATGATTGATAAGTAGGGGATGAACACATTAAATTAAAATGGAAAATACGCTGTCTGAACGATATACTCAGGATCCAAAAATCCACTCATTGTTGGAGGGGGGAATGTTCTATTCCCCCCCCCCCCCCTATGATGTAGTTGGAAGAACCACACTAAGTATAAGCAGGCCTGAGTATAAGTGCCCTAAGAAAAAGTAAGGTGATTTTTACAAATTGTTTAGTCTCTTTTACCAACCTGAATGGTTATTGAACATCAGTTTGATAATGATCCGTTTATAATTTTCAAAGTTCCTATCTTGTTTCTATACGAATTTATTACATTGTTCTAAGTAAATTACTAGTATTGGATCTAGGCGGAAATGACTATATCAATACAGACAGAATGAGAGATACAGAAAAGATATTGATAGACTGAGAGAGAGAGAGAGAGAGAGAGAGAGAGAGAGAGAGAGAGAGAGAGAGAGGGAGAGAGAGAGAGAGAGAGAGAGAATTTAATTATGTTTGTGAAAATCCATTTAATGAAAGCCTTTATATATTTACACATTATTTTGACATTCAAGGAGGTATTGCCCAACTTTACCATTAATTCAAAATGTTGACAAGAGTTATCATCACTTTACATATTTTAACCAAACAAAAAAGTAATCTCGCAACATAACAATGGGCATTATTCTTCTTTTCCCGTTCACTTGTAATTCAATATTTTTAACATGTTTCTTTCTCACTTTTCCTTCCCTTTTCTTTCTTCTTTTTCTTGCGCTTAGAAAAAAATAGTATTAAGCACTTTATAAATATTATGTATTATTATTATTATTATAACCTTCCTCGCACATAATTTCCCCATTTCTTTACAAAACACTCCTTCATTGTCCGTGGCATTGTCGGTGCGCTCCCGCGTTGACAGCGCACGTAGCACTCGCGGCTGTATGGAATATAATAATGGTACTACAAGTCATGTACCACGAAAGCATTCCGGCTAATATACTATTTATGCCTTCATCATATCTTGGTACACTAGTTCCACCAAAGACCGGCCGGCCAGGAGCATTATACTCTTCTCCGCTCCGCATTGTAGTTACATTGATCGTTCATTGATTGATACAATCGTCACTGGAATGAACGGAGGCCCTAGAGCTGATAATGTTACTTTCTGTTTACCGTGGTTTTGACGGGAAGTGATTGGGTCAGAATTTGGACAGATTTTCGCTGTGGAGTTGGCCTATATTTGCAGAGCACCACACTGCTTTTGTCCGTTTGAGGTCCATTCTTTTTTTGTTTTGAAAGTCTCTATTTGTCTGGATCAAGCTGAACAGTCCCGGTCAAACATTTACTTCTGCATGCTTGGTGCAGGAATATTCTACAAAGTTACAGGCTGTGCCGTATTTCCGAACAATGTAGCCATAAACCTGTACGTTTCTAGTTTTGTGGAAACCGTCTCACTGTATAAACGTGTGTACGAATCCTACCTGCAACAACTATTGTTTTGGGTAATCGTTTCTATTCAATCTGAAATTGTCGGGACAGAATTAATGTTTGTGCCACACGGATAGAAAATAACCATTTGGAGGACGTTGCTGGCAAACCGACTTAATGACGCCGAGTGCATTTGATCTTCTGCAACTTAAATTCGCACTGTACTTCAGTCAGCAAACTCTGTGAAAATACTTTGTTTCGGATGACGATGATCTTTTAATTTGAACATTTTGTTCCTGTAGCAGCTCCTAAGCTATATGGTAGGTCTTTACATGCTATTAGGCCTGGCAATCCATCTTGGGGTTCATGCAGTTGTTGGAAGATCTTGGAGTCGGGTTCGTCTTATTTCAAAGTTCTTCGCTTTGTGGGTATATTTATGATTGACATTGGCGTCGTCTCGTATGTATCTCTCGTAAATCATAATTTCGTCTTGAATCCGTCGAATACAAAAAAGGAATAATCACCATGAACAATGCAGGGCGCCTCATCTTCTTTGCTCTTATCTACATCCTTTACATTTGTATCGGGGCTGGGGTCTTCATGGCCCTGGAACAGCCATACGAACAGACCCTGGCCGAAAACATCATCAAACGGAGGGATGGGTTCCTCGAAGCCCACTCGGAGTGCATGACCGCGCAGGAGCTCGACAAGTTCGTCACCGACATCGAGCAGGCGTTCCAGTTCGGCGTCTCCTACAAGGTCGCCGTCAACTCCACGGCTAACACCATGTGGAACTTCGGAGGGTCATTTTTCTTCACAACAACTCTACTGACAACTATAGGTGAGCTCCATACCCTTTAGAATCATGACAAATCAACATAGGCGTATAACAGGCTCTGAAATTTCGAAAATGATATGCCTGTTTTGACTTGTAATGTTATCTATTTTCATAAATCACATTATATGCCAGGCTGGTGTTGGGCAGTTTAACGTATGCTGCGATAGATTATCATGATAATTCTCATCTAATGACTGAGTTAAAAGGTTGTTTTTTATGAAAATGTAAGGCCTTCAGGTCTATTCCTACTAGTGCTGTTAGTACTGAATCAAACATTTTAAGCCAACCCTTCCCATTGCGGTGAATGATGAAAGCGTTAAAACGTCACAATTTTGTTTATCGTGGAAAATTAAAAGAATCATTATGTGCTCAGAGAACGTTCTCCTTCTAAGAATTAATTTTAACAGTTAGACTCCCTGCAAAATGTTTCACGGCTCATATAATGTAAAGGTTCTGGAAGCGAACTAATTATCAGTTGGCCTCTCTTAAACTAGGTGCACAAAACATAACATTATTATTTGCCAACACGTCTGACCTAGATGATTTTAAAAGGTATATATATCACTACAAGTATAGATCACAGAATATTCTTTCAAAACAATCGGGGGTAATGTAATATATCAGGGGGGTGTTTCACAAAGATCCTAAGTTGAACTTATCTCTAAGTTGGACTTAAAAAATATGGAAAGCCATTAGCATCTTTGAAAATATTTTGTAAAAGTTATTTTGAAAGGCATTCATTGTTTATTGAAATCATTCATATTTTCTATCATCAAGGAGATTTCATGTTCTGGATGTGGAATTAATAAAAAGTCTAAAATACTTGAATTTCTGCTTTTGAATATATTTCATTTAAAGACTCCAATGGCTGTCCATAATTTTTAAGTCCAACTTAGAGTTAAGTTCTACTTAGGATCTTTGTGAAATACCCCCCAGGTCTGGTATCGGTCTCATTGGTGTGACTGGGGTACTGATGGGTAAATCACAACGTAACTACATTTATAACAGAAGACCTAAAAATAAGCCTATTTCGTTTGAGGATATGTGTGCCGCTGAGACTATGTGTGGCTTCACCGATCACCGTCAAAAATGAAGACAAAAAAAAAAAAAAAAAGTTGAACCAAGGAGATTTTGTAAAATCTCCTTGGTTTTCAGGGATTATGACATCATTCCTGGCCTGTTTCCTGGTGTTGTAAGTTTTTTTTCTTCATGTAGTCTGCTATACAGTCATGTCATGGAAAATTGTTCTAGAGGAGTCAAAAGAAGATTACTACTCGATAGAGGTGACGAAAAGAGATCTTCAGACGAAAGGAAAGCACACATAAGGAGGAAGAGGATGAGGGGGAGGAAATAAAGAGGGACAGAATAAGAGAAAGGCTGACATAACCCCTTCCTAGACCCCCTTTCGGTTGCTCCCCCCCCCCCCCCGTGCTTCCCTCGCACTTCATTGGCCTCTATTGTAAGACAAGCCCCACCCCCCCCCCCCCCATCCCCGGCCCACAACAAAAAATTACCCACTCCGTAACGTATACATGTATCAGTAAAACATTACCTAATAGTTGGAAGGTCACTTTATAGAATGTATTATGAAGAAGATAAAAAGGGGAAATGAAAATTGCCTTCGTTGAGCTGATAACCAAGCTATCGTTAGACAAATCGACGCTACAGTCTGTTCTAGAGCCGGAAATATGCCATGAATACAAGCAATCTGGTTTCCAGCATGCAGTAAGCCATGAATGTAACTTTTACCACTCAGAGTCAATGAGTCATAATTTTTCGTTTTTATGAATTGTTTGCACAGAAAAAGAAAAAGAAATAGATTGGTTTTGTAAAGTGCATATAGTCATCCGCGCCCCTCTAAACAAAATGTCAATACAGTTTGACAAATTAATGGATCTGTTGATGATTTAGCGCTCGAACTCGAACTGTTATGTTTTTGTTACAGGTTCCTTTTCCTTACAGGCATACGCACGTTTCCTGAACTAGACTCATTCATATAGGTGAAATTATCTAACACCAGGAAAAAAAACAGTCTGGGATTAAAAATAACTCACTTTGTAGTTATTGCATTTGACAGTGCTTACTTCGACGTGCAAACAAATATATTAGAGTGGGTATAGTTTTTCAAATGAGTATTACGCATGCCACCATTGCAGCTTGTAGAGAAACAGCAGCGAATGCGAATATTGTTGAAAAGTTTGAAAACTACAATACGGCTAGACATTAATGTTTAATTATGAAACAGTCATACACGACCCCAGGGCAGTTTGTGATTTAAGGTAAAAATGAAACCTTTCCAGACTGGCCACTCAAGCGAAACACTAACAGACGGCCACTACAAACATGTGGCATTCCTGCACATATTGTCAAACAGTCTTAGTAGAGAAAGGCACCGTGACTGAAAAGTATATTACACAAGTAGCCAGAAAATATGATTCGTTGGCTCTTTGTCATAATTTTTTATGATGATGAATGATTCATCAAAATAATCGGGACTCCAAAATAACTGATGAACAAACATACAGCAACAACAAAAAAAAACCAACAAAAAAAACCCAAAACATCAACACATATTATTACTAATCAATCACAATTGTGTAAGTTTCAGTTTCAGCTTCAATTTTATTTTTTCATTTCCAACAGAGCAGTAATTTTGACAAGAAATCAGATATACAATTCAACATTCAATAATATAATATTTTTTTACATGGTTTAAAGGTACTATGTCCCATTTGCAGGCCCCCAAAATAAAAAAGGTTAAATTCCAACGGCATTTGAAAGATATTACTAATTTAGAACTTTCCTTAAAAAAAGGGGCGCTTAAAAATGTTTTTAAGTGGAAAAATTACGACTACTAGTTGTCAAATCGATTTAAGTGCTACCAAGTCAGAAAGTAATAGTCTTATTTTCAGACCATTGTACCGAATGGTCGTACGTTTTGTGCTGCACAAAGATTCAATCAGTTTAAATGGGAAGTCCACCCTGAAATTAAGTTAGTTTTAATAGGAGTAGAAAAATGAGAGAAACAAGTCAGTGAAAGTTTGAGCAAATTCCGATTAAAAATAAGGAAGTTAGGATTTTTGAAGTTGTGATCAATCAAACACAAATTGGCAACTCTATGACGTATCATGCGAGCTCAATTTCCATTTGCTCAGTACTAAAAAAATCTAAAATTTTCATTTTCCCTCAAGAAAAATTTCAACCATACATGCACCCTAATAATTGCAAATATGTTTCTATACTCCCCCTGCAAGGAACAAATATATATTCCGTCATCAATAAAGAAGAAAACATGATTTTATGGAATATTATGCACAAAGCAAATGAAGGAGAGCTCGTATAATAAGTCACAGAGTTGCCAATTTGTATTTGATTGATCACAACTTCAATAATTCATAACTTTCTTATTTTCATTCAGAATTTGCTCAAACTTTCACTCACCTGATTTTCTTATTATCCTGCCTCTATCGAAACAAACTTATTTTTGGGGTGGACTTTCCCTTTAATTTTGGCCATTACAAGAAGTGGGTAATTGATGTAGACTGATTGAATTCCAACGGCATTTGAAAGATATTACTAATTTAGAACTTTCCGTTAAAAAAAGGGGCGCTTGAAAATGTCTTTAAGTGGAAAAATTACGACTACTAGTTGTCAAATCGATTTAAGTGCTACCAAGTCAGAAAGTAATAGTCTTATTTTCAGACCATTGTACCGAATGGTCGTACGTTTTGTGCTGCACAAAGATTCAATCAGTTTAATTTTGGCCATTACAAGAAGTGGGTTATTGATGTAGACGATTGCTCATTGTATACCTTTACAGCTCATTGTTATGTATGTTATTACCAAAGGAAAAAAAGAGAAGTCAGTCACTCACTCAATATAGTGTCTGACAGTGAAGTCTAGAAAGTAAACGGGTTTCCTTGCATAATTTGAATAAAAGGACACTGCTAACGTTTACATTTAAAATAACATACCTGACATATTCATATTTTCTGCAAAGTTCTACAGAATTTGATGTTGGCTGCAAATGGAACATTACCTTTAAGAGATGTGATATTGTGATATTGCAATGTTGCTGTTGATTGGAGGACTTGCGATTCTTTATAAGACGGGACCATTTAGTCTTTGAAATGGGTCCCAAATAATTATATTGAGCAATGTGTGCAGCGCTTTGTAACTGCAAGGAAAATCAATCTATCTCGAAAATGTGCTATAATATATTATTTTAATATTCCTTTTGAATTAGATTGGAAGTAATTCTCTCAAAAGTTTTCCTTTAGTAATGTTAATCGCTTTTACCATTCGTTTCTTCTGTTCCTATATATTTTTTCTTTTTCTTTCTTAACAAGCTCCATGAAGTAACTAAATTCGTTTGACAAACAAAGCAATTGCCAAGTTATTGTCTTTATTGAGCTGGAAAATCAATGAGTAGAAATTAGTTTTTAGAAAGAAAACAAAAACGTCAAACAACGTACGTCACTTAAAAATGCATTAACTTTTCAGATCCTGCTGCTAAAATGAATTAGGCTACATTTTATTCAATAAATTAAAAATATTTGTTTACATAAGTACTTTCATAATGAATGAAACCTTAAGCCCGACACGTCCACTATAATAATACGTATTGAAGGTTGTCTCCCTAATTACGTATGTTACACGACGCATTTATTAGAAAACAGGCATTATCGTGATATAGTTTGCAGCGCTTTGTATTCATCTCGCACCGTCACCTTCTTTCAATAGTATTAATAATTATATATAGAAATAAGCCTTATTGTAATACATTTCATAATTGTATCTTACTTTCTTCCCATCTTTCTTGCATCTACTTCTCTCATTCTCTTTCTTTCTCTCTCTACCTCCTCTTGTTTTCTTATGTCGCTCTCTGTCGCTCCTCTTTGTCTCTCACTCTGTCTCTCTATCTTTCTCTCTCTTTCTCTCTCTCTTTCTCACTCTCTCTGTCTCTCTCTCTTTCTCTCCCTCTCTGTCTCTCTCTCTCTTTC